AAAGCTCTCTATTTAAAGACGTAGCTAACTATAGTAGAAGTAACTAAGTCTCTTTCTTTATACTTACAACTGTACGTCTCTTTATATACTCTAAAGAAAGAAGATAAGCTCTTATCTCTATAAGGTCTAGACGTTAACTATAAGATTAAACTAATCTCTAAAGATAATAGGAAGCTGCTAGAAGTCTTATATAAACCTCTCTATAATATATCTAGAGATAAACTTCTAGTACTAGATAAGATATTATATAAGTTACTTAAGAAAGAGTTTATCCGCGTAAGTAACTTCTCTACTACGTTACTAGTTCTCTTTATATAGAAACCTAAGGGAGGACTAAGATTCTGCGTAGACTACTACGCCTTAAATGCGCTAACTTATAAGAATTATTATTCTCTACCTCTTATATAGGAGACGCTAAATTAAGTTAGATAAGTAAAGTAGTATATAAAGTTTAATATTACGGCTACCTTCTATAAAATCTAGATTATAGAAGGCTAAGAATAGATAACTACTTTCTATACTTAGTTTAGATCGTATAAGTAGCTAGTTACTTCTTTTAGGCTTACTAACGCCTCTAGTACATTCTAGCGCTATATTAACTAGACGCTACGCGAGTTTCTAGATGATTTCGCTTCTACCTACTTAGATAATATCTTAATCTATATAGATAGCTTAATATCTTAATATTATAGATATATATATAATAAGTAATTAAGCGTCTATAAGCTATAGGGCTATAGCTTAAACTTAAGAAGTGCGAATTTAACGTCTAACGTACGAAATACTTAGAATTTATCCTTAAAGTAGGAAAGAGCGTCTTAATAGATACTAAAAAAATAAGAGCTATTTAAGAATAGGAAGCTCTAGCTACTATATAAGGCGTAAGAAGGTTCTTTAGATTTGCTAATTTCTATTATAGATTTATCCCTAACTTTTTAAGACTTATAGAACCTCTTATATAGTTAATAAGAAAAGACGCTAAATTTAAATTAGGCTAAGACTAAGAGCTAAGCTTTACTGCTCTTAAGAAAGCTTTTCTCTCTAATAAGATGCTAGCTACTTTTAACCTAGATAGGCGGATTTTAGTAGAATATAACTTATTTAGATAAGTAATAGGCGCTATACTCTTATAAGAAGATAATGAAGATATTTTACGTATAATTGCTTACTTCTCTTAAAAGCTACTAGTATATAAAGTAAACTACCTAATTTATAATAAAAAGCTACTAGTAGTAATCTACTACTTTAAAGAGTAGAATACTAAATTATAAGGCGTATAAGAGTTTAAGGTAGTAATAGACTATAAGAATCTTAAATGCTTTACTTATAAGTAAAAGCTCTCTAAACGATACGTATAATAGAACTTAGAACTAGCCTACTTTTTAAATATAAAACTCTACTATCGCTCTAGTAAGGAAAATATATAGGCGGACGCTTTATCTAGATAAGACTAAAATATATAGAAGAATAATCTAAACGAGTATTTAGTATTAAGGGAATTTACTATATTAGTGCTAGCTTAGGCCTAGAAGAAGATTACGATTATGCTTATACAAGACACTACTACTACTTAGAGAAATACTTTACCTTTAGTATCTATTACGCTACCTTAACTACCGTACTTTTCTACGCTTATATAAGACTATTAGAATAATACTACGTAAGTAGATTCTCTATACTAAAAAGTAAGAGTAGCTATATAAGAAGGAAAATAATCTTCTCTAAGCTCCTATAAGATTACTATCTTCTTAGGCGACTATATAATTAACGCTAAAGATAAGCTATACTAGCGTAATAGAGTATAGGTACCTAAATATAAACTATTTTAGATAGGAGTTATCTAAATAGCGTATCTATCTCTACTAATAGAATACTCTAGATAAGAGGAAATATATAGGATCATTATAAGAGAATAGTATTAGCTAAATATAAGTACTAATATACGCTATTACGTATAGAACTGCGAGCTATATAGAAAAAGCTCTCTCTAAAGAGATAGAAAATATAGGTACTTAAAACTATTACCTATACCTAGCCGTACGTAGTAATATCTAATAGTTAACTTTATTATAGGTTTACTTAGCTCTTAAGAAAAAACTAACTTTATAGTAGTAAAGGATAGACTAAGTAAAAGCATTATACTAATCTCTATAGATAAGATTAAAATAATAGACGTCGCCTAGACCTTTATATAAAAAGTCTACTAGTACTATAGCTTTCTATAATCTATTACGTCTGACTATAGACTTTAATTTACTAGCTCTCTTTAGAAGTAAGTCTACTAGTTACTTAGTATCTAAAGAAATCTCTTAACAGCCTACTACCTATAAATAGATAGAATAATAGAGTACGCTAATAGCGATATAGAAGTAGTTATATAGATTTTCTGTAACTATAATTAAGATAACTAGTTATAACTCTACTCGCTTCTAGAACTTATACTTAACTCCTATATAAATATAATAATAGAAGTTTTACTCTTTTTTCTCTACTATAGTTACTATAATACTTCTTTTCTTTAGCCCTAAATAGTTATATAAGCTAACGAAGTAGAAGAAGCTATAAAGGATATTATCTAGATAATTAGTAATACTACTAACTAGGCTATATCTACTATAACATACGCCTAATAAAAGTAAGAATAATAAACTAATAAGTCCTATAGACTAGCGTCTACCTATTACGTAGAAGACTAGATATAGCTAGACTTACGTAACGTACGTACAACTAGAAGTAGTAAGAAACTTAATTAGAAAAGCGCTAAGTTCTAGATCGCTCGCGTATAAGATTTCTACTAGGTAGAGTTAGCTATACTATAAGAAACGAAAACTTACTATATAGATAAGCTCCGTCTAGTAGCTAATAACTTATTTCTATTATAGTAAATAGACAACGCTAGCTTAGCAGCTATAGTTATATAAGATAATAAGAATAATAAAAAATACTTAGAGTAGATAGTATAAGATATTATAGACGAGAGAATAAGGTATAAGTAAATAGAATATCTTATCTATTAGGCGGGCTATAACGAGCCTATATAGGAGCCTACCGCCTACCTTACTAATACTACCACCCTATAGTTATAGTTATTCTATACCTAACCTAGATAATAACCTAATAGACGACTTAGAAGAAACTAGTAGAGGTAAGCTTACCTACTCTATAAGTAAGAGGTTCTTAGTACTACTCGCAGCCGGACGACTATACTAGCTACTACTACTAGAACTACTAGAGAGCCTCTTACGCCTATCTTCTATATAAGAGACTATCTACTAAGTAATACTATAATAAGCTCTATAATCTTACTAGACGTAGTTAGAGTAGACCCCACTTTACTTACTAGTAATAGATATATAGCTAGTAAATATAGTAAACTTCTTTTCGCTTTATAAGATAGTAGCGTAATTATTTATATAAAAAGTTACGTTAAGAGCGCTACAGCTATATATAATAAAGGCCTTAAGATAAAATAGATAGCTAATAAAAATCTATTAAGTAGTAATAGTTATACGCGCGATTATAGGCGAGTAGTTATAAAAACCTAGACTAAAGATAGTATTATATAGACTATTACCGCGAGAACGATAGAAGTAGTTAAATATATAGCGAATATTCTTCTATATAAGTTAGTACTAGCTATATAAGAAGTTAGAGAAGCATTACGTATAGAAGTAACCGCGTAAATACAGCGTAGCTTATCTATAACGCACTAATTAAAAATAAACTAGATATAATACTTATTTAAGTTAATAGCGCCTAGTATATTAAAAGTTAGTAGTATAGCACTAGGCGTTGTATAAGTTAGAGCTTAGTAAGTAGCATTAAAGATTTAGTTAGCTACGTTATTAATAGTATTATTAGGGCTACTACTAGTGCAAAACTATAAACTATTAGTATTTACGTTAGTCTAGATACTATAAGGAGGTAGTTACGCCTTAGGCGGTATTATATAAGTATAGCTAGAAGATAAGAAGAAACTTATATAGTAGTAGAGTTAAATTAAATTAGTATAAAGAAAGAAAAGCTAGAGAAAAGAGATAGCAGCTCTATATATTATATAGAGAGAGCGTTTACTCTAGTAGAAATTCTCCTTTACTAGAGTAAATAGACGCCGCCACTCTACCGTAAGTTAGGCAGCTGCGCACTTCTAGAGAAATAAATAAACGTAAATATATCTATATAAGTAGAGGAGGGGAGTATTATAAAGAGCTGCGCCTATAATCTCTACTAAAGAGATCACGTAGTTAATAACCACGTGATATATCTTCCGTATAGATACGTAATTAGAAGCGAGTAAGTATAAGAGAAGCCTGTACTTAGTTATCCTCTCTTTTTCTCATCTTTTAGCTTCTGTACGATAGGTAGAAGCATACTCGTTCGCTAGGCCTCTCCGCCCATAACAACTACTATATATATTAGCTATACTAGATTCTAGAAGAATCTATCTTATAGTAGATTACGTATCTATAGACGTAATAGATAGATAAATTGTTTAGAGATTAGTGGACTAAAGAATCCGAGTATCGTGCTGATCACCCGGATTATGTTAGAGATTAGCTGATTAGCTTATATCTCTAACACTACGTATAGCTAGTAGCTTATTAGCTATATTATGTATAGCAGCGTAGATAGGCGCAAATCTACGCTAATCTAGATTCAGTATATAGCTTATAATTACCTTCTCTTCTATCTAAGTAAGCTTTTTTAAGTTAGGCTAGTAATTGCGTCTCGCGCGTTTCCTAGCGCGCTAATCGCGTAACACTAATTTAGGTATGTTAAAGATTAAGTTTCGTAGCAGCCTTTTAAAGTTTAATCAGAGTTAAGAGATTAAATAGCAAGCTACATAACTAATTCAGTTAGGAGTAATTTAATAACGTGGCGTGGAGCGATGATAGTGGCAAGTGTACTAGAGTAAGAAAGTTGGTGGGTGTAACGGCGCAGGCAAGACTACTCGGATCAGTATCGGCAGTAGCGTCACTTAGAGGCATATGGGAGTGCGTGGGACATTAAACGAGCCTTAGTTCGAATAGACACCTATAGGCCTTGTACGAAAGGATATCAAAAATCTATTGAGCTACTATGGAGAACGGGTGGGGTTTTATATCAGCAGATCTGCCCTAGGCTAGTTCGTGCCCATGTTCGGATCTCTTTCGGATGTTGGTTCGGTAGGTACTCGAACCGTTACAGTGGGGTGCGCGACTCGCTTATCCGCCACGTTACGTGAATTGTGTACATGAATTGTATAGGTGAATAGACTTGTTAGCTAGTATAGTATATCTCTGTGATTACAGAAGCTTCTCTACTACCTTCATTATCTCGACTAGCTCCTCATCCATCATACTCTTTCCTACAATCTGTACATGCGTTGGTAAACCTTCACACTCCTCTGGCTCATCTGTCTTCACGTCAATTCAAACTCACACTTGAAACTTCCTCTTTCCACTCAAGCCTTGGGGGTAAACGAATAAGGACTTACATGGGGGCTCGTATATCACACCCTCCTTCACGAACTCCTTGTCTTGCTCCTTGTCAGCCTTGCCCACGTTCAGAATGCCGCTTGGATAATTGAGCAGATTGACGACGACGGTGTAGATTGGCAGACCATAAGTGTCATGTTTTGGTGCCACGCTTTGATATCCTGGCATGAGAATCGCATCAAGTCCTTTCTGCATAGTGCCTCCTTCTGCTAGCTCACCAACCATGAGTTTGTGGAACTGATTGAGTATACGGCCCTTCTCTACATTCATATCCCACAGCTCATCCAGACTCGCTTGCCAATCCTTCAATTCAGGGAATCCGCATGTTGCGATCGATGGTATGAGCGGCTCACCGCTCGCCTTGATGTACTGGAAAGGTGTTTTGCAGGGGTCAAGCATGAAGAATTTCCACGCCAGCATGGATGTCTGGTACAGATCTGGTATCTTCTCGTCCAAAAGTACAATCTCGTGTCCCTTAGCCTTCAGTTTCATAGCCGTAGAGTGTAGCGCTCGGGCAATGGGTGGATGCAAAGGTCGTTCTTTGCAGCCACGGATTAGTCCAAAGCGTAAGGGTTGCGTGGAAGGCTGCACAGAACGCCAGGGTACGTTCAGACTATTCGGATCGAGACGCCAAGGCTGTGTACTACTCACGGATTGGAGAAATAGGGCAAAGTCGCGGGTGGTGCGGCCGCAGGGGCCAATGACTACGGGTACTGAGCCGGGAGAGCCCAGACGACCGACCGCTGCTCCACCGGCGAAGGGAACGCGGCCTGCCGTGGGTTTCAGAGAGGCGCCGCCACAGCATATGGCGGGAATGCGGTTCGAGCCGGCAACATCTGTGGCTACACCCATTATGCTGCCTTTCATGGCAATGAGTGCGCCCTCACCACCAGTGGAGCCGCCAGCGGTATGCGATAGTTTATTGGGATTCAAGGTACGCCCAAAGATGTTATTTTGACTGTCTGCTGTCATCATGGTTTGGGGGAGATTGGTTTTGCAATAGAAGACTGCACCGAGGGAGTGTAGGACGGTGACCAAGGCCGAGTTCGTGACGGCCGGGGGATGCGGGATGAAGGATACATATCCAAGTGTTGCTTGTACGCCCCGCACGTTGAAAGAGTCCTGTCAGAATCATTTCAGTAACAGGTACAAGCCGGTGTTTTGGGACTACGAGTTCTGAACGCCGAAAGGGTTGCTGATAGCGCCTTCCGTTTGTAATTCACACACACACCTTCAGACTGATAGGTAGCCCGTGCAGTGGTCCTAGCACCTTTCCCTCTTTCTCCAAATACTCGTCACACTCTCTCGCCCTAGCCAATGCCTCGTCGAACATAATCTCTGTAAGACAATTGAGACACTGCTGTGCGACTGCCGCTCTCTTGCAAAATGCCATCACCACTTCCGTGCTCTTTAACTGCCTCTCAGCCATCATCTTGACCAGATCTGTAGCATCATAATTCTCGGTGATTTCCAGCTCTTTCTCCGTCAAAATACCACATGTTCGAGGTACATCTAGTACAGAGATGCTTGAGGTTTCAGTGTATTGAGATGTCTGAGATGTGGGGAGAAGCCAGTCTTTTGGGATTTTGGCGAAGACTGATTCTCGTTTTGATTTGGCCAATGCTTGCCAGTCAGCTATGAGTGGTGCAGACGCCATCTTGCCGTTTTTGATAAGGTCAAAAACCTGGGTAGAGCGAAATTTAGCAGTGGTGTAGCTTTTGGTGATGATTGTATGGAACGCTAATGTTTAGAAACGTTCAAGATGCAGGTCAATTTGGAAGAGCAGCAAGACTATGATATACAGGACAGAGGGGTATTCTGCTGCACACTGCTGGTGAGGGGAAGTATGGGGAGCCGGCCGAAATTGCCGATCGGAATAAGGTTCGGAATCGCCCAACGGCGGGGGTATTGTGGGTATGTTAGAGTCGTTCAGCAGGAAGTGAGGTCGCGCGGTGCGGGTTGACCACTAAACAATTAACCAGTATGCAGCACATGTGGGAAGAGCTGTGTTTTTCACAGGATTGAAAAGTATGTAATTCCTACCAGAAATTGCGTGTAGTCTGACATTGCTAAAAAGTTGCAATCTCGGAAATAATGTTATCTACGAAAATAAGCAGTTGGCAAATAATTCCGTGGTTAAGTTTGCCCACGTGAGATAGATATTTCAACCACGCCGCCTCTCATTTCTATCGTATGGAGACTTGCTTCGAGTCTCTCTGTGACGTTTGCGATCCCTCGAGCGCGATCTTGATCGTTTGCCATCTGTATCGCGTTCGCGCCTACGTTCTGGACGGTCTTCTCGTCGCTTATGCTCACGGCTCCTTGATCGATGCCTACGTCGGTCATCTCGGTCATCATCTCTACGCCTGTCGCGCTCGCGCGAGCGTGAACGGTCTCGGTGTCTGTGGCGTCGCTCTCGGTCTCGTGAACGGCTTCGTGTCCGATGACGTCTCCTCCGCTCTCCGTCGTCGTCCCTGTGCCTCCTGGAACGCTCCTTCTTCTCCCTCCTCTTCGCTCGGTCCTCATCCTCGCCCTCCTGGGCCTTCTCCTCTATTTTATCCTTAACATCAGCCTCGTGAGCCTTTTCACCTAACGGCGTCAGGTTTGCGTTGTTTCGCACTGGCACTGGGAGGCCCATGGCAGCAAGCATCGCGTCTTCCTCTGCCTCCTTCAGTTTCCGCTTCTCTTCCTTGATACGCGATGCTTCGGCCTCTTTGGATTCAGCGTCGCCTTTCGCATACCAACCAAGGTCGCGGCCTTGTTGCCAACGCCCAACAGGCGCCATGACCGAGTGACCAAGATAGTTTTCACGTTGCGCATCGTTCTTGACATCCTCCCATTTGAAATCACCGCGGCCACCACTGAGCCATGGTTAGCTAGATACACCTGAGATGTGAGACTGCAAGTCTTACCGGCTGCCTTCTTTGCGTACAGTTTGAACAAGATCCATAGTGAATTATAGGGCTGAACAGGGTTGAAGATGGACGTGAGGATTAGATTGTGAAAGTTGCGGGCAACACGGAAGTGAGAGGCCCGAGCTCCTGCGCGCTTCCCCACGCGCGACCGCGGTCCAGCTTCAAGGAAGTGCATAAACAATCCACACTTAGTCTGCTGCAGTCACCCTCATACATCGTCGCCAGAATGCCACCGCCACTCCCACCCCCAGATGAGCAGGAATTTGACCAGCCTCAGCTCATCGGCGGCTTACCCACCCCCGACCTACATGCAGGAAACAACCTCTTCTGGTACTTTACCTCGTCACCCTGGTTCGACTCTGAATGCATCAACATCGATGTTTATCTCAACCTGCGCCAAAATGACCCGGCTGTTGCGGAGAAGATCATGAATGATCCAAAGTTGTGGCAACAGAGACTTGACGACCAGCCCGAAGGAACCCAGTACGTCATTGCGGGCGAAGGCCAGGGCGAAGGCCATCCATGGCTTCTGCAACGCCAACACAAGGTACGCGTCACGGAGAATGACAAAGAACGCATCGAAAACTTTGTTGAGGGCAATTGGTATACCCATGGGACCAAGATGCTCATGGCACCGAGCTTGCTGGATATCGTGCAGAGCAGAATGGTAAGGTTCAACGGAAGACGCTTGTGCAGAGCAGATGCCTGACATGTCTCGCAGCTTACTGTTTCGACGCGCATGCACCAGATGGCCGAGCTTTCCAAGAATATGACGCATTGGACACCTGCAACCGGCTACTCGTACTTCCCCCCTTCGTACGAAACTGCAAAGGCAACGACTATAGCGAGCCGAGTCGGCAGTCCAACGCTAGCCCCGACAGATGCAGACGCCCCAGGCTCGCAGTCACAAGGCCCAGGTGTAGCCACACAGGCCACAGATTCAGCTGCTTCAGCCACTGACTTCTCTGACGCGCTCTTCATGCACTCGCTCAATCTCACAAACGCGTATGGCGACGAGTACATGGATGAAAATCCGCTCAAGGGCGAACCCGGCGCCTTTGTCTTTGAAGGCACCAAAACAGCCGTCACTGCCAGGAACAAGGCACAGGAGCAACAGGCGATCCAAGCAGTACAGCCCGCGCCAGCAGCTCCTACCGACTTGAAAATCGACACCGCGACGCCAAGTGTAGCGCCCTCTGTAGTGGCTACACCAAAAGCAGTGGCAACTCCCGGGGCGATGGAAGGCCATAGTAGGAAGAGCAGTGTAGCGCCTGGATCGAAGAAGAAGAAGGATAGGCGGAAGAGCCAGGCTGGACTGGCTAGTCCAACCACACCCAGTGTGCCCCAAGCAGGATAGCCGCTATTGCGCCATTATTGTGAGCGACACGCTTATATCTTGTTTTTCTTCATTCAGGCTAGCACTTGACTAGTCTTCTTTTCTTTTACTTAGTGATACCCTCTTTAAACCAATATATGTATATGTACATAACAAGGAATCAATACGTCTATATTTCTTCTCCAAAGATCCTCGTGTCTATCAATCGAGAGAGATGGACATGGGCCAGACCTTTTGGCTTCCACTGCTCAGATTCGGAAGACAAGAGAGGTACAAGATGATGAAAATCATCAAAGAGACATCAATGAAAGAGGGTTTGCATACACCATCGCACCAGGTAGCAGGCATGCACATTCCATTGGCATGGGGTCCAAATACATGCATGTGCGAAAGAGAATTTAGAAATCTATTCAATCTACAGATAGTTATTAAGACAGTTTGTATAAGAAGAAAAAACAAAAGCCAAAAACAGCTCAACAGCAGAAACTCGCATATATATACAAGATATTAAAAAAAGCTATGGATAGTAATACGGGCTATTTGGATGGTTTCATCACATTAAGAAGAAGCAGAAGTTGCGAATTGGTTGAGTGGGTAAATCCCGGATCCTACGCATGGCACCGGTCGTCTGGTTGGTGTTTGGTGTGCGACGACGAAAGTGCAATGCGACTTGGATCTCCGTCGGATACGAGTCTTGACTAACTAATCATCCCTAAGAAGCGAATTGTGAGGGGAGTAAAGAGATATCCCTCTGATGCCAGCAAAAAAAAAGAAACCCAAATATAGAACTCCATGCCAGATGCCGCTTGCTTCCTGTCATATATCACCATTTGCAGTTTGGTGAAGTTCTTCACCGAAACAGTTTCTTTCGTCCGTCCAACAAGAAAAAAAAAGCCTCCAGTGCAAGAGTCCCAGAAGCTAGCCTAACCATACCAGTAAAGTAACAAAAGAGAGATACCAAGCGACAATGTTGAAGAGTGGAAAAACGATCGAGTCGTTGAGGTGTTGCAGGTGAAGTTGAGAGTGTACAAGTGAAAAGGTAAAGAGGAGAGAGATAGGAAAGTGGTATCTCTAGTAGGCTACAATTTGAAAAGGTGGTTGAGGTTGAGCATCGTAGAACTCTTGCTTCCCCAGGAATAACGTATTCCGTGAAAAAAAAAAGTATAGGAAATAAGGAAATGAAAAGTTGTCAAGACTACAAGTGGAAGGTTAAAGTGCCTTACCACACCCACTCAAGGTCGCCCAGGTCATCGTGGGCCTGGGCATGATCGGCATGGGAGCGCCAATCTTTGCTCTTGTACCAGTTGTCCACTTTCTGTTCCCAGGAGCCATGGTTGTTGTTCTCGTTATGGCTGGAACCCCAGTGGATTGGTCGTCGTCCAGCCCCAGTGCGACTCCGCTTCCTGGCGGAGTTCGGAATGGGTTGAGCTTGTTTGGGCGACTTGATAGGCTTGGATGGAGTTTGTTGGGCCTGCACAGCGGGACTACGACGGCGATCGCCAAGAGCAGCCCACTTGTCGGCAACTGAGCGCTTTGGTGGAGTATTGCGGGTAGCCGCAGACAAACGATGCTCCTCAAAGACGAATCCGGTGGCCGCGCTGACGTGGTCTACAGCAGTGCGGTGGTTCTTGGGCGTGGGGCTCCTGCTGTTGTGGATGGAGATGGGGTTCTTCATCTCGGACAAGCCGCCACGGGGAGTCGACACGCCAGAGCCAGCTTCGGAAACAACGGGCTTGGGCTTCTCAGCACCAAAGGAATGGCAGTTGTTTTCAAGCTCAGCAAGGAACTGGGCGTCGTCATCCTCTTCTTCCCAAAGATCGCTCCAGCTCTTGGAGATGACATCACGCTTCTTGCCAAAGACAGAAGACATACTGTTGTAAGGCTTGGTAGGAAGCGAGCCAGAGATGGGCATAGGTCGAGATCGAGTGAAATTCAGAGGCTCGGGTTTTGCGCCATCGGTCGACTTGAAGGACAAACCCAGGCCAGAATCCACAAAGGATGCAGCAGAGGCACTGTCTGGCTTGACGTCGTAGGGAGGTCCTGAGAACATATCATCCTCATAGATCTCGTTGTCGGGAATTGCCGAGAGCTGGCGGAACTGTTGAGGTGGAGACATGGCAAGAGCCTTGGCCCAGGGAAACGAACCACCATTGTCAAGTTGTGGCGTTGAAATGGATGGTGTTCGCAGAGGCTCGCGGTTAGCGCCGACAGCAACAACATCACGCTCCTCAGTGCAGAAGTCATCGAGGCTCTCGTCATCAATAGTGAAGCTGATGACGCGCTCCAACGCATCCTTGACAGCACCGAGGTCGCGCTTCTCAGGGTCAATGGCCAGACACTGCCTAATGACCTCAAAGGCATCTTGCGACATGTTGGGGAAGACATCGAAGAGACTTTGGCGGTCAAGTGCAAAGTCGGCGTAGAGGGGGTCTGAGGAAGACGGTACGGCAAAAGGGTTGCGCTGGAACAAGATATTGAGGAGGACGATGCCAATGGCCCAGATGTCGGCCTTTGCAGTCGAGTAACCAGTGTTGGAGGGGTCGTACTGCTCAGGAGCCATGTAGCGGTCGCTGCCGACAGCAATCTCGTAAGACCAGGGATCAGAAGTGGCGAGACCAAAGTCGCCAAGCTTCATGGAGCCATCCTGGGTAAGGAAAATGTTCTCAGGCTTGATGTCGCGGTGGTAGATTCCCTTTGAGTGGATGAACTCGACAGCATCGACAAGCTGCATCATGAAGTCACGCACATGCTCAGTCTCGAGAGGGCCCTTGCCATTGCGAATGGCTTCGTACAAGTCACCATTGGAACAGAACTCAAGAACAAGGTAGATGTGGTTCTGGGTCTCAAAAGACTGGAGCAGGTTGACAACATTGGAGTGATCACCAAGGCGCAGGTGAACACCAAGCTCTTCGGAGCGCTCATCGACTGCAAAGGCGGAAGGGCAGTTGATGGCGGCCGAACTCTTGGTAATGACCTTGACAGCAACATGGTCGCCAGTTACAAGATCCTTGGCCTGGAAGACCATGCCAAAGGAGCCATTGTTAAGAGGGGAGATTGTTTCATACCGTCCATTGAGTACAACGCCTTCGTGAAGATGATCGCGCATACAATCCATGAGGGGTGTTTGGGAGTGTAGAACTGGAGGGGAAAGGGCCTAAGGGAAAACTCAGAGAGGTCTGCCCGATGGCTGCGACAGTGCAGGTGGATGTGGAAGCCGCCAAACAAAGAAGGAAGGAAACGGAAAGGTAAAGCTCGATATCAAAAGCAAACAATGGGTCAACAGCCGTCAGCCCAAAAGCGATGCTCTATCAGACTTTTAGGTGACTGTGAAATTTCGAAGATAGCGATAATATAGTTGTAGCGGAGTCGGAAAGAGACGAAAAAGTTGCCGAGGAGAGATGTCGTAAGGTAACAGCGAGGCCGTTTGGGTGGAACTAAAAAGCAAAAGTCGTCGGTGATATGCACAGGTGGTGTCCGTCGACGGAAAAGACAAGGAAAGGTTCAAGAGAGTGTGGTTCTCATTTGCCGGTATTAACTGCGTATGGATGACTCGAGTCAACGAGCTATCGGAGGGAGCGGCAGGTGATGAGATGGAGTAGTTGACGTCCAAACAGGAAGAGGGATCGCTGCGTAAGAGAGGAAGGAAGAGTGAGAGAGAGAGATAGAGAGATGAAGAGTCGTAACGCGTGGAGGGAGGATCGTCGGTAGGCAGACAGAAGGTTGTTGTCTGATGACGCGGTTGGCAGCGTGAGTCAGGTGCACGGGCCCACGTAAGGAGAGCTAGCGGGTGTCGGATAAAGAGGGGGTTTGATGAGGCTAGCTGGCGACAAGTTGAGAGGGAGGATGTGGATTGTCTGCTCGATGAAGCTTGGAGCGACGCAGGTCGTGGGCCTGAGTAGTGGTGAGGCAAGAGAGGGGTTGGGGGTGTTTGGCTAGCTGGCTGTCTGACGGGTGTTGGGATGGCCTGCAGCTCGCTCTCTCTGTCACATCAAAACAAAGGCCCGGCGATGGCGATGGCGACTAGGTGGTCGAGTGCAAAGGAGCAGAGCAGAATAGCAGGGCGATTGTGGCAGAGGGAGGCTGTGGGCCAAGGCGAGGTAGGGGGTGGCAGACGTTGTTGTTGGCGGTGTTGACGTATGGGTAAGCTGCACAGCGGTTGCGGAAGGAGCGAGCGAAAGGCGAGTATTATTAAGGGCAGCAGCGATAGGTGAGGCGGGAGCGGGAGGGGGCGGAGGAGGAGATGATGGTGGTGGAGAGGAGCAACGCTAGAGCTTGCGAACAACGACGAGAGCAGAGATGGGTACGTGTTATGGAGGCATCGGGAGACGGTGGTGAGGTGAGGAAGCGGATGGCGGACGGGCATCCTGGCTATTAGAGGGCAGCGCCAGGAGCAGGCGCAGCTCTTTGGGGGGGGGGGGCCCGCTTGCAGCAGGGCGGCGTCGAGGCTAGCCGGGGTAGAGGATTAGGAGACTAGGGCGCCGCTGCGAGCTACGTGGCTTGCATCACCAGGTGCTAAAGCAGCGTGGCCACGCCCCCCGTCGGAACCGCCACTGGACTGCCAACTCTGGGCTGCCAACTTTCTATGGCCTTCGGTCTCTTTCGACGCTCGTCACGGCAGCGTCGGACGAGCCAGAGGGCGCGCTCGCTGTTCGCTGTCCGCTGTCCGCTGTCCGCTCTCTGCTCCGGGGGCTCATCTTGTCGCCAGGCCCGTCTCACACGGCAGTCCTTGCTGGTGCTGCATCATGGCTCTCATCAGTGGAGCCCCCCCCCGTGTGCGTGCTCGTCGTGCCTCTGCCCCCATTGCAGGTGCACGCTGCACGTCTGGCCGGACGGGTCCCGCTGCGGTGATGACGGTGGGACGGACAAAGACGTCTGAAACATTGGCCGTGGCTGTCGGCTGCCTGTACACTCAGACTCGTCCACGTACTCTACTCACATACCAGTAGTATGCTAGTACAATATGGAGCAGACACTCGTCGCTCCCTCACCCACACACACACACACACACACACACACACGCACGCAGAGGGCGCACAATCCAGACCACCAGCTGTCGTGTGCCAATGCAGGCTTAGCCCCCCCCCCCAAGCGCCGTCTCGCAGGCCGATGCTGATCTGGGTCGGGTGCATTGCGCTCCCAAGCGGCCACCTGGCCTTTGATTGGTGCTGCCTGCAGCCTGTCTGCTGCCCTCGACCACTCGACAGCCTGCTCCAACACGGCCGTTATCTGTGGTTTCGTGATGCTTGCCACCTCGTCTCGCCGCTGTACTGAGCCGCATGCCATGTCGTGTGAGCATGGAGCGGTTGCCCGCCATGCAACCCACTGCCATCCAGGGGCTTCTCGCCACCACCCCCTCCGCCCAAATCCAGCATGACAAGTGTTTCGGCAGTCGGCGCTCGCGGCCTGCCATTGGCCAACGCCCTGCTGCTTGTGCTCCATCGACCCGTCGGCGCCAAGGTCGGTGGGTAGCGGCAAAATATAGGAATCCGGGGAAAGCTTATGCGACTGCGAGCCCTTTTGTGCCTTGCGGCCTCACGGCCTTGCAGTCAGCGTGAGCCGGTTGAGTGATTATCGTCGCAATGGCATAATGCCATGTCAGCGCCCTGAAACACAGACGCGATCTACGTCGCACATGGGGCCCGATGCGCGAACCAGAGCACAAGCCGCTTCTTACTCCATGTGCCTACTACACGTGAGTAAGTGAGCATGTAAGTAACTATGTACTTACGTACATGCTACACTACATGCATGCCATCGTCGTCGTCGTTGTCGTCGTGCTGTCCATTGCCCCATCGCCATCAGAGTACTGCCGAGCTGGGACCCGTGGTGCACGCTTCACACCACCCTATCCTGCTCTACACCAACTTGGTCAATAAGACGCGCAGTAGGCTGGCACTAGGTTGCAGTAGACTGCAGCAAATGGCAGCAGCGAGCCACCCAGCCAGTGTCTTGGATAGGCTACTACTGCAGGTTGCATGCAAACAGGACATTTCCTCGTCCCCACTTGTTGTACCCGTCCCAGGGCAACCCCGTGGCGGTGTACGCCTACTTTACACATGTAGTAGGGTAGGAGTACTCTCAATCCACATAGGCCAGCGACCACAATTGCAGACAGCGCACGGCCATGGCCAACCTATAGGGCTTGCAACATTTTGCTGCTAGCGGCGCCCATGTGCTGCCCGCGACACGGCGACTTTGATGTGGGTCGCTCTCCAAGCCGTCTGCCCATCGACGACATCGAGCATCAAGGCGGCCACATGCTAGCCAGGTACTCCCGTCCATCTCACGGCATTCACGCCCCATATGCGTCGACAAGTCGAGACATACGGCAATGGGCCAGGCCACCAGACAACAACGTCGGTGAGAGCCTCAACCCAATGTCAGCCTCACAACAATGGTTCCATGGAACACAGCCGGGCACAGAGCCACCCTGACAGCTGTCATCGCGCCATGGATGACTCCTGACTATTGCAAAATTTTCCCCTCGACGACAGCTTCACGGCTGTCAAGCCGCTTCCGGCTCCAATCCATGTGCAGAAGAAAAATTTTCATCTCTCTTGTTGAACAATATCAGGTTTCCAGCCTGACCGCTATATGTTTTGATGTTGCTTGTCTTACCACTCGCACCAGTCAGCTGCCAGGACAGCCACACGACACCACCCGTCCATCCTCACAGTTGAGGCGCTACACGGCACACTCTGTCGCTTCACCGCCATTCACCGCCCTACCGTTGACAACAATAACAACAACAACAACAACCACATCAACGACAAGGACAACGACGACAGCGGCAGCAGCAGCAGCAGCAGCAGCAGCAGCAGCAAGAACAACAACGCCGTCAGACATCCAGCAGCATGTGTGCCGCATCGCTCGATCGGGCGCGTTGGAGCCAAGCAGAGGTTGTGTTGCTTGATATCGGTATGTCGCAGAGCTGTCTTGAAGTCGCTGTCGGTGCATGACTACACATGTACATTCACCTACAACACACACACGCCATGTTTTGCCTCAGCCATAGCCGTCGTCGTTGCTAGTCACACAAGCACATACTAGTAGTATTGTAAATGCGCACATGTACTGACATGGGCACGCAGAGGGCACCATCTCGAGCATCTCATTTGTCAAAGATGTCATGGTAAGCCTAAATTCTTCTGTCCTTGGCCTCCCATGTCGTTGCTTCCCCGCATTCGGCAGCGCAACGACCACTGCCGGGGCAACATCGCCAAATATGTCCACAATGACGCTGGGCGGGGCCTCGACGTCGTCGCCAGGCCATTCGTCGGCCATGTAGCCTCCCGTCCATCTCTGCCCTCTTCGTTCTAGACGCTGTCGTGCTCTCTGCCTGCCTCCTCCAGCCATGGCCATCCCGCCACCCGTTTCCGCCATCTGTCACGCGAGATGGCAGTGGTGGTGGGGCCTCCTCCTCGTTGCGCTGTGTGTGTGTGCTCACAATAGCCGCAGTACCCGTATGCACTTGACAGTCTCACAAGACTGGCACGCCATTCATGGGCTGATCCCAACTTCCAATCCCTCATCGCCGCCTTTCCAGACGACACCAAGCAGAGCCCCGATGCTCTACTCGCCCACGTACAAGACCTGACACGGCACGACATTAAAGCAGTGTATTTGAAGCAACTACAAGGTGGGTTACAAATGAATCCGTTTCAACCTCGTCGGCAACCCTAGTCCCATCTCTTGCCCGCCGCCTCGTGCCAGGACCCTCGCTGGATCATCGCCACCAAGCGCCGACACCGCGCAGTTCTAAACACACTAGTCCCGCCGACTTCATCTCTTGATTCGATCGGCCACTCACCACCGGCTGCATTATCGCGATAGTCGCCATCCTACTCCAGCCACCCACCAATCGTCCAAACCCTCTTTCGTCAGCTCGACGCCGCTTTCAGCTCGGCCTCCTGCAGCGCAACGCAACGCTTCCCTCCCATCTCGTCACTTTGCACCCTGCTGGCGCACTATCGTAGCACATGCACTTTGTCTTTGATAGCACTGCTGGCATGCTCCACTCAAACTGACTCTTCTCTCTTGCGCAGGACATCTTTGGACCACTGGCTTCCGCAACGGTCATCTCAAGACCCCACTGTTTGACGATGTGGTCCCCACGCTAGAAGCTTGGAAAGCTGCTGGCAAAACCCTGGCCATCTTCTCGTCCGGCAGCGTGCAGGCACAGCTCCAGTTCTTTTCCTACGTCAAAGATGGATCCGAGACGAGAGACATCAAGCCTCTGTTCTCCGCCCACTACGATACCGTCAACGCTGGCCCCAAGATGAACAAAGCTTCTTACGATAAGATATGCTCTGAGCTAGGAAAGCCTCCATCCAAGGTTGTGTTTTTGACAGACAACGTAAAAGGTATGTTGGCCTTCTCCACTTGTCCTGAAACAACACACTACCCACCATCTTTGCCGATTGCACACACCCACTGTAATACCCCTCCTCATCCCTTCCATTGCCCGATTCGTCGGTCGATCATCACACCATTACGCACCGACCCTGACTACAAGTACCCACATGTGTATCTACACGTATGGTACATGCTCCGTCATGCGACATACAAATGTCCCTCAATGTCCCACTGCCATTTTATTTGCCCACATGGACTACAGAAAAAGAGTCCTCATATACCTTATCCGTCACGCGATCCCCCCCCCACTTGCATTGCTGTCGCATGTTTTAGTTTCATACCACAAGTAACCACCGGCTATGGTACTAACACGTTTCTTCTGCAACAGAGGCTGAAGCGGCAATCGAGGCCAACGTCTACGCTGTTGTTGTCGACCGTCCGGGTAATGCGCCGCTGTCTGATGCGTCAAAGGCGAGGTTCCCAGTCATTGAGCGATTGACTGATCTGCCGTGAGTTGAGATTTGATACCTGTCTCACCCTGTTCTCTAGTTATCACATTGGATACTCTTCTCATGGCCCAAACTCTTGTTTGCATATGTTGTAATCTTCAACCCGAATACCAGTAGTTCAGTGCTCAAAGTGGGCAGAAAAGTACATGTTCTTTATTCAATTGCCCTACTGTATTTTTCGCATCAATTCCATCCCCAGTACTGCACTCGTTGTACGCACCACACCTCGCTATAGGCCGACAAGCTGATTCAGACTCTTCACCACTCGACTTCGTGTCTTTCCACTTCTTCTCTTTGTGCCGTCCACGTACTTGTTTTCCTCGTGGCACTACGCCAGCGTCTCTCCCGCAACACGCTGAATCCACTCGGCCGTCTCATCCACTCTGCTTAAAAAAGGACTATGCCCACTCTTAATCCTCGTAACATGCATAATTGCGCCCGCCTCTTCCGCCGCCTTGACCATCTCCTCCTGCACAGCCGGGGGTAGCGCCAAATCGTCCTGGCAAAGCAGATAGCTACTCGGAATATGTTTCCATGCCGCATACGTCGTCGGTGTGGTGAATGAAGCGATGCCCTGGGACCTCAGACCCGCAGACCAATGCTTCTGCTCCTCGTCGGAGAGATCGTTGTAAAAAAGCTCGGGTGTTGTGCAGGTGAGATTTGGACCAGTGGGAACAAAGGTGGGCGAAGGAATGTTGTGCGTCCTTTGCATGAGACTGACACCCTCAGGCAGGACAAAACTCGTCATGAACGCTATTCTGATGACGCCGCCTTTGAGCCCTTGGGCCTCGCGCTCTCCCTTGCTCAGGTCCTTGAGCCCAGTGCCTGTTACCACGCCGCCCCAACTATGAGGGGCAACAATGACATCGTTGCCTTGTCCAATGGCTTCTTCCACTGTGCGCCGAAGAACCCTAATGTCTTCACTGAGGTCGCTAGGCGGGCTGGGATTGCCGACCGATGCCATTTGCTGGCAATGCATTGTGTAACCCAGGGCGTGCAGCTTCTCCATCAATGGGACCATGCATGCTGGAGTGTGTACCGACCCAGGGACCAGCACGATATGAGGCTTAGTCATACTCGACGTGGGGGTGGGGGAACGTTGGAAACCGTTCGAGCCGGGGGTGGATGTGTTCGGCCAAATATCGATGCTACGATTCGGTAGGGGAAATGACACTGAGGAATCAAATCGTCAATCGGAACGTGTCGGTGTCGCTGAATCGGTGGTCAACGTGAAGGGGGCCTAGTCTTGGATATCAGGCATCCGTAAGCTTGTGCAGGCCTGTGGATCCTTCCTCTGAAGATAATTAGAGTTAGGCGCTGCACGGGACGTGGCTAGCCAGGACTCGCTGCTGTAGCAGGCCTACGTGTCCATTCAACTCGCATGGTAACGACTGAGCACGCGCGTACGTGCTCAACATCGTACTAACTTCGCTAGGATATTTTCTTCAAACACCAATCAACGTGTGCCGGTACTAGCGCTGCTTAGTTAGTGCTGCCAACGTGCCGGGTATCCTCACGTAATCCAGTCTCTTTCCGTCTGGCTATACAGGGCCATACTCCCGAGGCACTCAAGTTGCAACGCCGTCCAAGAATTATGCCTGAATCCTGGACTTCCAAAGCTCCCGTTCAAATGGCCATGGGTGGTATGAGAGTAGTCAGAAAAGACGGCTTTGGTGCAATTGGTTGTGAAACTCTCGTGGTTGGATCCTAGTGGTTGGGAGTAAGGAGGCCCTTGTTGTACAGGCAAATCTGTTTCGGGTGTCTGGCTTCGGCAATTGTCCGCCAACTATGCAGTTACTTGTCTAGAAAGTTATGAGTGTTTCCTTGCTTGTATCCTCCTTTGCGCTCACGGCTTCGCAATCGGACCGTCGACATCCAACTTTAGGATCATGCAGTATCCCGTCTCTTAAAAACTGACCCAACCGAACGCCATTGCCCCTATTCAACTAATCGATATCAGGAGCCTGTAGTACATGCATCATGATACCATGGTCTCTGTCGAGGTATGCTACTGTCGAGTACTGGTACTGAGTCCTAGAGTAGAATCCCTACAACTACTTATATGACAAAAGCCGACTTCGACATGTGAGCTGACAGTGTCTCTATGTTGGTGATGCTTGACGGTGATGATATGGGCGTGCGTAGGTTTGTGGGAGCTCGTAGGATTCTGTTTCCAGGTTCTGACTTCATTACCAATCTCTCAACCTGACTGTGTTCTATGACCAGGAGATTGATGTAAGGCAGGGTGGTGTACATCCATTGGAATATTCGTCATCCATATTGGTATAAGCCGTTGTCCATGTTGTCGAGTTTGCACCAGAGGGTATCCACGGGCGTCCTTTGTGGATTTTGTGTGCGAGAGTGGTTGATGGAACAGGTTGCAAATCGAAAATGTGGTATCGTGTGTGGTGTGGGGACTGATGGGGACTAGCTGGTTAGCGAGACAGGCACCAGGGCAGTTTTGAACAACATCGCAGCCAATGACAGCTCGATATCCGTTGTCCGTCGGAGTTTGTGCGCTTGTCGGAGCACGTACAGCATTCATCACATCACAAAACTATTTCTTTTGAATATATACAATCAAGTTGAATTTGGGTATTATTGCATGTTTGTCATGACCCGAAATTGGTGCAGTGGGACGCCTCCAACGCCGAGTGCCCAGTTCATCCACTCTGGGCATGGATCTTGTGGTACTGTATCGCTCACTGCATGCACTGTTCTAAAAGAACCTCCACCATATGAATACAATAATGATGAAGGCAAGTCCACCAACAGGTCCATACTGTGTATTGGTTAGCCTTTCAGCTTGCCAGTATACCATGCTTGCCGCGACAACTCACCTGCTTGAGCAGTAGCTCCCAATTGATACGCACAGCCGCCTTCTTGTACTTTCTGCTGTCTTCGCGCAGCCGACTCGAAATATCGCCCATCCTCTCCAGGCTGTCTCCGCGGTAGAGCAGATCTTCAATATTCTTAGTCATGACCTTTGTGACATCCTTCAACTCATCATTCAGCTTATCAAGGTTTTGTGTTGCTCTTGAATCTTGGTATGTTTTCTTTGTGCGCTGGATGAACGTGTCGAATTCCACGAAGGCATACGGGCGGCAAGTGGGCGAGAGATATTGCTGGGGCTGGTAGGTGGTGGTGAATTCGCGCGAGAGATCGGATAAGTAGGTGAAGGCAAGCTTGCGGGGGTAGGAGCGGTCGCATATGCAGAGGAAGCAGAGGTCGCCTTCGATTAGGTAGCTGGTGACAAGGCGTCAGCGTGAGTCGTGACGGCTCTACCCCTTTTGCGAGAAGGAAGAGGGAGGCAGAAGGCGGGCATTACTGGTATGTGTAGCTGCCGCTCTCTATGCTTGCTTGTGGCTCCGAGTTGCGGTTCAGGCGACGCTGGACAAGCTTCACCTTGCCCTTGACCTCATTGAATTCGGCGTCTGTCTGGGGAATAATGAGCCTTGGTTATGGAAGCCGCGCGCAGTCTTAGAATGGACAGTACCTGCTCGTCATCGACTGAGGCTGTCAATATCAGGCCTGCAAATCGGTCAGAACTCCGGTATATGTCGGCTCATTCTTGATGCTGCCACCAACCATCCAGCCGGGATATCATCGTGTGTTTAATCATGTTGGCGGTGCGGGTGTCAGGCCAGGGCTATTTGCTGTGTGCTGTGCAGTATCGTTTAGTCAATCAGAAATGCTACAGGCGCGTTTTGGTGGGGAGGTAGCAGATACAAATTCAGGCTACGTGTCGGCGTTGGTATAAGCCAGACAGCGGAACATGACGATGCGGAAAGGGTGCGGGAGAGCGCACAGACACACCAGCGCCATGTCTAGTAGTATGCCTACTATGTCTATATCATGCCACTGCATGTGAATGCGACAACATCCATGTACTCTCAGCACCATGCCCTAACCAACCTGAATGGTAAAGCTGTCGTTCTGTCGTTCGTTCATCTGCTTCTCTCTGCGATTGGAGCGTCATAACACAATCCAGACACTTGACATTGACCGACACTACTATTATCACCATCCCATGCGTCGTTCGCCTACTAGATTTCCACTCATCTCTGCTACCTGTAACTACCTTGCATTTATCAGGACAAAATGTTGCTACCCGTGCGGTATGTTGCGCGTCTTCCGCTATTTGCCAAGATTGTAACCTTCCAACTATTTCCGCTTCACGCCGACTGCTGAATAGTTATTGTCCTTTCTTCCCCAACACGACAATAGTCTCGGATGGTCTCTCATGCCCCATCTAGCCGATTCCTAACACGTAACTCTAGATCACCTTCTAAAGAGTCAACTACTTCACACCACCCTCTGCCGACTACAGTCTTACATACAGTGAACGTAATGCGCTCAACACACCACGAAACCAATAAATCTTCTCTCAAGACACCAGATATGGAAACCGAAGTGTCACAGATAGAAGCCATCTTTTCATCTCACACTTCTCAAACGACTTCTCCCGACTCTTCAACCCAGACGCAACATGCACAGGCGCCTCCACCCGAACCAACCACCACTCCAACCTCCAACACAGGTGCCAATTGCGCGGCGAGGCAAAGTCCGAAGAGGGCTCGTGGAGAGGATGATGATTTAGCATCTGCAGCCAGTACGCCACATTCAAAAAGGACTAACAACAAGGCAAGCGCGACACCAAACAGCAAGGCAACTATAAAGAAGCCTGCTCGCAAGAAGTCTGCGCCCAAGAAAACCACTACGCCAACACCCTCTAGGTCGCAACCTTCAAGAAACCGCAAAGCCCCTGAGCGCTTTGAAGACTTTGAGGAGAAAACAGCCAAATCTCTCCCAAGCAAGAAGGGTACCAGTAAGGTTTTTGACTCCGTCTTCATCACAACAAACTCCACCAGCCGCTTGGTCAAGGCAGATATATACGCAAGTCCAATTACTCCTACATAGCTTTACCTAGCTGACACAACACAGCATATGCTTCTTGAAGGCTCAGCCTGGTCATGTCTTAGTGCAGAACAGCAAAGCACTCTCATTGCCATGTTACCTCAGGACAGTACAAACCAAGGTTTGTTGACCAAGATCAACGCAGGCGAAACGGAAGGCACACGACCATCAGCTTTTACTTTAGCAAATGACTGCTTCCGTACCGATGTCGCAAAGTTTCAGGAAGATCTCAAGAATGGTCATTTGGCCAAAACTTGGCAGACCGCTGCTGAACAGGCAGTCATTGAGCGCGCAGCAGGAGAGTACGACAGGTGGAAAGCTGAAGAAGCAGAATCATGGTGGGGTCAAAAAAGCGTGTGAAGCATCATTATTCAGAAATACCTGCCATGGGACCAAGGTGGGTGACTTCGCGTCTGTAACCTGAGTTCACACGTACTCAATGAAATGCTACATTCAGAGACACACTTTAGTACTCCATTCCGGCGTCTGCAAACAGATTCATGCTACTTGCAGTATGGCTTTCAATAGTTGGAGTTCCTTTGGTAATTCAAGATTTCTCCAATTCATGGTGTGCCGACATTGTGACACAATGTTCGATGTTGGATTTACATCTACAATTATTTTTTCGATCACACTATCCTTATGCTCCGATACCCTATCTAACCTGATTGGCTTTTCTTCCTTGTCTAGAGTTTCGTTCCTTCTCTGACAGCTCCGCGTCCAAGTGCGTATTGCGCGTTGTCTCTTACAGTAGTTACATGTTTGACAAGCGTCATTTTCGAGAAACTGACGTAGAAAAAGTCTCATTCGCGCAAATTTGCACGCATTACAACTTAAGCCATCACATCAAAAAGAAGAAAAATAGAAGGTAGGGTGAAAATGCAGCGAATTGTATATAATTCAATCTAGGAATTTGATTTAGAAGCGCAGCGTCCTCAGGTACAATGACGAATCTCAAAATATACATTTGAAGAGAATTCCCACTTCAATCATCAATCACAGGCCGAAACATGCTCAAAACTTGAGTGTCGCACCAGCAATACCAACAACAGCAGCCTTGACATCCTTGGCATCAAGAAGCTGGGGGACCGCATAAGGCGCCTTCGTCAACGTACCCACGGGTGCAGTGTTGCTGCTGTTACCAAAGTCGTTGCCAGAGGCGACCGCGAAGCCATTGTCGATAGTGTACAGCGCCTTCACGGGATTGACCCAGACATTGTTTTGGACAAGGACCTGTGCGCCTTGGCGTACGTTGATGCCGTCGTTGACGTTCTCGAAATAGTTGTTGTAGATGTGGCCAGTACCAAAGCGGATAGAGGGGGCGCGCGAGTTGATGTTGCGCCAGTAGTTATTGTTGTACGTGACCGTGAGGTGGCCCTTGTCTTCAGCGGCGTTTTTGTCAGAGTGTCCCACGAGCGAGCACTTCCAGTGGTCGTGTAGATAACTATTGGAGACGGTGACAAAGTCGGCTGCGTGTGTGATGTCGATTAAGCCGTCGTAGTAATCCTTGTCATGGGACCTGTCTGATGACACTTCGACATGGTCAATCCAGACGTTCTGGGCCTTCTGGATCGCAATAGCGTCACCATGTACAACGTTTCGAACGACAACATTACGGATGATAACGTTCTTGACGCCCTTGGCTATGAGTGTGAAATCGGAGAGGACAACGGATGGGTCCTTGCCAATGACTGATTTGTTGCTACCAATGTGGACATTATCTCCATTTCCAGAGATGGGGCCGGTGATGACAACAATAGCCGCCGCATCGCCCTTGACAGCAGCTTCGAGGTCAGCAAGAGTGGCGACTTTGACGACCTTGCCTCCTTTGCCTCCTGATGTGCCTCCGTTTGTGGTAGCAAAACCAGTTATTGCAACATCCTCTAGAGACGCTTGGCGCTTGACAAAACTAGAGGGTGCTGCCAGAGTAGAAACGGCCATAAGGCTAAGTGATAGGACTGAAAACTTCATTGTGGTAGCAATATATTGCTGAAAATTGATATGAAGTAGATAGAAAGGCCGAAGCACTGAATCTATTCCCGCGGATGAGAATGGAACAGCCGTGTCTTTGCAAATCTTTGGGGAATTCATGTCGGACCTTTATACAAGACATGCCAACGCAACTTCTCATCTATTTAACCTAGTGCTTCCCCAGGCTTGGTAAAGCTTCTATGGATTCAAGCTACACAAGCATCTGGTTCCAAGCCATATTGCACCAATAGCTTCTCGCGAAGCAGGGCAAAAAGGCTCAAGCCACTAATAATTGTCCCTTCTTTACCAGGGTATGGAGAGGGGGCAAGCTACGCCAAATGTTGACGTTTTCCGAGGCGCTTAGGCGGAATGTTTCAAGTAGTACGACTAACTAGGAGTATATGAATATCTCCGCTTCCCCAGTGAGCGAGATTAAAAGGGTGTTCGTTTGAAATTTCGCATCAGATGTCGATACATGTTGACAATTTTCATCATGGGAGTAAGCAACACTCAGTAGCTCCCAATTGATGTTGGTAGCGATGGAAACAGACATATGACATGAAATAAAGGACAGTTCAAAAAGCAGTCTCTGAATCCTTGTAATCGACAGTAAAAACATGTGATTATGCGATCTTCCACGGTGAAATTTAATCTAAGATCCTTCCAGAAGCGAGTAAGCATGCGAGGGGGAAACATGTAGACCAAAGCTGCAGTCAGGCTACGAGTCATGCAGCATCATGCACCTGTCTACTAGTAAGCAACCAGCCAGTCTCCCCACGCCCAACATTTGAGATGAATTACGGAAAAACCTATTCCACCAACACACCGTCACTTCCGATCACTACCCACAACAACCCAAATCGTATTATCATTAAATCCCTGCGGAAATTTGCAACACTGAACAATCTCAGAATAAATTATTGCTGCAATAACTATCAAAGACGTGAACTGAGTAGTGAGATGTTGCTCATAAACAGTCCCATTGATTTGCATCACGTGGAGCCCTGCGAAATGTCTGATTAGTACGATAGGGCATTTCGGAGTCTAAAACGATGGCTACCAGACAAGGCAAGGGGAGCGAGAAGAATGAAATAAACACAAATAGGCCTTTTCAGACCCCTGTTTATATTTCCGAAAACGCCGAACACCTGTTCCCTCTGCTCATTGGAAGCGTGTACAATCTGAGCATTTGTAAAATCCTGCATGTCGATTTGTCATGCTGGTCTGCATGCTTCACCAAACAAAAACGGTAAAAGAGTGGTGCATCAAAACTCGCGCAAACTTTTCTTGTCCTCTGGATAGAGGAAAATAGGCTCTGCACTATTCGTGGGAAGAGCCGAAAACTCATTGGAGTTATGGACTTCGGTAACCGCTTGGCCGAGGAGCGTATTGGGATTAATGGAGCAAGACTCAATATTACATACATTAATGTATACATACTTACACATACACTAGTCCTATGAACCGAAGAACAATGGTTCACATCACGTGTTCTTGTGACATCATCGCCCAAAGCAGTAACCTCCACCCAAAGCTCTTAAGGGTTCACCTGAAAGATGCATAGTTCAAGGCAGCAACAACCCTTTTTCACACTGTGTCCATAATTTAAGACATTTTCAAGAACGACGCATCGCAACCACGAGTGATAAATTTGCTCGCTCTATACTACTATCCTTGATTCAACAAAGACACAGGACTCCAAAACCACAAGCAAAGTGACTCACAGAGCTGTGAAGCTACCGGCAGCACACCTTTCCACAATGCCACCAATTCCAATTCACAAGAACTCACCTATTGCGCCAACTACAGCCGCAAAAGCAGACGCCATAACGCCCGAGACTGCGTCCTCGAACAACACTGCAACCAACCCACCACCTACCCGCACCACGCCCGCCCATGTTCCCGCAACAACCACACAATCGTCGTCGTCGCCTCCCGCACCACAGCCCGGCGCCCGCCCTGTTGCCTCCACAGCGCCAGTAAGCAGCGACGGGTACAACACCAATGGGATACCAGCGCCCCCACAGCCGGGTCCTACAGCAACGGTAGTGACAACAGAAACGCGACAAATCGGTCCGCCTCCCCAATTTAACCGTCCACCACCGTCGGACTCGATGCTGGCAGGTCGCTCAACAGTGACTACAACGAATCCTACCTTGTCTACGGCTAGCAAGCCTGGTCCAACGACCCTGAACTTTGGTCCTGCTGCTTCGCCCTTTCAAACACTGGACTCTGGCAATGCGGTACCACAGCCTACAAGAACGAGCTTAGAGCATCCTCCCGGCTATGTCCAAGCACCAGACAACGCCCCCTACACTGCTGGAGGCGGCATTGGTGCGCCGAGCAGAGTGGACCGAGGTGATGGAGGTCAAGGCGAGGGTGTGGGAGCACAGGCCTGGCAGTTGTTGAGCAAGGCAGGAGAGGCGCTGAGGAAGGGCGAAGAGAACGTATGGAAAACCATCAACAACAAGAATGGCGGTGGCTTCTAACCAAGATGGTCATCGTGGGTAGCATTAGTGAGATATCAAATTCATAATCAACCAAGTATCCACTCAAACATCACGTCGCAAGAGGCATATGTTTTGTACAAAGAAACCCATGACTTTCTATTGACTACTATTTTCCCCATTGCACCGAGCGATGAAAAGAGGAAGTACAGTCAAAAACAGACAAAGCAATGCAAGCCGGATATGACGTGTGAATGTTGTAAAGTACAAGAGTGTGTTACCACTCCGGGGTCGTGCTTTGCGTCAGCAGGAGCAATTGTCTGCCCATTGAACGTCCAATTGCTCCAACACGGACACCTCATCCCCATCTCTCACGTCGCAATTAGCTGTTTCCGCCACATAAACGCAGGTTTGGGGTATCGAGGAGGGAAGAGAGGCGCTTAACCGGATCCACCCTTGAACTTCTTGCCGAAGAGGAGGAGCTGGGCCTGGTCGTAGATGGACAGGACACCGGCACCAGCAACACCACGGAGGATGTTGGCACCAGCACCCTTGAAGAGGGAGGTGACACCCTCAGCGGCGACAATCTGGCGGGCGGCATCCATGGTACCCTTGTACTTGACGGCCTCACCAGAGGTCATCATCATACGACGACGGATGGTGTCGAGAGGGTAAGAGGCGATACCGGCACCAGTGGTGACAGCCCAACCAAGAGCGAAAGAGGCCAAGAAGTTACCCTCGAGGTTACCGGTGAGGAGGACAGGCTTGATCGAGTCGTACATACCGAAGTACAGACCACGGTAGACGACGATACCAGCAACGGAGGGCATGAAACCACGGTAGAGACCAGCAACACCATCGGAGGCGAGAGTCTTCTTGTAGACGTCTACAAGACCGTTGAACTGGCGCTCACCACCCTTCTTAGCCGACTTGGCGTCGTTGGCGAGACGGGTACGGGCGTAGTCGAGGGAGTAGACGAAGAGGAGGGAAGTGGCACCGGCAGCCTAGTGTCATTAGCATGTGAATAAACCTTTGGGTCGTTGCCCAAACTTACACCACCGGAGGCCAAGTTACCGGCCATCCACTTGGCGTAACCGTCACGCTCCTTCTTGTAGGCGAACATGGACTTGTAGGTGTCGCGGAAAGCGAAGTTCAGCGCCTGGGTAGGGAAGTAACGGATGACGTTGGCAGTGTTACCACGCCAGAGGGAGAGGACACCCTCGTTCTTGGCGGTACGGCTGAAGCACTCGGCAATACCGCCGTACTTGCGGTCGAGACGACCGGACTTAAGCATCTCATCCTGTAGGGTATGAGCAATTGTTATGCGTAGTTTGTTAAGTTGAAGTGTACCTGGTTCTGGATGAGGAGCTTGACACGCTCGATGGGGGCAGCGGCGGTCTTCGAGACGGCGGCGGAGACACCACCCACTGATAAGCTGTTAGTTTCCGTTACAGACATAAAAGTTCATTGATAGTATCAACGTCGAGTTGGAATGCCAATGGCATCCACCCCGATGGAGTTATCAATGCCGATGAGACGTACTCAAGAAGTCCACCACGAAACCCTGATTGTGTCGTTAGCACATGTTGCAGATAAGAGAGAGGGCAACCACCGCCAACCCCACCAGCCAGCACGAGCATCTATAACGATGCTAATCTCATCTCAACGGATCGTCGGCTCGCTACGAGGAATCGTATCGATGCAATTGATGTGCCATTGAGTTAAGTGCGCGGACCAGTGGCATTGTGGCTGCAGGTGAGACCTCGCGGGAAATGGGTGTACATACGGGCATGCCCATGAAGCTCTTGTCTTGCTGTTTACCCGACATCTTGACGACGTTTGGAGGGGAGATTGGGTGAAGAAGGTAAGGTTGCAGAGGCTGGCGCTGCGTTAAGGGAAGACAGGTGTATTTGTAGCGAAAGCTGCGACAAATTCTGCCAGCTGCGCTAAGCCGCGCTAGGCCAATCACGTGCTAGCTTCTACACCCGCTGTCCCGAGCGCTTCCACATCTACACCTCGGATTTGCGGACTGGGGAAAAAGTACTTTTGATGGAGGTTTCACGCACAATCTGGTTTTTTGTCTTTTTGACTGTGCTGCTTCGGCAATTGGCTCGCACAATGCAACTTTTGTCACCGTCTTTTTGGTATCCCAGAGTTTCAAGTGATTGCGGCACCACAGAAGCGTTGCCGTAGCAGCAACTAGCAAGCGGATACACTTTGACGGAATCGCCTCTATGTGCAGTCGGCAGGCATTGATTCAACACTTGGAAAAAAATCCACTGTGGGGATGTACAAGTGTCCAGATACCTTTTCTAGCTCAAGTTTCCCAGGTTCTTAGGCCTCTCCTTTTCGCGAGCGGCCACCGTCAGGGTCCGCCATTTTTAGGTCGGGTAATCTCGGGTAGTGACCCTTGCACGGACCAACATTGTAGCGGCAAGACGCAGGGGCCCAGGACTCCAGAGGGGCGAATTTTCTATCGCCTTGGCCGCTATTGGAAGACGTCCCGTGGTTCGCGAAGCCTTTGTCGAGTTCCAGGGCTGCCGAGATGCTGTGGCCAGGCAAATGACGTTTATCTTGCATTAACAGGTGCACAGCTTCGTCAGATTCGGTTGTTTCGCATGCTGACGAGCGCAATGATCGTGCCCTTGTCCTACAGCCTCGTAGCGATTGCGGCAACAACCCAAGTTGCTGACCACCACTAAGACATGCTCATATCAAGACCATGTGTCGCATTGTTGTAAACCTGAATGTCCAACCGCCAAGACCCAGACAAACAGGTATTAACAGGTCGTGACATCAAGTAAAATCAACTTCCAAGGGAGTATTCAAAGAGATCACAGGGTATCCATTGCACCGCAGTGCCTGCTAAGAAAATATGTACAACTATAGGATGTTCGTGAACACTACAAATTATAACTAGGGACGCCTATCATGATGCGCCATAATCCACTCCTTTTTAAGAATTAATCAGTATTCAAAAGCACACCTTGACACCTAAGCAGGATATCCAAGCCTACGGTGTCATGAAGCCGTCTCCATTGAGCTTGCATTCGGTCTCCAGCTTGAAACTGTTCTCAAATGCTTGTACATGGTTAACAGCGTCTGCTGTTGTAATTCGAACACGTCCCTTTGGCGGACTCAACTTGGTTGTGACCTTTGAAACATCGCGTTTCTCGTCACTGTAGTTACCCCCAGCTACACACTTCTTATCGCCCCATTTCGTATCGGCTGCTGCCCGCCATACAGCAGTGATGTCAACAGTCATCTCGGGAGTATAGTAAAGACGACAGTCGGCCTCCTCGTAGATGAATTGTAAGGCCACACCAGAAGTGTCATTCACACGAAGTCCGTCTCGGGAGTTCACACCTGAGCCTGCACTACGCGAATAGACGATGTCGCGGTAGTAGTCTTCTCTTAGAATGGAGCTATTCAGTGAAGGATCGAAAGTGATGGCATACTGTGCAGTCTGTTGGATGAAGCCGAATTGGTAATTGTTGACGCCCTTGGTACCTCCTATGGCCTGGATGGGATTCTTGTTGCTGCGACCGCCCATAGCAATGGTCGTAACGCCCGCCTGTTGCGTCATAAGTTCACTGAAAATGGTGCAAGTTGACGCGCAGTAACCGTCTGTTAGAAGAACAATGTTCTCAGGAGCAAATTTGGGTGGGCCAGTGACATTGGCAAGAGGACCGTACCCGCTCACATAAATCCCACCTGACGAATAGGGAGTAAAAACGTCAGAGAGATTCCATCGTGATTCTGTGGTGTAGAGTGCGCCGTTGACCTCGTGGGGTCCCATCTTCTCGTCCCATGATGAGAAAGGCGTACCATCCACCTTGACATCAGTATGGTAGTCAAAATAGGAACTCTGGGCAGCGGTAATGGTCCTATTCTTGCCATATTCCCTTGGAAACCGCGAGGCAAAAGTACTAGTGGCCTGGCCGATGAGATCTACAGCTTCATGTGCACGGAGACGATTGTTGCTTAGTGGCTCGATATTGGGAAATAGTTGCTTGAACATGTCATAACCTTGCAAAACTGTGCCACCACCGTTGGCCTGGAGGTCGATCACCAGCTTGGTTTTCCCGTCTGCAAGAGCTTTGGGAATGAAGTTCTGTGTCAACTGCTGGAATGGAATCTCAGCGCTGCTAGAGCCTACAAAGTTGGGCACTTGAAGCACTGCAACATCCTCGTATCCAGGAGCGTTGATGTAGAACCCGTTGATGAGTCTCATTGGACCAGCTGCGATAGGAGTAGGATAACCTGGCGCATTGTTACCAGCTACCTGGACAACAGCAGTATCAGCACCCGAATTTTCCTTGGGTGTGCTATCCGTAGAACCAAAGGTGAGCCACTTGTCAGCTAGATCCTGGCCTGTAGCAATGTTGCGGAGTGGAATGAGCGGGCGAGCGTAGTTTTCCATTGTGTGACTAGACCCGTTGGCAAAGGTAAGGGTTGTGGTGGCTCCAGGATAGACCCATCGTCCACGACCACCTCCAGTGAAGGTACCAGTACCGCTGCCCATGGCACTGAGACTGACTTGAGCAAGCTCATAGAATAAATTATTGTAAAGTGCATCACGATCCTGGAGTTGGCCGTGCTGACTGAGTTCTTCCAGGAATTCTGTTGCATCCTTGCCATCAATCTCGACGACGGGAGAAGGCGTGTAGGATATGTTCTTAAACTGCATCCCAAGGACATCGGGGAAGGCAAAGACTGCGGGTAGTTGATCTCCATCCTCGGAAACGGAAACTAAGGGAATCGGCCGGCCCCAGGTGAAGAGGGAGCCGACTGAATCAGGAACGTAGGCAAAGTGGCCGTCATGGGCAGACTGGATGAGTTTGTAGAGAGTCCAGCCAAAGTCATACTCGTTCTTGAAGTTGCCAGCGTCAATATCGGCATCGATCTGGTCGAGTCCCCCGATGATGTCGACTGGAGGCTGTACTTTCTCGACGTACTCGGCGGGTGGATTCTTGAGTACATCGAGAGTACTCTGCCAATCGATATATGGCCGAATGCCCTCGATGAGTCGCTTTGCCGAGGACGCATTGAAGGGAATGTCGTTTATGCAATCCCAGGCCAGCTGGGCAGGGACCTGCTGTTTGGAAGGGGAAGTGCCGTCGCCATAAACATAGCTGGAGACCTTGGCACAGGGAGCTGAAGTAGTGCCGTTGGCTTGGCGGCCCTTAAGATGGATGTGTTCAGTACGAGAGGGCAGTACTGGGGAGGCGACAGCCAGTGTGGTCAAGGCCGCAAGGGCGAGGGTGGAGCGGGTCTTCATAGGTAGAGCTTAGATAGCCTCGCCGAGCTATCCTTTTTTGCAGACGGGCTAAGTTAGCTGGCAAAGAATGAGATTGCCCGGTGTCGAATGGGAATATGAGCAGAAACGAAGTGAAGGGCCGTGTTTGTAGTCGTAGTGAGGCAAGAGCAACAACGTCACGTGCTGGACATTGAGTCAAGAAGGGAGTGTGCAAACAGGCAAGCAGGTTTACTTGGAGATCTGCGTCCGTTTGTCCCCAAAATGGCAGTAGTGAAGGGGATTGCAGCCTGAGGGAACGGGCAGTGAAGATGAGACGAGCTGCAGGGCGCAGCGCTCTTAAGAGTCCTGACACGCGCCACTAGGAGGTTGGTGATATACATGAGTGACGCACCCAAGACCCGCTTGTGTACGAATACAAACAGACTAGCAGATGGGTCTGGGCCAATTTGAGCGACAGAGCACTAACCCACATGCCTAACGCAGAGGTGCATTCGCAATCGTAACACCAATCACATTCACACGTCTCCTGCATGAATGCCGAACAGTGGACACCCTGCCTGAGATCCGGGGAGCCATCATGGCTGGCCATAATACATAGTAAGTAGAGGTTAGCACAGAGCCGCAACTGAACTAGATCCTACCGCTTGTATGCAGGCAAAATGTCCATAGGTTTCGTTCGCACAGGGACCATAAGACCGAGTTGTGTGGTCGTAGATTTGGGGTTTCAGCAGAGATTAAACATACGAATCAAAAAGACGCCATGTCAGCCGGGTATTTGGACAAGTCAATAGGAAAAAAGCTCAGGGCGTTTCAAGGATATTGCCGGAGCAGTTCGCAAGGGCGGGCGAAGCGGGCGGGCGAGCCTGAAGGGTGGGTGGTTGAGTGCAGAGTGGCAGCTTGGCGCGTCTGTGCCTGGAGATCGCTGGGCCGCATGCTGGCCACCCACTCCACTCTTCCAACGCTGCATCACACACCTAGCAGCCCGCCTTCCGCTGCTGTCCAACCAGCAATCATCCATGCCAATACCATGCTGTACAACATGCTGCCCGTCTTACCAGCCCTGGCTGCGGCATGCTGTTGCTCCGTGTCCCTTTACCCCTACATGCGTCTATCTAACTACTAGTATGTACACCTGCGTATCTCGAGTAGTCATGTTTGTAGATAGGGACCCAGTCGGCAACAAAATGACAGGTTGCTAGCATCCTCATGCGCCCCTTGACCACAGTCAACACCCCTGCCACTTCTTTTCGCCCCTGTCTTGCCACCTCCGCCGCCTAAAGCCGTCACAACCGACGGTAGCATTGTTTGCAGATATGAAGAGAATTTCCTAGTACTTAGACAAAGACTACCAAGCAGCACTACCGCTGTGCATCAATCAATTCCCAAAGTGATGACAAGACGGGACACAGGCACAGCCATGCTTCATCTGTTTCCCACCGGCAGCAACGTCACGGTGACCATCAAAACCATTAGGCGGCATCCCGTCTGTGGTTCCAAAGTGCCAAGCCTTACTGGGTCCGGTGAGGCACCTTCTACGCTACTTTTTTTCGCCTCGCACTCAAGCGCCGTGTTACCCCAATGGGAGACGTCACATTCCCCCGGGTTACGGTTGGAATCAAATCTCGGGTACCGTTACGCCGTTGACTGTTTATTCCCAAAAACGTTGCTGACTGTGGGACAGTCATCGCAACGAAAGATGTCCCTGGTCCGTCTACTTACACTATTTCTGCTGGGCTGAAATAGAACCAGGCACAGGCACATACGCAGATACTTATGTAGGCACCCGAAGCACTGCCGACAACAATACTCCGGATGCAAAAAAAACAACAACACGCGGGATTCGGTTTCACTAGCCTCAACAAAGCTTGGCGAGCTTAGTAGTCTGCGAACCAGCCCCAGCCGTACCATGCCCGCCACAACGGCTCCACCACTAGCCACTGGGCTAGCACTGCACACCAACTATCATCCGTTCCTGCGCAGTAGAGTGCCAGTGAGCTCTGATGCTAGATTTTCCTTTCAACTGCCACTTGGTAGCAATGTAGCCCAGTGCCCCTGGGCACAATGTAGTACAGCGTCTGTCTGCAAGATTGAAGCATCGCAGGAACAACATGGCAATGGCAGTGTTTGTAATGACGTACCAACCGTCTTTTAAAACAGGGTGCTCACATGGCTCGATGGTCCCAGGATGGTTTCATCCATTCGCGACCTTCGAAAAAGAAAGATAAAACATACGAAGGGAAACATGGTCACTCGAACCACTCCAGTCCACACCCTACCAAATTCGTGTGTCACCGACCATCAATTGCAAGTGAACAATCAACTATCGAGACGAACATACATGTAATACACAAAGTAACTTTAAAGATCAAACCTTCTCAAAGAAACGTGACATTTCCCATTAACTACCCCAATAGCCCCTTAGCATCATACTTCCTGCGTACAAATACAAGTACAAACAACAAAGTAATCATACCCATGCATGTGACAGTACGACTGAACCACCGTTGTCGTCACACACACAAAAACAATACTCGTGTCACAAACTATAGTCCACCCTTGTTTTTTTTTCCTTCGAAACCGCTTCAATCAGAAAACAAACCCCCAAACACCATAGAAATGCAACATGCTTTCATCGTTGTTCCTTCTTTTTATCTCTTTTTTTGCACTTACAATACCATATCATCGGAACAAATGTGAAGTTGTCAAGGTAAGCATAGCGTTTTGCCATGCTCAAGGAAATTTGAATAAAGGTAAGAAAGAGCGGATGCGAAATTACCCTTTCTTCCTTTTTCACAAAAGTTCCCATGTGCAACGAGCGATGTGACACGCAGGACTGTCAAACTATCTTGGTCTTTCCCTCCAGAAGGTATAACTTCTCTTCTCAACGTTGGATTGTTAGACGAGGTTGAACAGGACTTAGTGACAGTAAGCTTAGATCCTCAGCTCCATCTGCTCATCCACAAAGGTAGCATTGGCATGGTGATGACTGTGGTCATGGTGTCCTTGCTTGATCAAAGCGTTATACTGCAAGAACCAAACACGTCAGTTTTGTTGTCATATCATTATCAAATTCCAGCCTAGGGGCCAACGTACCTTGAAGCCAAAGTTCAAACACAAAGCTACTGCAAGACCAATACACACAACCAATGGTCCCGTAATCGCATCAAAGTCCTTTCCGCTACGCTCCCGGATCAACTTGGCCCGGTATACGTACATACCGTAGCCCCATGCTAGGGTAAAGGCAGCTACGCATGTGTACACAACAGCCAGCGCGCGTGCAATGTCGTTTCCTTCTCCTGCGGCATTATACAGACCGAGGGACAGGGAAGCAAGCAAGACACTAACATGCTGCCACTTGATAAAGGTACGCTGGTTCGCGAGCCACACTTTGGCTTCGACTCTGACAGGGCCTTGGTCCTTGATCCACACACCAGGGTCTCTGATACCTGGCGGCAGCTGGATCTTGCGCTGTTGTCGGCGGGCGTACTTGGAGGTAGAGAAGGATGGGAAGAGAGCAGCAAGACCACCTCTTTGCGTCTTTCTTCCAGCAACCACGTCGTCGTCCGAATCCGAATCTTCTTCAACGCGGACGTTGGTGTTGTTGTTCGCCTCGCGATTGCGGTCTTGCTGCGACTGCGAGAGGTGCGAACCAATCGTCGGCAGCGAGGGTCGGACGGCAGGCTGTGAGTGGGCTGCCATGCTAGCACTCTTAGGCACAGAGCGAGTAGCTGCGGGTGAGCCAACAGGCGAAGCAATGGATGGGCGGAAACTAGGGCTTGCGCGTGCACCGAAGAGGGAGCCAACAGCAAACACATCCTCGGCGGCTTTACGTTTCTTCTCTTGCTCCTCGTCAAAGGCCTTTTCGGGCTCCTTTCTGATGTCATTGTCCACCTCGCTGAGCCAGAAGGGAAAGGTGTTAACGTTGTCCTCGAACAGTTTGGCGACACCGTGAACAAACTTGGAGAAGCGAGGCGATTCCTTGACGAGGTGAGAGTGCATCAGGTCCTCGATCCACTCATATTTTTGTGAACCCTTGACCTTGATCTCAAGCAGCGCATAGGGGAACCTGTGCACCTCGCCCTTCTTAAGGTTCTTGAATGGGTACTCCATCTGGGCACCGTCAATGTCGTGCCTGTGCCAATCATCCGGGTCACGGCATGGCCTGCTCTCGTCGAGCGAGTCTTCGCGGATAAGGGCAAGGTTGGTATCGAGCGAGATGCGGATGCGGTCGTCGCCCGGGATCTGGAAGGCAGTGCGAGTGTAGTTTGCGCGGAGCATGGGCTGTAGCTTTTGCTCCTTGACAAAGCCCTGGATGTTGCTGACGGCACTCTTAAACTGGTCGAGCTTCTGCTGGTCCTTGTTGGGCCTATATTCCATCTTCTCGATGCTCTTCTCCATGTGGTACTTGTCCTCGAGGAAAGACTGCACATATTTGGCCTTGATGGGGAAACGTACTTCCTCGGCGGCATTGCCTTCCTTGATGACCTTCTTCTCAAACATGATTTCTGGCTTTTCGTTGAGCTGGCCGTACCAGCGGAGGCGGAGCGAAGAGGCGTCAGGCTTGCCATTGACCTTGTCTGTGTAGAGGGAGAAGTCTGGGTTGTCGAAGTAGATGGAAGTGATTGTCGGGTCGCGCTGGGTACCCTCGGCAACCTTTGATGTTTGAGGGTTGTAGACAAGGACCGGGAGACGGCGGAGGATGACTGTCTTGACCTCGAAGAGATTGTCCATGTGGACCCAAACTATATATTGTCAGCGCGGCATGTTGCAGTTGGCCATGTACGACTTACACTTGTGTGAGTTGAAGGCCTCAGCCATGGTGCTGTCATCGTTAAAGGACAAGGTCTCCTTGGACTTGCCATCGAGGCTTTGGCGGACAAACGAGTAGAGAGCCGACAGCCTGTAGAGCAGCGGCGAGGCATCCTCGGTGTGGAGCGGATGACGGGCAATGCGAGCGTCGATGAAGGGGCGCAGGCGGTAGGAACTGCCGCGCAGCTTGTCGTGCTTCTTGGTGGCCTTGATGACGGCGGTGAAGTTGATGCGGCTGAAGGCCTCGAGCTCCTTGGTCTCTTTGGTGATGCTGTCGAGCTCGCGCAGCACTTCCTTTAACAGCTTTTCGCGCTCTTCCTGGCTGAGCTCGGGCTTCTTGGGCGTATCTTTGGAGGACTCGGCCAGCAAACCCTCGCCTTCGCCATCACCACCGGCGTTGGTGTTGTTATCGTCGTGGATGCCCACGGCCAATGGCTCCAGCTTCTTCTCGCATGCCGAGGTGCGGTCGCGCAGCTTCTGCGAGATGTCGGTGATGAAGTTGTGTACCTTTTCCAGCTGCACATTGGCTAGCTCATCGACAAAGGCGCTCTCATCATCAGCAGTCCACGAGTCGTCGTCCTCGTTGTCCTTGAGTAGCTTCTTGAGCTTGTCGTAGTCGATGTACTGGTCTTTCCATGGCGCATACACGCTCCGGCGAAGCGTCGTTCCGAACTTCATGGCTAAGCGAGAGGCTGAATGTGAGGAAGTGCAGGAAACGCGTCACACCAAGCAGCGCGGCATGCAGTAGTAAAAGAGTAATAGAAGAATAAACTACAACTCGACTGGGTCTGACCGGCGGGGAGCTTTGCGTGCCAGCAGCCAATGCCCAGGAACCACGGGCGCACGTGTTTCGCGTGCCGCCCGCGCGTCATAGCTGTGCAACTATGCTCCCACCCCTGCTCCGAGCAAAAGAAAAAAGATTTTGCTACGAGTGGGTATCGGATCCTCACGACATCACCTCGACTCCATCCTGCCTCTAGTTGTGACAACTTACCATCGTTTTCTACCTTCGTATAAACACACAAGTATCGATTCCCAAACACGGCCTGTTCTCCAGCACGGTCGGTCCTTACGAGTCATTCCACGCCAGGTACATCCATGTACTATTGTAACCCAATATCGTTGTATAGTCCCGACGTCAGTCTCCGAGCTCCGACTTGCTATTGTTATGATTGATATACTACAAACTTTACACAAACATTGGCGCCTGAAAATCTTCTTACTCTCAAAACAAGCCGCTTGGAACTGCAACGGCTTGTATGTACTATACTTTGAGCAAACTTATGCGGCGCCCTTCAGATTCATCACGGTAGCAAACATCAACTCTTTAATACCACCAAGGCCTCGCTCATCCAACCATTGAAGCACCCACGCCTTGTATCCATTTCCACCATCCCAATCCACACTCACCCCACCTTTGCGCTTCAGTGCCTCTAAACTCTTCTCACTGATGGGTCCTCGGTGGTGCACCATGGAATTTGGATCAAGACCGTTCTTATCAGCAAAGTCTTGCTCCATAGCACGCCAAGCTGCTGCAGAAAGCGCTGCCAGCCATGCGTTGTGAGACAACCCAAAAGCCGTTTCGATGGTATACTCACGGTCCATCTTCTTCAGATAAGAGTGGAGCATGGAGCGAAGTGCTGCATCACAGAACAACCCCTGTGACTTCTTGTCCTGCGCCACCAGACCCCGAGCTACCCAGAGAAGGTTGTACATGTCTCGCAAACAATAGTTGAATGTATCCGTAACCTCAACAGGGTAGTAGGCTTTGACCGGTTTGGGATGCCGGTCAAATGCCAGTTTGTACGCGCCAACAATGCCGCAGACACGTGCAAATGTCGTTACCGAGGCATCCTGCGTCAAAAGATAGATCAGATGCATTGGTGGCAGCTGTATCGGCACCACCCGCGGCATTGACGACGTGCTGACCAATTCGTAAAAGGAAAGGATGCACGACGTGACATCACTGCCCAGTCCTGCAGGCATGGAAACAAGAGCTGATGTGAACAATGTTGCAACATGCGCGGTCACACGGCTTAATGTCTGACTGCTCTCACTGCCATGATTTGCAGTGTCAGTGACTGCCGTCGATATATGATGCTGTAAAAGGACAGTATAGAAGTTGATGAGTTTGGGGTATGCTGGGATGCCTTGAGCCGCTATGGCCCGCTCGGCAAAGGAGAGATATGTCGCATGAACCTCTTCGAATGACCCAATGTCAATATAGGATAGTAGTCCTAGAATCGTGTCAAGATTGTCCTGTCCATTCCATACTGGCAGATACTCTCGAAAGAAAGCCAATACACTAGGGTGCAACGACTTGGATTGGTCAGCTTCGCACAAGTCGATGTAATAATTGCCCTTACCTTTGTGTACTGTGCATATCTCAAGAGACCACTAAGTATCTCATTGAGATATCCGTCATCTCCAGCCCCTTGGCGATGGGCCTCGAACTGCTCCTCCAAGCAGGCAGCAAGCCAAACACCAATCCTGGAAGTCGAAATGCGTGATGGCTTCAAATCCACATACTTTTGTAAAAGCGGATCTGCAAGCAACGATACCAGCTGACCTGGTGGCTCTATCCTATCAAGTTTCTCAACGAAATCATCAACACTGTCGATACCCTCGAGCGTTACCGAACTCTATCGTAAAATGTCAGTGTCTACTACAAACCGGCTTAGCCTGAGAGCTTACTTCAGTCGCATGGTAGGTGTGTACTTCCGGGATGGCAGAGCTTTTGCTACCCTTGGGTCCCTTTCGTAGCACCTTGAAGCCGTTCTGCACCTCCCCGCTTGAATCGTCAACAGCATTGCTGGCCTCATGAACTGCGACAATTCTGGCTCTCCATTCTTCGTCCGGTCGCTGCAAAGTTAGTCCATGTTCGGCAGTACGACAGTGGGGTGCGGGGAAGTAGCATGGGAGAGTCGAGGTTGCATTCGTGGTGGCACAGGCAGCGGATACTCACCGGAGCGAAAGATTTGCGACTCGTGGAAGTACTTCCAAGAATGATGTCGGGATAGTAGTCCTTGTACACGAGGAGAAGTCCCTGTAACGCGGGTTCATTACCTAGTCCGCGTGAAAGTTCCAGTCTGCCGTTGCGTTAGTGGGTCATATCAAAGCACTACCTTTAAAATGTATACGCACAGTTGCTGTATGCGAAATGGCTTGACGTGCTTTCTGCAAGTGATGAGCGAGAGCAGATGACACAAGGAAGTCCTGCTAAACTTAGCACACATGCAGTTGCAACCTGGCTCAAGTGGCGCACCTAATGCTGATCATATCCAGCATGCCGAACAGAACGCCATACAGGCGTGAGAGAACACTCTGTTCTTCGATGATCTCATGAACTGTAATCAGCCATTTAACCAGACTGTCTTGGGTGCCAGGCGAGGGCTTTCCTTTGCCTTGACCAAGCGCCCCGACAACAGTGATGACCACATCACTTGGTATGCGCCGGGCAGGGTACAGATTCTTGATCAGGGTAGTGATAGTTGTCTGATCCAGCGACGTCTTCACCGATATAAGCTGTACAACATCTCGAAGAGCATCCTGGTCAAGGCCGCCTTCATTGGCATAACGGCAGATGACGTCGACTATGCTCGAGACCTTGATGGTGCGTTGCTTTGCTGGTGTCCTGGAAGCTGCAAGCCACTGTAAGCACTCTTCCTGACCGAGTCGATAGTCGCGTAGTGATGCTTACCTTGGTGTAATAAGTTTAGCGTCTCTTGCAGCGTGGGCCGCTCGTCTGCCGAGTCCATCAGTAGCTGGCACAGGGCGAGTTGCAGGTCGAGTTACCAGCAACAGATGGCATGCCGCTGTCAGTACCAGCATGCATCGGATAAGTCCGCGTTTGGCCGTTGTGAATTCTTGGTGCGGTTGCGCGGGCGCGTTGCCGTCGTGGTTGTTGACATGAAGTTGCGCCTTGCCTGTTTGGACCGCAACCAAACAAGCGAGCAGCTCCCCGCCAGCCAGCCATCCATCCATCCATCCAGAACAGTGCGTGCTACACCTTTTCCACCCACCTTGCAAACAGTACTGTCCTATGAGTCTATCGCATTTGCGTATTCGGCCCTTCCTTGTATAGCCAATGGCTCGACGTACTGGTCAACTTACCGATTGGGGCTCCTGCGGCTCGCCCACGCTACTCCGGCTTGATCCAATTAATCATGCAGATGTCACCCGCATGGCCTATCCGTCACTGGAGCATGCTTCGCAGCGCTCGCCTGTCTCCACATTTACCTTGAACATTTTGTGCTACAAGGCAGGCATAAAAGGGTAAAGATGCGTCGACTTGGCCGGTCCGACTGGCTCTGGGTCATGGGCTGCTTTGCATGTCAGCGATCGACTCCATCACTCCCTCTGCAACGTCAACTCCAAGCGTACACCCCCCGGCGCGCTGTACGCCCCCTGATGATGGCGTATGTACGCGGATATGTGCCTGACCTACTGACCCGGTTGTTGGCTGGCTGCCTGATCCTGAGTGGCGTTCTTTCACAGATCCTCCACCAGACCGGTTGGTGAGGCGGTTTGTCCAGAGTAACAGCTTTCATCTTCCCTTCTGCTAGTACTGTAGGGCTCCAGGACTACCATGACTATCACTTCCTCATACACATGCACATTGCAACAGTGCCCCGCATGTGCTATCCTATCAAACCTTGTTCGCCTTCGATACACGATCCTGCTGCTGCCCGATATAACCATGGCCATGCGGCGAGGCGTCCGTTGAAGTAACTGCCCACATAGGCACCCGCGCCACCAGAATGCCTGTGTCGTATCGGTCGTGCCCATGGACTGGAATATGCCAGCCACTCGGCACTCCTTCCGCCTAGCACAGTCCCAAATTATTTGCTTTATCTGCCAGCTGTGCCCGCATGGCCGAAAGTTTGTGCTACCCTCCTCATATCTGATCTAGTATCACCTCGATCATCATTTTCAATAATATCGGCATGCACACCTGGTAGCTTGTAGTTAATCAATTCTACTGTCCAAAGCCTCTAGGGGCCGGAAGCACGATTACCGCCCTTCCTGTGGTCGTCAACTACTTGGTTTCCGGGGTTGTTGACCTGTTCCTGGAGTACCGAAGGAAAATATTGGGTAGCCACATCTTCGTGATTAGTCGCGGCCAGGCCTGCGCCATTTAGCTCGCTATTGAGCATTAGCGTTCCCGAGCCTCGCCTTAGCCTCAAAAAATTACCGTTGTCTCACGGCATAGCAACTTTCCTTCTTTTCGGCAACCCAAGCTCGTTACATTGCAGGTGAGATACGCGAATTGGTGTGCTTTCCCGGAGCTTGATCCACGAGTCTTCTGTGGTCTTTACAGGAAATACCGATGAAATCTCTTACTGCACTGCCCGTTTGTCTTGTGGAGAATTCTCGACATTTGGATCATATCCAAAGTACACTGACCCCTGGTTATGTATAAACACAGAACAGAAACCCCCTTCGCCTACAAGACATTTTGCTCAAGAACTATCTTTCCAACATCTTGCCCGTCGGATCTGACCAGGATGCTTCATGGAGCTTCGACCACCGGCGACGCTAAACTTGTACGGTGCCCAAAGAGAACTCTCGAGAGATTACGGCATTTAAACGAAGCTGAGATCATCACTCTCTTCACGCCAATTGTCCCACACCCTCCTTCTACAACACTGGCAAAAGACATGGATCCCTTTGAACCTTTGGGCCGGGTGCTGCCACGAAAAGTACGACATGTCCCATACCACCTCGACTACGGCAAAACTGAAACGCACGCCGACTTTCTGCCTTCGAGTGGAGCAGTTATAGTTGTCGTTTGTGCCACGGCCAATGTCCTTGGATATGATGCTCAAGCCTTTGAGAAACAGTTGCAGTTTGCTCGGGGTATAGCAAAAGACATCAAGGAAAACAAGTCGATAGCCAGCATCCCTTTTGCAGTGCTCTTCATCAGCGATGACGCTGCTGGAAGGGGCTACATTAATGCTAGTTGCGATCTCCCGGCAGTTATTACAGCCAACGATTATACAGCTGCAGCGTTGAACAATGCTGTCCGAGTTCTGTTTGGGATTTGAGAGTAATGAAGGGCGGTCTTTTGTGTATCCATATCCGGAGTTTCATGCGCTACATCACATTGGGGGGTTTCAGTGTTATGGAGGCAAGCGTCATTAAGTGGTATTTGTGTAGCGTTCCAACTGCAAACAATGGCCTTGTTAGTTTAGGCATAATGCACATTGTCATTAGCTTTAGTCCCGATTTATTGTTTTCTTTACATACGTCATGAAAATGTACCCACTACATTCAGCATTTTCATCTTGGTGCTCATTCGAACCCAGCAATACAATAGCAGTGACGTATTCAAACAAACTACTGAGGATATTCTCCGCTACCTACCATACTCTACTCGGCAGTGAAATTGAAGGCTAAGAAAAGAGAGACATGTCAATAAGGCCCGAGGTGAAGAAGAAAAAAGTAACTTGCCCCACTCGACCGACACGCGCGCATGCAAGGTCAATGTGATTACTTTCTGCACAGCGTGCATGATGCATATCACAGCGCATACAGAGACGCTCACGTGAGGTCGGTGCCATGCTAGACAAGGAATGTACCTCGTATGTATGCAGTCTACGTGGCAGACAGGTACAGGGGGGGAGGGAAGTAAACTTTGTATGACGGGGAATGTGTACGTAGTCGTGTGGACTTGGCGCCTTGGGGGGGTTCGAAGAAGAGAGGATGGCAAAGGTATTAATATTATATTTGGTATCTCGTATCCGTTTCTGAATGTTGATAATGACGTTTGACTTTGCCGTGAACTGCTAGGTATTTAATACGCAGTAGGGATGGCAGCATGAATGGGTCCCTATCTGCATTGATGCTTTCTTCCATACACGCGTATCGCTGCTCATTACGCTCTTCAAAAATACACTGTCATACATCTCCGAAAGCTCCATTGATAAACGCCATAACCCTTCTATTTCCCAACAAGTGTAGCTGCTCTCATTCGTGCGGACATGTACTCCGTCGTTCTATGGCTCCATGTAGGCCCTTCCACCGGCAGGAAAATCTCCTCCAAGGGGAGCATTCGGTGATACACTCATCTTCTGTGCGTCATTGGCGAGCGATTGTTGGTTGCCAGACACGTAGTAGAGAATACGGTTTGCGATGATGGAAAGATGTTCGGGGAGGTATAGCGATGCAGCGATTATGAGGAGAGACAGTAGGAGGAAGAGCACAGAGTCTGTGGTTATATGTTAGTATTTTTTGTATCTTTCTTGGTTCTTTCGCCATGTCTCTGCTGGAAAGGCAAGGGAAAGGGGTGTAGGTGTCTGGCGGTGACCAGAAGCGCACACATGTGGGATAAACGTACTGAAGATGAACTTCTCGGTCGACGTCAACATGTATAGGGAGAAGGTGACTTCATATTGGTATCGCTTGCGCTGGAACCAGCGCAACATGGTCGAGGGATACAACATGGCTGCAAGGAGGAGTGCGGAAGCCGAAGCCAAGAGGACGCCTGTCGCAAGGGATGTCGTGTCAACCATAGGAAACAGTAACTAGTACAGGGCGGCTTAATAAAGGGTTCGGCCGAGGGATATGCGTAAGTAGTTGGGGGCACGGCGCGCGGCGGATTTAGAATGGCATGGAAATCGGCGTGGGTGAAGGAAGGGGAAATTGATCAGTTCAGGGACCGAGCGGATTTGGAGCAGGGGTCTGGCGTGTTGCTCCGCTCTCCACTCATCTCATGACGCGCACGACAATTTGTCAAGTCGCATCGCTGGCCAACATCAGACAACAAGGTTCCCCCGTATGTCAATGCTGCTACCACGACATGCTGCTGCTGGTGCATCATCTCCAATCTTGAAGATCTAAAAAAAATGCACCTTCTCCCGCTCATCCCGCGTCTCACCCTCACCCGCGCACCTACTTCCGTCTGTATCCAACATGCCACATTCCACAGCACCCCGGCACTCTTCTCCAAAGCCCTCCCGCCGCGTCTCATACTCCTTGAATCAGACCTGATAGAGAACTTCCTCAAGGGCTCTGGTCCCGGGGGTCAAAAAATCAACAAGACATCTTCTGCCGTGCAACTCAAACACATTCCCACAGGCATTGTCGTCAAGTACCAAGACACGCGGTCCAGAGAGATCAATCGAAAGATGGCAAGACGCATCCTGCAGGACCGCATTGAGGAGATGGAGCTAGGAGAGGATGCTAGGACAAAGGTCAAGGCAAGAGAGAAGAGTAAGAAGAAGGCAAGTGCGGCGAAGAAGTCGAAGAGGAAATACAGAGCATTGGAAGAAGCGAAACAGAGTGGGAAAGAGGATGCTTCTGCGGATGAGGATGCTGTTTTGGAAGCAGTGGAAGATCAGGCTCCTGTGCCGGACTCGCTGAGAGCTGGTGATGTAAGCAAGGCCGCAAATGATTGAAGGCGGAAAGATTCAAGACATGATTCATACAAGAAAACGCAGGCTGTCGTGTGCTGTTAGATATAGACGCAGCAGGCCTGTAGCCTTTGACAAGACCGGCTTTGCAGGGTCTCGTCGCAAGAACCGGTGTTTCCACGCGTGATTACAGCAAGCTCACGCGCCTGAGCTGTACACTAGAGCTCGAGGCCAAGAGGAATCGGAGAAAGAGGGACCAGACAGCAGAGCTCTAGATAGTGGCGAACAAGGCGATTGCCAGCTGTCGAAGAAGCCCATCAAGCCAGGCGGCACGTCGTATTTCTGGCTTAAGCGCGTGTCGTAGTGCGTGTCCAATATATACAGTATCCAAGTGTGGGAAAGTATCACGAAGCCTATCCCCTACCACGCGCTCTGCGCCCAAGTGATGTACACTTTATGCAATCATACACGTCGTACGCGCTGACAACATAATCCATCTTCCTCAAGCAACTGGACTCAGACCAGAAGACTCAATGAAAAGGATAAGAGCACTCGAAGATGCGACCAGCAAAAATTGCCCCGCCGAGATTCCCGAAGGAAGCTCGTGACTTATCCACACCGCGCTGTGCAATGCAGGCGAACGAGTCAGACCACTGAATACTTGAGCTCAGTGCGTCGCAAGAAGGTAAGTATGAGGAATCTAAGAGGGGACGGGGAAAGGTGGGTTTATATACTGGCAGGGACACGCTAGTTGCTAGCGTGCACGTGACTCAGGCTGCCATCAACCCTGTGACCGTAAGCCTAATTCATCGACGGCTTCAAAGTGGGGCTTTTGGAGTGAAAGTACTTGTGCATGGAAATATGCAAATATGCAAATGTCTTTCACCATTGAGAACTTCAAGGCCTTGCAAAAAGACGTTACAGCGCAACTGTTCAATGGAAAACTACCAAGAAATAGGTATCAATATGCACAGGTACTTCACATTGGTCCCTGTCTTAGGGCTACCATTCCCTCAATCACTTTCCATACGCAGACTCCTGGCATCCGTTGGATTTGATTCAATGTCCTCTTCGCTTTGAGTAGTCCTTACAGATACGGGTCTTCGGCATATCACTTGATAACAATAACGAAATATGAGTGCGACATGAAACTTCACTCAAGCATTGCGTCATCGTCAATGGCCTTCATTCCAGCAGTGTTCATGTACAGCCCAGGCTAAGACTACAAACGAGCCCTACACGTTTCACTCCTTGTACTGCTTATGTGTATAAACACCATGTATTTCTCCCTCAAGAACCCTTTCCTTCCACTGTGTCATAAACCCCGCGCCAGTTTCTTATACGCGCCGTATCCCTTCTCCACTATCCCTTTTCCTAAATACAAAGTCACCATGAAGTCGATTGTCGAGTCCATCGCCCACCGCTTGTCTAGCCCTAGCAGAAGACGCTCCAAAAAGTTCTCTCTACCTCGCGACGAACCCATCGTTGCTCTCGACAACAATCCACCAGATACATCGGTAATTGAAGGACACGGCGTTAACTACCAAAGCCCATCCGAAGAAGACATCCCACTTCTCAACTTGGATCTCCTATCCATCAAGCCTGCGGATCGCCAGTGGTTCACGGACGTCAACATTGCTGTACGCGACCTCTCAAAAGGTTCGGAAACTCAAAACAACTACGGACACATCCGCCGCATTGTCTCAAACGCCGCTCATATTCTTGACAAAGAAGTGAAGCATCATGAGTGGGCTCGCAAACTCGACCCCCTCATCATATGGGTCTCATGCATGGTATATAGCGTGAGCAGGCAATTGTGTAGAGCTGCGGAGAAACCATGCGATCAACTTGATGTCATTGACGACTTCCTCAAGTCTTACGGCTGCCCGCTATCGATTCGTCGCCAAGTAGCCTTCATCGCTGTACGAGTTACCGTCGAAATCGAACTGTACGATGTTGGTCCCATGAAAGTGTTTTCGGACGAGTATCCCGCCTACCGCGTGATCCAAGATGCGCACTTGCTCGGTGAAATGGGCGCTATTGGTATCGTTCGGTTCTACACGTTCTACGGGTCATTTCCGCCCGAGCGTTGGGACTTGATTAGGAAGATCAGCAAATTGGTTGCGGTCTACTTGAGCCAATATGTACAGGCTATGAGGACGGAGACTGGGAGGAAGATGGCTGAGGAACGGTTGAAGTGGATGAAAGAGGAGTTTCTGCGCCAATGGGAACGCGAGGCTGATACGAGTAACGTGTAGTCCGTTATATTTGAGGTCTTAAGGGTAGTTCATGTAGTGTCCTAGCTTTCTCGGCTCGGAACATCTCATATGAAATTTCCTACAGTAACAATCATAGCACTGATAGTCTCTGAAAAACCAATCTAAATTCCTCTAACACCCAGTACTCCTGCATCCTATATAACGTGCACTAAAATCAACGCGTACCACTCTTGCCTCCAAAGTCCTCGTCATATTCAAAAACCAAAGCAACCAAAACAATCCTCAAGAAACCTCGAAGTGCTCCCACTCTACTCATTGCACTTCCAAGTAACACTAAACGTGTCCGCATTGCCCGCCAAACACATCTCCAGGCTCGAACCCTCCGTCACCACACACGGCAGCCTCTCCTTGCCCTCACAGTAGATCCCCAAGGGATCAGACCCAATACCCACAAAGTCACAATTCTTGTAGTCAGAGTCAGGAATGTCGAAGAGCTTTGACAACCCGACGAGCGTTGATTCCTTGTAAAAGGGAGTGTCGGTGCAGACGTTGAGGAAAGAGTCGCGCGGGTTACGGTATATGACAATGGATTCGGTGCCGTCGCCTGCAGTGAGTTTACCTGCGTGGTAGACTTGGTCAGTGGGTGAGGGCCCAGGCTGAGGTTGAGGTTCAGGTTCAGGTTCAGGTTCAGGCTGGGGCTCGGGCTCCTGAGGTGGCTCGACGGGTACGTCGGTGGGCTCTGGGGCGGGATCAACTGGTTCGCTGGGTGTGGGCTGGGGATCAGCTGGGGCGGGTACGTTGGGTGGAGCGTCGGCTCTGGGGAGCGGACCGTCACCGTCGACGGGGAAGGGGTAGCCTGGTACTAAGCCATCGGTCAAGTCGAGGGTGCAGGCAGGTGCTTCGATGGTTGTGGTAGTGGTAGAATCGGAGACGCCGCAAGCTGTTGTTGCTGTGCAACTGGGATCTTTGCATGAGGTGGTTGTCGTGACTCCAAGGGCGTTAGTGCCGAAGCTACATCCTTGCGTGCACACGTTTGCTGTCTGGGTTTCGCAATCATCGGGATCTTCGTTGTTAGGTGGTGGAGGAGGAGGTGTGATAGTTGGATCAATGGGTTCGACCGGATCAGGCACTGGGTCAGGCACCGGGATCGGGTTGACAGGATCTGGTACTGGGATCGGGTTCTCAGGATCTGGCACAGGAATGGGGTTTACAGGATCCGGTACTGGGATGGGGATAACTGGTCCAGGTATAGGGATGGGAATGACTGGGTCTGGAACTGGAATGGGCTCAACCGGGTCGGGCTCCGGAATGGGTTCAACTGGGTCAGGAGCTGGGATAGGGTCGACTGGATCAGGAACTGGAATGGGTTCAACTGGATCGGGCTCTGGAATAGGCTCAACTGGATCGGGCTCTGGAATAGGGTCGATAGGCTCTGGCACTGGGCTAGGATCCGGCAACGGAATTGGGTCTACTGGAGGTGGTAAAGGGATTGGAATGACAGGAAGATCGGGGTCATCACTTGGCGGATCTTCTGGATTGTCGCTTGGAGGATCAACGGGTTCTTCGGGATTCTCAGGTGGGTCTGGAATAGGTGTAGGCGCAGGAACAATCGGTGTTCCCTCAGGGTTGTCGTCAACTGGAGGCGTATCAGTTGGTCCTGGAATTGGCGGAATAACATCTGTAGTTTCGCCAGGTACAGGATCTGGATTGGTGATTGGTATGACCAGTTTCGGACACATATCGTCGCTGAATAAGAACACAAAGCCATTGAGGTTGACATTGTTGTCTGCGTTCAACGATAACGAATTTGGACCGATGGTGATGGCTGGTCCATTGGCCTCGATTGTTGAAGTTGCGCCATCAGGAAAGCCATTCACAACGACATTGGATGGACCTGGACTAAGAGTGAGAGTTGCCTCTGGCAAATTCACAATAGTCGGGCATGGAGGCGGATTGGCCTGTGGAGCTGGGCGAGCTTCGGCGAGGTAACTGTTGAGAAGAGAGAGAAGGACTGTGGAAAAACCGGAATGATGCATCATGCTAGATGAAAGGAGAGTAGAGCTGAGAATGTATGAAAGGTATGTTGGTTTGAATGATGCTTGATACATTGGAGATGATGGACATTATATACACAATGTCCTTGACTCTTTCCTGGAATAGATCCAAGTCCTTGATTGTCCGTTGTTGCTAGCTATCCTCAATCCATCACTGCCATGTTACTTCGGGCATTCAGGAAGACTCATGGGGCGAGGCGCACAACGCTGCACACTATTTCGGGTGCTCGATATGGCAGAGAGAGAATATTAGTATTTTTGTATACATTTGAAACAAGAGTAGCTTGCCTAAAAAGTACCCTGCCTTTGAGGAATGAAATCATTGGCTATTTCTGGGAAACAAACGCAGGGATCTTGTAGGATGAGAGGCGTGGGCGGCTAAAGCACCCCGCTGACATAAGAACTCACCACTTGCCCTTGACAACTTCAACCTGGAGCCTTAACTTTTACTCTTCCATCAAATCCTTTGCACAATTTTAAGATCACTTTGAAACGATACCATGGATTATACAACCGCCGAGAAAATTTACGGCCAGATTGTTGCGGCAATCAAGAGCAAAGACATTGAGGAGTTCGACCGACTAGTCCAAGACAACCCAACCTGGCCCCCACAGGAGCATTGGCTTGGACACCCACACGATGCTGCCTCCCGTTCTGGGCTTCCCATGTTCAAAGCATTCCTCAAGCATTTCCCACAGACCAAAGACTGGGACTGCGGCGAAACTGGCGATGTTGTCGGCGCTGCTGCGATGACGGGCGATATCCCAGTCCTAAAGTACTGCCTAGAAGAACTTGGACACAATGCTAATGAGGGACGCATCTTCTTTTCTCCAGTAAGTTTCTCATATTGCAGTAAATATGAATATCTGAAATAACCGTGGTCAGGTGTTGTACTTTCTCGACTCCATGAAAGATACTACTATACCTGGAAAGAAAGCTGAAGTGATACAAATCCTTGAACAGCACGGTGCAACAATGGAAGGAGAGCCTGGGAGTATCATCCATCAGCGATCGCACAAAAAGCGCAATGGCAAACTGTGCTGGCACAAGAATGACCCGGTAAATTGCCCAGACTACGTGCATGATGAGAATCCAGGCGTAGTTGAGCAGGCCAAAAAGCTGTTCGGATGGAACAAGCCCGGGAGTAGCGTAGAAACCCCTGCTTCTGAAAGCCAGGAAAAACTGGCCCCTTCGTGAAGGAATATGTTGTGTTTCGAGTATGTAGAATGAAGACGGCAGTTGGCCCTAAGTGTTACCATCAATTGAAAGTGCCTTGCCATAATTAGATATAGTGGCCTGAATTCAGAGTGAAAATGTGTGTAAAGAGACTGCATAGTAAGGCCCTGATAGATACTACCCCAACACTATCCATGTCGCTCTTGAAACGTCCTGCCTGATTTCGTGGGGTGGCTTGGTAGTAAGCTTCATAGATAGAATCAGTATACAGTCTTCAGCGCTTAGAGAAAAGAAAAGAAGAGTATATAACTACATCTGAATATCTTCCTGAATTCATATCAATACACTGTCTCCAATCTCCTTAGCAACATCACCTTCATTCACTTTTGTCCTTCATTGCAATCCGTCTCATTCTTAGCACAAAATGAGGTTCCAATCTCTCCTTGCGTTCCCCGTCTCTCTCGCACTCCTCTGGAGTGCTGCTGGTCCGTTTACCAATGCAGCACCCGCTCCTTTGCCTCCTGGTGCCGGTAAGTATTATAGGCTTTTCTACACTCCTACATGCTAATATCAGCAGTTACAACGAATGTTGAGCTCCCTAGACAGATTGAGCATGTCCTATACGGTTCAGACGTCGAAGATGTAAATGTCACCACTAATCATCTCGTTCGCCGCGGTTGCTTCCCCAGCAAAGAAGAAGAAGAAGACATAGGCCCCACGACGTGCGATGGTAGCGTTCCCCCGCTCGAGGAATTGCGAACTCAGATTCAACGCTGGGGCAAAGTAGCTACCAGAAGACCCGCCTTTTATACTGCTCTTGGGGCAGGAGGCGCGATCAAGACAAGCAAGTGCTGGGTCCAAACCCACCCTGACCTGATTGCGCCGGTCCCAGACCCGCCGCATAACCTTGGCGCGGTATTCTTCGATGATATTGTGGACAAACGTTACGAAGCAGCCATCTATCCGGGATTGATCGGGACAAGACAAACCAGTTATCAGAAACTACTCAGTCAGGCCATGGCTATGGAGAGCCAAGGAGAAGTGTGGATCTTTACAAAAGCAGATGTAAACTTCGATACGCTCAACCCAGACAACACCTGGTAGGTCGTCGTGTCGGTTTCGAGGTATAGTGACATGAAGCTGACAGAATACTACAGGAATAACTGGGAGCTCCCAGCACTCACCCGCAACGACAAGGTAGAAAGGATCCTCCGCACAGACCCCACTGATGGGAGTGACCCACCAATCATCCATGAGATTTGGAAAAGAGGTGATCCACCCACGGCCAATGAGCCACGAGGATTGGTAGAGTTTTGAGTTGTTTGCCTTGGAGAGAGTCGGAGTGCCGAATTTGGGTAGTTTTACGGGTTCAGGTTGGGGTTTTTGTTTTGGCGGTCAGGCGTTCATCGCGTCTTGTCTATTTTTCGGAACATTAGAATGCTAGAGGGTACATACTACATATTGCAAGCCACAACAGTATTGATCCACTGGACATATACGAGTAGTAATAGTACGTCACCTATGGGAATGTCGATTGGCGTCCTGCGTCTCCTTTTTCTGGAAGTTTGGGCTGCCAAAAATAGACGGTCGGAGTGGGGCGTGCTTCCGCCTGGCACCGCCATCCACTCGGGCCCGCTAATTATACTCCACAACTAAGGTAATAACGGCCAAAGCTAAGCCTTGACGGCTTTTCTTTATCCTCTCATGTCATAGGTGGCGAATCAGTGCTTCGGAATTCGAGCGACCAAATTACCGGAGTTCTAATGCGACCGACGGCGCCGTGTCGCGCGTGTTCAAAACACGTCTAATGTGTCTTCTAGCACAATGTCCACACGACATGACTTCTCGATGCTGTATAGCATTGTGGCTTTTCTCTAGACATATCGTGGTCATTTGTTTTTCGACGAGGATCAGGGATCACTTTTCGTCGCGGCTGTCTGTGCCGTGGGCTCGGCGAAGTAAGCTCGTATTAGGACCTAGGCCGCCCATCAGTTTACGATTGGTACAATGCACGCTGCCTTTAGCAATCAGAATCGGGTGCTGGCTTGTGGAGTAATTGATGAGATTTTGTCGTATCCGGTGGATCGACGACAGGGCATACGCCTGACGCAGGTACACAAGGCTACGGCAGGGAGGCGACTACCACCGCAGATCAGTTGTTTAAAAGCACCCTTTCCCTCTGGGCAAAGCTTCTTCTTCACGGGCTTGACAATCACATGTTAGTGTAGTCATCTTGCGTTCCTCCGTCTAAGCCGTTGTTTCCTTAATTTTTTTACTATCCCCTACCCCTGGTTGGGGTAATATCTTGCTGACGGTAGAATCAATACTTAATTCTCACCTTGCGCCATCCTCCACGGCACAACCTTAATTCATTCTCCACCACCATCATGAAGTTTCTCATTCCTCTTGCCGTGGGCCTAGTCGCCGTATCGGCCACACCCACCGCAGTGCTAGATAGGAGGGACGTCTCGACTGACGGATCATGCGGCGGAACTGCCGGTCTTACGTGCAAAGGTTCTGCGTTCGGAGATTGCTGTTCGCAATACAGTTGGTGCGGAACCGGTTCGGCATGGGTGAGTAGCTTGTGGAATACAACACGACTTCGAGGCTAACAACGGACAGTGTGGAGCTGGATGCCAATCTGGCTTCGGAACGTGTGACGATGGCAGCAGCCCTCAGCCCTCACCCTCGCCCTCAACTCCGGCCCCTTCACCGGCAGCAGCACCTGAGGGCCTTGTCAAATGTTTGAACGGAAAGGAAGTGCCCTTCAAGATGAGCAGCGACGAGGAATACGCACAGCTTGCGAAGCCTTACAACTTGCGCGTACCCTTCAACCCTGCCGTCATTGTCCTGCCAACCACTGAACAGCATGTCCAAGATGCTGTTGTCTGCGCTGGTGAGCAAGGAATCAAATGCCAGGCCAAGTCGGGTGGTCACTCTTATGCCAACTTCAACACCGGTGGTATCAATGGCGCCATGCAGATCAACCTTCAGTCTTTCCAGACTATTGAGCTTGCCAAGGATACTGGCATTGCAGTAGTTGGAGGCGGTGTTCGCCTGGGTAACCTCGGTGACGGAATCTATAATCAAGGCAAGGCTGCTCTCGCTCACGGTACCTGCCCTGGCGTAGGTATCGGAGGTCACTATACCCATGGAGGTTACGGTCAAACTTCCCGTAACTGGGGTCTTGCTATGGACCAGATCGTCGGCGCTGAGGTTGTTACCGCTGACGGTAAGCTCGTCAAGACGTCAGCCACTGAATCGCCCGACCTCTTCTGGGCTATCAGGGGTGCTGCTGATTCTTTCGGTATCGTCACCAAGTTCTATCTCCAGACCCGTGCGGCCCCAGACAGCATCACGTACTTTTCGTTTGGGTTCCAGGGCGTTCACGATTCCAAGGATGTCTGGACCAAGACCTTCCTCCACGTGCAGGACGTAGCTACCAACAGCTCGGTCGTGGATAACCGTATCTCGTTTGGTGTCTACCTTGACGGCTACAAGGGCTACAGTCTGAGCGGCGCCTTCTTTGGCTCCGTTGACGAATTCAACAGCAAGATCAAGCCTGAGCTTCTCCGCGGTCTCCCTACACCTTCTAACCCGTCTGTTGAGTCCTTGGCCTGGTACGACTACCTAGTCAAGATTTCCGGCAAGACTAGCATCAAGGTATCCACAACTGGCTACGATGACCACGAAGACTTCTTCGCCAAGTCTGTAACTGTCCCCGAATCCAGCGGTCTTACATCCGAGGCCATTGGCGCGCTTTATGACCACCTTCAATCTGCTACTTCTCAAGAATGGTACATCATCATGAACCTGTACGGTGGACCCGGCTCAGCCATCAACAAGAAAGACATTTCTTTCGCCGCCTACGACGACCGCAAGAGCCTGTGGGTGTTCCAGAACTGGGGCTACGGCGCTACACCCAAGGATTTCATCAACGGCATCAACGATGCCATCATCAATGCTGAGCCTCAGACAAATTTTGGCGCGTATCTCAACTATGTTGATCCCACGTATGATGCCGCCACTGCTCACAAGCTGTACTATGGCGAGGATGTGACAGCGCGCCTGACCGAGCTCAAGGCAAAGGTCGATCCCAAGGGTATCTTCTGGAACCCTCAGGCCATTGGTGCTTGAGTGGATGCGAGAGATGGAATTTTTATGAGACCGAAATAACACAGAGATTCTTTCTCATGTCCTCACGAATAGTATTGATGTTTAATTATTGCGCGTCTTAGTTGTACCTGTATTACCTAGAGGATAAAGTAGGACCGTCAAAGGAAAAAAAATTGTAATATTATTTGTACACGTCTCGACATCGATGATTGGTTGTATGTGATGCTGCTGTACACGTTGTACTAATCCGCAAGGGAGAGTTACACACGTTCTCCTGCGAATCAATGCTGCTTTGTCTTACAAAGGACACGAGGCGCCAGCGAGTTCTGCCAGGACCCTGTATGATATCCATCTAAACGCTTGTTCTATGATCTTAACGTTTGCTGGCTCGAAGCAAGTCTGGCCGGCCTCGTTTCTCCCCCTTTTATTGCATTCTTTCAAGACGAGATTATTTAGGCACTCGGCTTCAGTATGTTGCATGATAGTTCTCTAGGCCGTTTCCCTGCCCCCACAATGCGGTGATGAACCATTAAAGGCTGTTTGGTGGACCGTTCAAGGAACATTATTAAAGCACCCAGGTATTCCCAGCATGAAAGGAGCGGGCCATGGCCGCCACCCAACAGGCGTACTGAACACGTTAGGTAGCTGAACACCAGAGCAGTGCATGATCCGAACGCACCAATCAAGCAATTCAAGAGTTACATCTGCTGCAACCTCTGTGTTTACCTTCTCTCTCTTCATCCTTTCCTCTCGACTCCATTTTTCATAAAAGACTTCCGTCTGAAGATTTAAAAAAAAAGCCACTGGTATTATAAATTCCACTAGGGTGTGCAGAGAAATGGCTCCCTTAAAAAACGGTTGTAAGGATCACGCTTTCCCTCGGTGTCCAGTGGAAGAAAGCTGTACATCAAGTTGGAAACGGTGTTGTTTCGGCCGCCAGTTGTATGCAAACTTTTTTATTTTTCTCTCTTGGGATGACGTTCAACAATCAGCTAAGGAAGTGTCCTTGCTCTGCTCGGCATCGGTAGCGGCAGCGGCAGCGGCAGTAGCGGGCTCAACTACCGATAAGGCTTGGTAGTACTCTGGGTCCGGGTTGAGCAAGTGGGCAGGAGTTCCTGAGACGAGCGGGAGGGTATACTGGTGCTTGACATCCGGGTCCGGATTTGACGGATTGAGCTGCATGAACAAGTCTGCCTCTTTGATACGCCTGAGTACATCCTTGACGTCAGTTCCCATCTTGATGCGGCGCAGGATCTCGAGCGACTCATCGTCTGGCCCTGTCTCTATGAGATTGAAGAGTTCGGCGTAGGCTTCGTTTTCAGCGTCCAGCGTCGTATTTTCGCTTCAGCGCTTGGCCCTGGTTTCCGCTGAGCGAGTCACATAGTGGCACGAGGTGGAGCGGCCTCCGGTCCAGTTCCACCTTCGGTATTCTAAAATGACTGATTTGCCATCGTGTAGTGAAAGCTACATACTAATCAATGTAGCTGGAAGCTTAAGCGTGTTTCCTCTTCCCACTCCTTTGCAAATTCTTTTAGCACCTCATGCCTTCTCCTCGCCATGTCTTTACCAGTAGCTGTCTTCATCATTTCTGCGAGATTGTATAACTTTTCGCCAAAATGGCTGACCGCTCTGTCCATGGGCTGCTCGGGCATCTTTGCTGCTCCGAAAGAGAAGCATCGAGCTATTCCAACGGCACCAATGGCGTCGAGGCGATCGGCGTCCTGCACGATAGCGAGCTCCGGATATTGCCCAATCACTGAAGCGACGCGAGCAGGGTCGCGAACCTCGTTCGTATAGGAAACGTTCGTCACAATGGTTTGAACCTTTTGAGCCAGTTCAATTGACGCACCGTGTTGAAGTAGTGTGTTGGCAATTTGGTTCTCGATATCTTCGCCTGGTTTTGCATACTTGTGATCGCCAACGTCGTGCAAAAGGGCGGCGAGGAACAGTGAAGTGGTATCATAAGCCACAGAGGGGTTGGATTTTAGCTCGGTCTGTAATATTTGGTTGGTATTGGACAAGACGCGCAGGATGTGTTGGTAGTCGTGTGAGTTGTCGTATTTTGACATGTACTCGTGGACGAATGAATTGATTGATGCAAGGAGCTTCTTGTCGTTGTCTTGAACGGGTACCTGCGGAACAGGGAGGATAGTCTGACCGTTACTCGCCATGATGAAAACAGGACCAATTACTTTGTGTTCGTGTATGTTCTCGCACTCAGGTGAACGCATGAAGATGGAATTTGAGTTTTCTTCTTCGCGTAGTCACGTGTCAGGCAGCTCTAAGCCACATTTGGTGTTTTCTTTAGGCAGACGCGCTACTGTGTGCCGACTTGTCACAAATGTGCAGTTGGCCAGATACGAGCAGAAGAGAAAGAGGATGCGATTGACGGTCGTGTGCAACGATGGAAGAGCCGAATTCCGTGTATGGTGGAGTTACCCCTTTGTTTTTCATATACATCTTTGGCCAACAGCAATACCCATAACCTGGGACAAACTGAACACTGAATAAGGCTTGTATCACTTGGGTGCAATGTCTTCTGGGGTGGGAGCTGCAATTATGTTGCTGAGGCGTCATCCGGGGTAGTAACCGTGGGAGCCTCGGTACTTTGCCGGGCACGCGATAACGAGTCCATGACTTCACCCTGCCCCGACTCCTGTCCTCACGTGCATACACCAACACCACGACGTACACGTTGCACAAGCGCCACCTTTCAGCGCGCTGGCTGAGGCGACTGCAGCCATGTACAAGCAAGCAACACAAAAGACGGGCGAGGTGCTGTCACTGCCACCGAGATGGCTGGGCATGTACTCGGACTTCATCACCAAAAACAGCAGCGCTGTGACGCAGATTGAGTCTGCACTGCGTTCGCTGACATATATCATTCCGGGTGCGCATGGTTCAATGGGACTGCTTTCTGACACGATACTAACAAGTCCTAGGACGCTTCCGGGAATCGGAAATCGCATCAGAGTCTCGTACGTTGCGCGCTTGTTGGCGGCGCGTCTCCTTCAACTGACACATGAGTAGTTCACAGCGGCGTCCAGGTCCTATCCCTATACCACAACTCTCTCCTCTCCAAAGCCATGGCGCAGATGCCAGGTACGCGACGACACACTGTCACCCCGCACCATCGATACACCAAGTTCTGGACACAGCACTCGTCCACGTATAAGCGAATCGCGCTAGTGCTTCAGATGATTCAGTATACCGAGTTGCTATGGGAGATGGCGGCCAAGAGGAAGGGTGAGAAGGTGCGATGGCGGGTCGTAGTGTTGCTGGAAGTCGTGAAGGCAGTATGCCGATTGCTGCTGCTCCGACTGACAAACTCCCGCCCTCTCCTATCTCCCCCGCTCCCTCAGCGGGAAATTGACCCGAGCTCGCTTGAAGAGTCGTCGGCTTCGGCGGATGGCATGGACACACCACCAAGTGAGCGTTCAGTCGAGGCTGAGAACTGGGCAATGCCTAGGACTGGTCTGTCGATGCCTAGCTTGCCGGATTCTTCGGACATTTCGAGTTACCTCCTCTCCAAGGTACTTACAGCAGACGACATCAAACCACCCAAGGCGCTTCTGCACCGAGTGAGTGGAAAGGGCGAGCTTGCCGAGGTACTTTACATTCTGCGACCCGTTGCCTATGCCTTGGCCATGCAGCACTTCAGCGGCGACAGGAAGAGCTGGCGGCCATGGTTGATTGGCGTGAGCATCGAGTACGGTGCACGCCAACTAGCCAAGAAAGATTTCCAGGAGCGCTTGGCCGGAGGACTCCGTGGTTTGACTGGCCTCGAGAGAGAAGAGCTACGTAAGCGGGGCTGGTCCATGGGTTGGTGGGCCATGCGCGGCGCATTCTACGAGAACATCACCAAGTAAGTCACGCCGAACTCTGGGCATGGTAAACATAGCTAACAATGTATCTAGGGCCTGGATCCACTCGATAACCTCCAAGCTCAAGGGCAAGCCTCTTCTTGACATGGTCGGTGGTGTTATCGAAGACTACGAGTTCCTCTGGGATCAGTACTACTTCCCGACTGCTACTCTATGATCTGTCTTGGCTACATGTGGTTTGGTATGATGTGGTAATATTGACACAGAGCTTCAGTGTCACCGAATGGTCCGGCAGCCTCATTTCCCGTAGTATCCGCCTTTTATTTTCTCTGTTTTCGTTGTATTATCTTTGAGATACTCCGAGGCCATTGCATGGCCTTGGTCCTGTTTGCGCTTCTGTTCTGCAGCTCTGCAGTATGTACTAGTACGCCTTCTTGAGATACCAATGTTTGAAATGTTATGTGGTTTCTGTAGCTGCGGGTGCTGTATACAGTGGTGACTTGAAGTTGTGTAGAATTCTGGTGTTGGTTGTGTCGCTCACTGACGCAGTGCCGGGCGAGCTATGGTAGTGCGGAGCTCTGACCCACTCACCATCTCACAGTCCCGAAAGCTTAGTACGTAGATGGCCATTGCAGAGCCGCATCAACAATAACGACATCATCTCGCCCCGTCAACACCCACCACTGCCATCTTCTTTCCCAGACAACCAACAGAAACATTGGAAACACTGGGTACACGTCATCAGGATGCCCGCCACCACAGCAGAAACGCTGTCGCTCGTGACCCGCAACGTCTCGGTCGCGCCTCTCGTGCTTCTTTCGGCAGCAGACCACTACGGCCGACAAGCAAAGGGCACCAAGAGGAGAGTAGTCGGTGTGCTCCTTGGGCAAAATGACGGAAAGAACGTACGCGTGTCCAACAGCTTTGCGGGTGTGTAGCCCCTCTCAAGACGTAGTTTGCCGCCTAAGCAATTCGCCCCGAGGGCGGGGAAGCGTTGTGTGTATAAGCTAACTTTGGGCTGTAGTGCCATTCGAGGAAGACGAAAAGGACCCATCGGTATGGTTTCTGGACCATAACTACGTCGAGTCGATGAACGACATGTTCAAGAAGATCAACGCGCGGGAGAAGCTCATCGGCTGGTATCACACTGGGCCCAAGCTGAGGGCGTCGGATCTCGAGGTCAACGAGCTGTTCAAGCGCTATACACCAAACCCGCTACTAGTCATTATCGACGTACAGCCCAAGGAGGTGGGGGTACCGACAGACGCCTACTTTGCGGTCGAGGAGATTAAGGATGTGAGTGCACTTGGCTTAGCGGGGTTGTTGTTGCAATAGCAGCAATGCACCTGGTGGGGTGATGTGCATGGAAGACGATGCTAATTCTACGTCTAGGATGGCACAGCGACTTCCAAGACGTTTGTGCACACGCCGTCAATAATCGAGGCTGAGGAGGCGGAAGAGATTGGTGTCGAGCATCTCCTCCGTGACATCCGCGACGTGGCTGTCGGCACGCTCTCGACACGCATAACCTCACAACTGCAGTCGCTGCAAGGCTTACATCTACGGTTACGAGACATTGGGCAGTATCTACAAAAGGTTCTTGACGAGGATCTGCCTGTGAACCACGCGATTCTTGGTAATCTCCAAGATGTGTTCAACCTGTTGCCTAACCTGTCGACACCCAAGGCTGCACCAGTAGGTGGTGCGACCAATGGGGTGGGAGCAGCGGCGGGCCAGGCAGGTGGTGTAGACAATGGCGAGCTTGCGCGAGCGATGAGCGTCAAGACGAACGATCAACTCATGGCAATTTACCTGTCGAGCTTGATCCGAGCCATTACGGCGTTCCACGACCTGATTGAGAACAAGATCCAGAACAAGCAGCAAGCAGAGGACAAGGAGGCCAAGAAGGAGGAAGGCAAGGAAGGGGACAAGGAGGCTAAGAAGGAGGGCGACAAGGCGAGCGGCGAGGCCAAGGAAGGAGACAAGGGTAAAGAAAAGGGTAAGGAGGAGCCCAAGAAGAAGGGCTGAAGAGGGGGGGGGTTTGAGTGAGTGAGGCGAGTGAGGCGGAGAGATGATGATGATGATGAGGATGATGGTGCTTTGTAACCAACCAGGTGTACTAGTGTACAATAACCCCTCGTAGCCTTGTTTTTGGGGGAGAGGGAAAGAAGAGAGGCACTGTCAAAAGAGTAGAGAGGGGTGTGCTTCTCTCTCTCTCTCTTTCTTCTCTGCATGAGCTTGGCATGATTAGACATGAAATGAACAAAGGACATGATGCTAGTATGCTATAGTGTGGAGTGGAGTCGTATGTATTTGCATAATCTTGGCACGACGATGGCCAGAGTGTTGTATTTGAGACGAGTATTAAAACCAGACGGCGATAATGGCTGTATCGCCTGCGCACATGTAATAAAAGGAAGATGGTAAGAAATAAAAAAAAGGGGAGTATATCCTTGATTCGTATGATTCCGTTGAATCAATGCCTTTTTGCTATGAAACAAGAAAAAAAAAAGTTGGTTGAGGGTATCAGAAACATAGCAGCAGCAACAGCAGCAGCGTTTGCTGTAATATCCCGTCTAAACAGGATTTTTCAATCTCCCCATCCAGCAGCCCAACCTGCCGCCTCATCCACGGTAATCCATCTTTCATTGACAAACCGACCAAATAGGATGTTACACTTTTCAGCGAGTAGACAGGCTAAGAGGTGTTTGCACACAGGAGGCATATCGTCGCCTAGGGTTGCACCACCAAAGATCCAGGCATGGTCTTGTACTGTGTCATTATTTTCATCGTTATCGTCGTCATCATTGTCATGGTTAGCAAGGGGAATGGAGGGAGACTCGGTGGTAGCAGGGAAGGCGGCGAAAGTAAAAGCGGGACAGGAGCAGGACCAGGTTGTGAGGCGGACTTGGTAGGTTGGGGTTTGGTCGGAGGAGGAGGAAGTAGAGTAGCGGGAGGAGCGGTGGTGCTGTGCGGATTGGACATAGTAGATTGTTGATTTTGTGATGTTGTCGTAAGCAGAGGTTGTGGTTGTGACATGTATGGGTATTGATGTTGCTTCTTCGTGAGGGGTGGAGGTGTGTTTTGTGGTAAATGTACGCGTCGCGTCTTTGTTTTTTGCATCGTCACTCATGTGCATCTCTTCATCATCATCGTCGTCGTCGTCACCGCCTAGTCGCATCGCCGCGTCTTCATGGTGGTGTCCATCTTGTCGATGCACAGAAGGAGACGACGGATGGTTTCGGATGCGAAATCGAGTGACTAGGCAGCGGTCGAGGACGTCTAGCGCGGGAACGAATTCGGTTGGGAAGAGGACTTGCAAGGAAAGTAGCTGTTTCTTCACCGCGGGTGGTACGCTATCGAGGGGGTTGGGGTGGTGCTTGTCGTCGTCGGTGAGCGAGGCGGCGGCATCAGGTGATGACGGGGCTGGTGGTGGTGCTAGTGAATTGAATAGCCGGGTTAGGAATCGACGATTGGTAGGCAGTTTGGGCAGAGACATTGCGGGTGATTATCGGTGTGGGCACATGTTGTGTAGGGCCCCTTGTCCTAGTGGTATGACGTATGTGGGGGGAGGGGAACGGCACAGTGATGGTGGTAGGTCGAGTTGAGATGGGGGCAACGCTTGGTCCCCGAAAGCACGTGAAGGCATGGTAGTAGTAGTGCAGACAAGTCGACATGGCATCGACTTGATCACTACCAGAAAAAAGGCGACATGGGTAGCAGGGGGGCTTGCGTAGTCGGGCATGTCATGTCAGATTGATTAGAGAGAATGGGCTACGTCACGATGCGGAGAGGGCAGTTGGATCAGAAGGGTCTAGAAGCTGGGCAGTTGTTTCTTGTTGCGAGTACGTAGACATGTATACGTACCTTTTGTACATGTGTACCTGTGCGATTGATTGCTGTGGTTGTGCTGGCGATCGGGTGGATGGGCTATTTTAGGCAGAGACGACGTGGATGTGGAGGATGCAGTTGAAGCGAGCAAGCACAAGCAGGACAAGCAGCAGCAGCAGCAGCAGCAGGCTTTGCTTGTTGTGCTCGCAGGTGGCGGGTTGCAGATAGGGCGGATGCAGGGACCCCAGGGCGTCGCATCATCTGGAAGAGAAGACGGGGCAGCGAACGACGGGATCATCTGGCTGCATTGGCCTATCGGCTGACCAGCTGTCAAGAGTGGATATTGTCGAATAGTGCAGATCGGGCCGCTAGTCCAGAGAGGCATTGGGTAGGGTGCAATTGCAATTGACGGCCGTGGTGCATTGCATTTCGGGGAGCGCCGAGTCAGCGGCAGCATCAATGGGGGGGGGCTGGTCGCAAAGGCTGTGGTCAATGTAGGGAGGTGCATGCGTACGTTAAGTATGGCATAGCAATGCGCACAATGGGCAGTGAATACACTACATACTAGATACTGAGCACAGAACAACAATGAACATCAACGAACAATCAAGGCCCGGGCAGGCCAGCGGCGGGAATTAGCGGGCGCGTGTCGAAGGGAGTGCCTTGCAGCACGAACCCCTCCTCCCCCACAGCCCGATAACGACGATAACACACCCGCTCGCCAGGGTTGCTGCCATGGCCGCATGAGCATGACCCCCCCCCCTTCCACCCTTCTTCACCTACCACACACACACGCACGCAAGATGGTGTCGGCAGGGCTGCGTCTCGTGAGCAGGCTTGGGTTGCGATGGGTTGGGATTATCCGACTGAAATAGGCGCCGGGCTGTGGATGACCTCGTCGGCTGTCCAGCTGAGCGTCATGGCAGGACCTAAGGGGTGGGAGGAGGCTTTCACATGCAAGACGGTGGCGCTGGCTACAGCGCTTGGGAGAGAAAGACGTCGAAAGCGAAGGGAGCAGGCAATAAGGGGAGAAGCAGGCAAGTCACAAGACCCTGACTAGAACGACTAGAATGGAATTCCGTGGGCAGCAGCTTTGTCGGCAGCCGCCGCTGACGGGCGACCAGCATGTCCTCCCCCCTCCCCCTCCCCCTTTGCTATTAAGCCACGCTCGCCATCGCCGTCGTCAGCCACGGGGCCAAGAAAGGCAATTGGTGTGAATTGGCCTTGCAGCCATGGTCATGTCTGCATAACCCCCATGGCGGTCAGACCGACTAGCCGCATGTATGGTACTAAGGCAGTATAGTAGCCAGTCTAGTAATAGATAAAAGGGCAACTGAGTGTGATGACGGAAGCCCGTGTGGCCCAGCTCCTCCACCGGAAGCCGAGAGAGAGGGTGGGAAAGTGGCATTGCAGGCTCCCACACGGCCATGGGGCCTCGTCGTGGCACACTGGCGGGCTGGTTGGGGGTGCAATGGCAAAAGCAGCAGCTCTGGCGGGCTCAATGGGTTGCAGGGCGGGCGCAATGGGAGAGGGCATAGAGTAGGTAGGTAGGGAGGTAGGTAGGTAGATAGGTAGGTAGATAGGTACTTAGTAGGGATTACATGGAGGTCTGGAAATGGAGCATACTGTATTGAGAGATTACGGTTACGGGGCCCGTCACCGCCCAGCCGGGGTTGGCGCTGCTGGGCGACACGGAGCCGTGGATGCGCATAGCCAGAGGCCGTGACTCCTCTCTCTCTGACTGCAATGTGCGCCCGGCATATACGCTGGCGGAGGGCATTGGTCAGCCTCGCCGCTGTTTACTACTCGTCGTCGTTGTCGCATCTCTCGCTGGCCGCTGGTCGCTGGTCGCTCCCGGCCGCGCGCCCTTGCCCTTGTCGTGTGCTTGATTGATGAGCGGCTTTGATGGCGGCCATGGCTGCCATGGCATGGGCTGGATCGCAGCATGGCACGCGCCAACCGCACACCCTCTTTGTCTGGTCCGCTAGCACATGGCCGCCAGTCTGTCTCAAAGCCAGAGTCACACCGGCCTGGCTCGCATGCTGTAGCCTGTTTGAAACCGCTGTTCCAAGCCGCCTGCTGGCTGGCTATAACTCCGTCCGGTTTCGGCAAGATTGGCTTGCTCCAAACGCAAATGCCATTCATCAAGCATTCCTCATTCTCGTTGCTGCTGCTGCTGCTGCATTGCTTCTGGCCACCCCAGTAGTCCACCTCCACGTCCGGCTCCGATTCCATAACTCCGCACTGCCACTCTGCCACGGCGCTGTACTTAATTCCATTCCTGTCCTGTCCTGTCCTGTCCTGCCCTGCCCTGTCCTGCGGTTTGACTAATAATCGCCTTGCCCGCCCCCAATTGCATAAGCCGCTGCTTCGGGCAATTCTGCCGCCTTCCACGCTCAACCTTCGCTGCCTACTGCTTTCTGACGATATAACGGTGGCAACGCCTTAGGCTCGTCCCAGAGCCCACCCACAGTTGGCTCTGCCACTCTATTTCCCCCCAAAACCATTGTTGCTCCTCAGCCTGCTGCCCTCGCTCCCCCCCCCTTCAAATACCGCTACCGCCGCCGGGGGCATTCGCTTCTAGTCAAAGCACAAACCTTCTGACCACACTACGCAATGGCAAACTCGCCTCATAAGACACCCCCAACTGCCCGCCTCACCGTCTCTTCCCTCCTCTCCCCCCCAGAGATGAAGCGATCAGGGTCGTTTGGCTCGTCAATTGCCTCTGCCTCTACTCAATCGCCCGCAACCTCGTTCAATTCAGTCCAATTGAAGCCCATGACAAACGCCTCCCTCAGCGCCTGCCAGGCAGCAACTCACCGCATCGCCTACGTCTCCCCCCCAATCTCGCCATACGACTCCCACTCCCAAAAGGACACCATGGACGTTGTCGCTGAACCCGGCACACGCGATCCTCAGCTCTTCGTCGCCCAGGACGCTGCCCTCTCCGTCGCCGACATACCGCTCTTCCCCCAGGACTCAGCTGCCTCTTCAGCAGAGTCAGCCTCGCAAGACGCCATCACCCACCACATGCAGTCGCACGACTACGCACGCCTGCACTCCAAGCCCTCACGCGCCGATTACGAATTGGCCGTTTCATTCCGCTCAAACGTCTTTGCTTCGGCCACCAAGAATCCCCGACACTGGTGGGCTCAGGAGCGTCGTTTCGACGACTACTACGGTCGCCCGACCGGTGTCCAAAAGCGCACCGCTCTCAAGAAGCTCGCTCCCGCACCATCCGTTAGAGCCCGCCAGCCAAAGGTCGCTCTTCCCCGGATACCTCCCCGTACTCCTCGCGCTCCAAAGGCCAAGCGCAGCCCCCTTGCACAGGTCTACGAGTCATTTGACCCTGCACCCAAGCCCGCATCTGTCTCGGTCTCTCCCAAGCCTGCGCGACCCGCCACGAACCGTGACGACTCCGACTACAATGCCATCCCAGACTACTCGCCACCTCTCGACACCCTGCCCAAGGGCAACTCCAAGATTCTCAAGGCCGAGTGGAAGGGCCAGGCCCTCTCGCTTGCCGATGATCCCGATCGCGACCTGCTGCACGAGGCTGAACTTAACCTTGCAGGCACCCTGCGCCTCAACTGTGCCACCTATCTCACCAGCAAGCGTCGCATCTTCCAGGCTCGCATTGAAGCATTGAGAATTGGCAAGGAGTTCCGCAAGACCGACGCCCAGCAGGCCTGCAAAATTGACGTCAACAAGGCCAGTAAACTGTGGCAGTCGTACGACCGCGTCGGCTGGTTTAACCCAGACTACTTCCGTCAATATCTTTAAGAGTCTTTACTACAATTCTCGCCACACACACACACACACACACACACACACACACACACACAAAGTCACGGTACTTTTCTATTATTATCCGCCTCCTTCGATGGAGAGCTTTTTGTTTCCACGATGCCCCAATTTGCGCATAGCATCGTTATGGCCCCAGCTGCATGAGTCGGTTCTCCTTCCGAGTTGATTGACGCGACAGTTGTCGCTCTCGGCATGATTTTACGAATGGCGTTTTCCATCCCTGTCTCTTTTCAAGGGTCTTTGTTTGTTGGCATGGGTAGGCGTTTGGGACTGGCCGCCGTCCTCCCTTTGGCGTTTGTGTCCTTGCTCTTCCTTCCTGTTGTTGTGACTCGTCATCTTCTTTGTCTACGGCATGCGATACCCCCCAGCTCACACGAATTGATACTCTACAGATCTCTTCAGAGGCTCTTGACGCCGCACATGCAGGCTTTCCTTTTTGGTAGTATTAGACCAGAATACAATTACTTGTTAGATACATGGTGGCTGCTTGCAGTGCATTGGTGAATGTGAATGCCTATGTAGTATGTATGTGACTCGCAATGGATGCAATGGATGCACACCGATAACGATACTGGACGTTTCTTTTGCAGCCAAGGTTTGAGGTCATGCTGGCTTGGGGCTTCATCTCCTGACTACGTCCGCGTAACGGACGGTTCAGGGTCTCGGGTCCGGGACGCGAGCGGGGATATGTAAGCTCCGCAGGCGTGGCGCGGCCTCTTCTGTACCTAATTTGGGACGACGCCTTGGCCGGACGCTCCAACCCGCGCCTTCTCATCACCTCTTACACTCCAAACGACTGTACATACCCACACCCACCACCAACCCGCCCGCCGCTTCGCTTCGCTTCGCGCGCACCCAGCACAATGTCGCGAACAGAGCAGGTGGACAACACCGACTCGATAAATAGCCAGGACCCAGCCCGTGACGAGCCGAAGAAGGCAAAGAGCAAGAGGCCACCAAGTAAGACGAGCCTTGGACACTCATGCTGCAGTGCGCACACGACGGTAGTGCTAACGCGACGACAGATACTGCTTTTAGGCAACAACGTCTAAAGGCATGGCAGTGCGTTTGGGCAAAACTGACTTCAGGACGAATTACGGCTGATAATGCGACAGACCCATTCTAACCCCAAAGACGGTCCTCCCGCTCTTCTTCATTGTCGGCGTCATCTTCGCGCCCATCGGTGGGCTGCTCATCTACGCTAGTGCGCAGGTCCAGGAGATCTCCATCGACTACACCAACTGCAACAGCACGGCGCCTCAAGCTAGGCTCGATTACAATGCAAGTCTAGGCAACGACCTCGAGCCAATTCCCTCGGGCAGAGTATCCGCATCTTTCAACGGAAAACAGATGCAAACGGCACCCCAGTGGGGCTGGGCGCGGGATAACTACACATTTCAACCCCAGGGTGTCACGCTTGAGACCAACGTGTGCATTCTGAGCTTCACTATCCCGGCCGATATTGCTCCACCGATTCTCTTCTACTACCGCCTCACCAACTTTTACCAGAACCACCGTCGATACGTCAAGTCGGTTGATATCCAGCAGCTCAAGGGCGACGCCAGGAGTGCCAGCGCTCTCGACTCTGGTGACTGTGATCCCTTGGCTGTAGCGCCCAACGGAAAGCCCTACTACCCCTGCGGACTCATTGCCAATTCCATGTTCAACGACACCTTTGGCAATCTGACCTTGGACAATGCTGTACAGGATGCAGATGGCAATGAAATCAACTCGTACAACATGACGGTCGAGGGCACATCATGGAGCCACGAGGGGGATTTGTATGGCAAGACCAAATACAAGCCTAGTGATGTTGTTCCACCCCCCAACTGGCAAGAGCAATACCCCAATGGAGAATACACCGATGAGCTGCCGGATCTGCATACCTGGGAGCAATTTCAAGTATGGATGCGAACGGCAGGATTGCCGACTTTCAGTAAACTCTACCAGCGCAACGACAAGGATACCTTGAGAGCCGGTACTTATCGTTTGAAGATTTACGACCGTACGTTTGTTGTTGCACCAATGCATGCAAATGACACAAGCTAACCCCCCACACTAGGTTTCCCCGTTGACAAATATGCTGGTACAAAGTCGATTTTGATTTCAACCAGGACCGTCATGGGAGGCAAGAATCCCTTCCTTGGCATTGCGTATCTGGTTGTTGGTGGCCTTTGCATATTGCTCGGTACTGTCTTCCTCGCTACACATCTTGTCAAGCCCAGGTTAGTCTTACGTGAAGTTGATTGATGTAAGGCGCGTTGGCTAATACTATTGTTTACCAGGAAATTGGGCGACCACACTTACCTCACCTGGAATAACGATCAACCTTCAACGGCTACGACTACCGGCCGAGCGGGAGGCGCATGAATGTGAATATGAAAATATGATTTCTATCCAGACCTCTCTTTGCTTTATTTTACTCTTTCCAATCGTCCGCCTAGTCTAACACCCTTCTTTTCTGGCTTTTCAAAGAGTTGCCTGCGGTGCGTTGCAAGGAAGGAAGGGAGGGAGGTGTTGTACCGCATGTATTACCATTAGTTTTCTCTCCTCTCTCTCTCTCTCTCTCGTGAGAGAACAAGGGAGAGAGAGGGAGAGAGAAATTTGGTAATTTGGAGTTTTTGGCGTTGGGAAAGGTTTTTGCTTGCTTGAGAAACCTAGAACTTTTAGTAGCTTTGGTTTCTTTTGTTCGTATTACTCTTGCGAAGTTTTTTTTTAAAAATGCAATGTTTGAAAAAAAAAAAAGTCGGTCCGTTGATAGGTGACGCTGTATTATTACTTCCTTTTGTATTTTAGGACTTACTTGAGCCGTGTCGATAAAGGTTAACTGCACACTTACCTATAGGTCTTACTCTACATGATTCCATGTGTGTTTTTAGGAGTAACGATGTGCGTTTACTCTACGCAAAAAAAGGTGAGAATAGTGGGGATACTTGGATATCATGTCGCTGGATTTATCTTGTGCACAGGGTAAAATGCGAGAGACTTGAGGGGTAAAGAGAATTACTGGCATGCAATGTGACTCTGCGTTATTCACGATGTTGCTACCTGATGATGTAGAGTAATAAGCAACGAGACAAGTACTTGTAATCGCCAACGTGTATTTGAAACGAGAAAAGGTTCGTAGAGAAATATGTAGTTAGGTATGTACGTCTAATTGTATTTTTGCTTCATAAGAATATGTTTTGAGTATATAGTTACACAGAAAGCGGCATGAGGGACTGAGATCTCAGCGCAACCGACTATTCTTCTTCCCCCGCTGCTCGATACTAGCTACCGCATCGCTGGACAACAAACCCCCTAAATCTACTGCTTCTTGGCAGGGCAAGAAAGATCATACAACGGCTTAACGCTCATGAGATCACCGCCTGGCTTAATACCGAACGATGGCGAAGGAGTTCCCCACTGCACATCCTGGAGGAGATAGTAGTAAAGCGGAACACCATCCTTGACAAGCTGGCACACGACGTCTTCCCAGTAGATACGCGCGTTCTGGGGACTAGCAACCGCCTGACCGGACTGCTTTCCGCTGACGGGCCAACCCGTCTCGGTGACCCAGACGGGCTTGCCCTTTGCCGCAGCTTGCGTCTTGTGGTAGGCGTCGAAGAAGAGCTGGCTGCCGCTTCCGACGTTGTTGCTGAGTGTGGATTCAAAGTAAGGGTATGCGTCCATGCCGATGAAGTCGAGGGCGTCGATGACGGCAGAGTTGGAGCCGTTGACATAGACAGTCCATGTGTCGACGTGGCCGATGGGCTTGCCCTGAAGGGGCGTACCGCGGATAGCGTCGCGGGTTTGCTTGATGTACTTGACGAGTTCTTGGGGCTGGGCACCTGGGCCAGACTTGTTCTCGATGCCTGTAGGCGTGACGCGGTAGAGGTCTTCGCTACCGACCGAGATACCGACCACGAGGTCTGTGAAGGCGGTGCCGTATTTGGCGATTGCAGCTTTGAGGGCGGCGATTTCGTTGTTGAAGTTTGTTTGGCCGGCGGAGCACCACATGCCGAGGAGCAAGGTGGTTTTGGTGTTGATGGCGGCTTGGATGGCTTCGATGATGGAGTTTTGCGTGCCGTGCTGGATCATGGTGTATAGGCGGGCGCTGGTCCAGCCGTTGGTGCCGGGGAGCTGCTTGGCCGCGTTGAATTCGTATTCGAAGTCGACGAGGCGCTTGGGCTGGTTATTGGCGAATTGAGCGCCGTAGTTGAAGCCCTTGAGGGCGGCGTTGGCCGAGGATAGGAGGGCCGCCGTGGCCAGGATGGTCGATGAAAGACGCATGTTTGTGTGTAGTATTAAGTATAACGAAAGTTGTAGTAATATAGTAGGATATGAACGAGTGGAATTACAACTAGGTTATTAGGGAAAGCCAAAGAGGGCGATGAGCAAGAAAACAAAGAGGGTGCGGAAAGCAAATATTTATCTGCCAGTGACGTTTGCCATCCATCCTGGCTTGGGGCGTAGTTGCCCATTGCATGTCCATGAGGCGACCTAGGCCCTGCTTCCGGACGTGCATTAGCCGCACAGGGCAAAGGCGGATTTAGCGTCCATGTTCCGTACCGAATGAGCATCAGTAAATGCTTGTGGTGATCGAACATGGCGCATCACCCCCGGTTTTTCGATCGCTTCCGACTATGCGGGTGAGAGAGAAAACAGGAATATAGACAGCATCGGGTGTCTCGCTATCCTGCATCACAACATCCACAGCATCCAACTGCTTTCTTGCGGCTGCCAACCCCGATTATTGATGTCATAGGGCCTTTTACAAACGCTTTAAGGAGGTTGTCTCTTGATCCCGGGTTCCGCTATTAATTAGCCGATGTGGGGAGGCAATACTTCAACGCCTCGCCAGCCTACGTCAAGTGCCCCCCTTGTCCTGGAATAAAAATAATCTCCTGTCGATACCGGCTGCCGGAACGAGGAACAAGACTTTTGCACAGATCATGGGATTTGCCTGCGCAACACCATGTGTGTGGCAGCTGGCGTTAGGCTTGGATCGCTTTTTCATTGATATCTGCGCCTATATGTAAGAAAGTATCGGTTTTTCCTCGCTACGTGCAACCTTTTTATATGGATTTGTCATGGACACATGGCTTGGTTATCGTAGCGTTGATCGATGCATGTTACTTGGGTTACGTTGCATGCATACGGACGATTTGTGAGCTGGTTTGCAAACCGTATAATGGGCGGGAATATAGTGACGTGGATAGCGTGCCTGGTCCGAACTCAGGAGACATGGTCTCTAACACATGGCTCGGACTTTGAGCCATGCCGACAATCGTCGGGTCTAGAAGCCGCACAAGGAAAAGAAGCGAGAGGTAAAGTCGATGATGAAAAGCATATGGCTTATGACAAGGAGTTATCCCAAGGCGCATGTGAAGTCTTCTAGCTGTTTGGCTGTCTTTTAGTTGGACTTGGCACTCCTTGGTCCGAACTATACGACACTGCACGCCCCCAACCCATAGATAAGCATCTATACAGACGATGGTAGATATTATAGCCAGACGGCCTCCAACTAGACATTACTTCGTATGTAAAGATGCGTATAGTTGTGAAGGTCTAGATTGAATACCACTGAACAAATCGTCCTTGCTTGGTCCTTCTCTCCTTAATTTGCAGTGATATAAACTTGTGCAGCTATCACCCGAGGTATTCGTACGACGACAAGGAGGGCTGGGTGGCGGTGCTTTGCGCATGAGCCAGACGGCGTATAGTGGTATAGACCGCACTACCCGGTCCAAGCACTGGTAGAGATGCACGTGACATGGCGAGGCTAGAGTTCCCCATATCGGAGTCGAGTGGTGATGGGCGCAAGTCTTGGCAACCCGCTCTAGCGCCATGTCGCGGCTCATGTTGCCTTGCAGCTCCGTCAAGCTCGGAAACACCAAGTCGCCAACTCAGCTCTGCTACACCACACTGCCATCTTGATACTTGATCTCTCTACTACGCTGTGAGATACATATCTGTAGTACCAATTCGCGACTTCTGAGGATTTCCCTGCACAAACTCCCGCCATGGTGCGTCTCCCCGCGCCCCCGCTAGAGCTCTTTACTGACATGAGCAGTTCATAGCACGAAGCGAATATGGTAAGTCTCTATAATATCTCCGCTTGTTTATACAACTGCTAACAATGTTTCTCAGACCGTGGCATCAAGTTGGTTACCCCAATGCAATTACATCCAAAACCCCCGCTCACAAACACAGCACCTTCTCGCCTGAAGGCCGTCTCTTCCAAGTCGAATACTCTCTAGAAGCCATTAAGCTTGGCTCAACAGCAATAGGTGTATGTGCCCTGTGTTCATATATCCTAGCCGGCACAGACTGACAAGAACCCCACAGGTAGCAACGGGTGAGGGCGTAATCCTTGGTGTAGAGAAGCGCGTCACCTCCACCCTCCTCGAGACCAGCTCGGTTGAAAAGATTGTCGAGATTGACCGCCACATTGGCTGTGCCATGTCTGGACTGCAAGCCGATGCACGAAGCATGATCGAGCATGCCCGTGTTGAGAGCCAGAACCACGCCTTCAACTATGCCGAGCCCCTACGAGTCGAGAGCTGCACGCAAGCGATATGCGATTTGGCGCTGAGGTTCGGAGAAGGTGCAGAGGGCGAGGAAAGCATCATGAGCAGACCGTTTGGTGTTGCTCTGCTGATTGCGGGTTACGATGAGGATGGCCCGAGTCTGTACGTCATATAATGTAGTCAGGGTGTTGGAATTGGGACTAACAGAGAGCGCAGATACCATGCCGAGCCCTCTGGTACATTCTACCGCTACGACGCCAAAGCTATCGGCTCCGGATCCGAGGGCGCGCAAGCAGAGCTGCAAAACGAGTTCCACAAGTCGCTGACCCTGGCCGAGGCTGAGGTTCTTACGCTCAAGACACTGAAGCAGGTCATGGAGGAGAAGCTGGACAGTAAGAACGTGCAATTGGCGAGTGTCACCAAGGACAAGGGCTTCAGGATTTATACCGACGAGGAGATGGCCGAGGTGGTTGGAAGGCTACCAACCAACTAGACTTGGGATCCATGTGAAAGCAAAATGGAGTCCAGGCAGTGTCTATAGACGACATGATAGTTCTCGATCGGCTTGTTCGAGTCACGCGAAAATGAAGCAATGACCAAAATTTTTGTGCATGTGTGTTGTGGTACGTGAAGTGTTGATGGTTCAACGATGTGAATGAGGGCACCACCTTGTTGCGCAAACCGATTCAAGTAAAACTGGAGATCTTGACCCAAGATATCTTTTGGTCTTTTGGAAACAGTAGGCACATCCCAGGCTGTGATTTGCACAAAATGTAACTCCAAAAATGAGTAAAGTACAAATTGTGTCGACTAAGCCCACAAACTCAATGCAGTCGTACGCATAGTCGAAAGGCGTTACTGCAGAGTCAAGCAAGACAATAAACATATATCATGTCGTCCGGAAATATAGTCCATATCAGTAGGTGAAGGTCGAAAAGGAAAGTCGCTGCTCGCTGACCTCCCGCAAAATCCCGGCGCGCCTCATTCGTCGACTTTCCACTGCCAAGCCCTGCTTCCCGCGCAGCAGCGCCGAGCAACTTCAACTTTGTTCACCCTGCCCTTCGTCTCCAACATCGCAACCACACGACAAATCTGCCCAAGATGTCCTCCACATCTTTCCCCCACCATGCCAAGACGCCCGCTGCTATCGTAAGTCGCTGTTCCCGAGCCATTGAGACGCTGGCTGGCCGAGGGCATCGGCTCATATGACGCAAACGCTAACGGGACGACATAGAGCATGCGCAGCTCCTACAAGGCCTACAGGAGTCCCTTCGGTCCCCAGTACGTATTTTCCTGGATTTTCGGCGATACACGGGCGTGCATGAGGCATTGGGAGGCGTGGTGGAGGGGGTTGTGAGAAGGACTCAGGAAGAGGAGGATGGCTGGCGTGATGGAAATACAAATTCATCCACCAAGTACCCATTTCGAGCAAGGCATAAGAGAAGGAGAAAATCGCCATGCGCATGCACGCCCGAGACAAGCCGATTGCGACTCGAAGCATTCCGGAGTTAACATTGGCTCAGATACACCATCCCTAAGAACTACCACGGCATCACGGTCGGCACCGTCGCGAGATAGTACGTTTCTCGGACCTTGCTTTCTCGCCAATCACTAACTCACATAACAGCGGTACTCTCGCTGCTGGATTCGGTGGTGTAGCCGGCTTCTTCGCCCTCTTCTTCTTCGCCGAAGTTCCCAAGGTGCGCGATGATATCATGAAGAAGATTCCCGTCCTAGACAAGTTCTTCACACATGAGATTCCTCCCGAGGACAACCCTTTCTAAACACCCCCGCAATTGGCATCATCGCTTTTTTCTGCCTGGGCTCAGTTGTGTTTGGGTGGTGATGTACAACAATACAGGGGGACATGGCATTATATACTAGCGACTGCGTGCGCGGAATAGACCTCTTTTTGTCTTGATTGATTATCCTATGGACCCTTCTTGTTTGCCCTGTCTTTGTGATTCTGTCGTCACCCGTTTCAAGGGCATTGTTGTTCAGTCTAGCAAGTTGATCAGCTCGTCAAAGACGCTGGTCGCGTTGCACATATGAAACTGCTGGTTTTGTAAAGTCTTCGCCATTTGAGATGATATCTCATATCTGCGCCAATTGCAACATACTCCAAGTAGACTCACATCTATTCAACACCCCCACGAAGTGCACCTGTAAACCTAACAAACTATCCCAAAAACCAACAAAAAAGAATGCACCAAGATTCCATCCGATGTACTCGTAGGACCCTCTCAAAGAAAAACAAGCATAGAAACTACATTTCACCCACCCACAACAAATCCGTATCCATCACAGCACCCAGAAATCCAGTTTCCATCTCCGCTGTTCTCTGCACCGAAAAATAGTAGCATCCGCAAACGAAGACTCTGAGAAGGTGAAAGAAACTGCGATTCTTTGGAGTCCTTTTTTTGACATGATTGTCCACGTGTAACACTGTGACGCTACCCTTCTGCTCCAGTCTTATCCAGTAAATTCTTTGCGTCTTGTCGGTGTGATTGGGGAAGAACAAAAGTCGACAGGGATGTCATTGGTGTGGTACGAGGAATTGATGGGTTAAATCGAGGCTGATCGTCGTATCGTACGGGTCCCTTCTGCCGCGCTAGTAGTGTTGTTATCTGAGCTGGATGGAGCTGCTGAGTTCGACGAAGAATCCAATTATTCGAGTGGATGCGCGCCTGCATCGAGTAGCATCTGGACTGTCTGCTCGTGGCCTCTAGCTGAGGCTGCTTGTAGTGCATTTCCATACTTTCCGCCCTGTGCATTAACATCAGCACCTGCGTTGAGTAGCACCTGGACTATCTGCTCGTGGCCTCTAGCTGAAGCTGCTTGTAGTGCGTTTCCATACTTTCCGCCCTGTGCATTAACATCAGCACCTGCGTTGAGTAGCACCTGGACTATCTGCTCGTCGCCCCATCGTGAAGCTGCTTGCAGTGCATTTCCATACTCTCCGCCCTGTGCATTAACATCAGCACCTGCGTTGAGTAGCACCTGGACTACCTGCTCGTTACCCCATCGTGAAGCTGCTTGCAGTGCATTTCCATACACTCCGCCCTGTGCATTAACATTAGCACCTGTGTTGAGTAGCACCTGGACTATCTGCTTGTGGTCTTTAGCTGAAGCTGCTTGCAGTGCATTTCCATACTCTCCGCCCTGTGCATTAACATCAGCACCTGCGTTGAGTAGCATCTGGACTATCTGCTCGTGTTCCGCGTATGAAGCTGCTTGCAGTGCATTCCCATACTCCCCATCCTGTACGTTAACGTCAACCATGTTGTCAAGCAGAAACTTGACCATCTGAGTATGCCCTCGGAATGAAGCTGCTTGTAGTGCATTGCCCAAGTAACCGCCTCGTGCATGGATATCTGCACCTTCTCTGGCGAGTATCTGAGCAATATCCAGATGGCCATTTTGGCATGCGTAATACATTGAGGTACAACCAACCCCGTCTTTCTCGTCAATATCAAAACCATCTCCTAGAAGTCGCCTGATTGCATCGACTAGTCCTGCAGAGGCCGCAAGGTGCAAAGCATATATGGGTGGCGATTGACCCACCCATCGTTGTCTGATGGCGGGAATGTTGTAGAGCCTGGTGCTATATATGATTGTACCAGGGGTTACCAGAAAATTTATACTGTTAAACTTGTGTGTAGAGCTCCAGGGATTATCGTCATTCGATAGGATTGTTATCTGTAGCAACGCTGCAAGATATGCACTGTCTTGCTGCAAAAGTCTCTCCAGTTTATTCATAGCATCAGGAGAAGGATCACCACAATTCCACATGTGATAGTCGAAGCTCGTATATGCATATATAGCAAGATCATGATCTTCAAGTCGGTCGAAAAGGTACCATTTGCCACCCGCTGGCTTGCTAAACGACATCAGGTCAATGTACATAAGACAATCCAGACTCAAATTTTTGTGCACAGATTTCGAGTCTAGAAACTGCCTTCGTATCGCATGTTGTGGTTGCCCGTGAGCAACGGTCGTCAGGAACTCCTGTACTGTGTAGTGGATAGGTCGGATCACTTGATCGGCTTCTTCCAACAGATTGCCACAAGCCTCAAGAATAACTTCTTTGGAGTCGGGTCGTAAATCTTCTTCAGTTTTACATTTCGAGTTGACTGCAAGAGCGGCTTGTAATTCATAAGTTCTGAGAGGCCTCTGAGCATAGAGTACCCAGGCCAAACTTCTGATTGCCAGATCTCTCATGTATGCAGATTGAGTTTCAATCCGCCCCAGAATTCGAATGTAGGTGTCTGGCAAGTTCCGGGGTAATGTGTTCAGTGCTTCTTTCACCACCTCATCTTTTCGAGCCTTGCTAGCTTGACAGAGATTTTCCAGTTGAAGGTTGACCCAAAGAAACCTGTCTTACATTTAGCCTACAGAAGCCTTTGGACTAGCTGCTGAGCGAAAACTTACATTCCTTCGGCCTTTTGAGCGAGTTTCCGGATAATTTCTTCTGCGAAATCATTGCTATCAATGTAGAGGGTCTTTCCATGCTGCCCAGATCGAAGTTCTTCAACTCTGCTGCGGACAAAGGTCTCAATGTCGGCCGAGACATTGCCAGCCGAAATTTGAATTGTTGGGACATCTTTTTTCACAAAGGCCTCTGTAATGTCCATCTCTCTCCGACTCGTGGTAAATACCTTTATGCAATGCGTAGCCGGCATAGTTACCACCTCAGTGATGAAGCCGAGAATATCCTCCCGTCTCTCTTCTGGACACTCATCGAGAGCATCAAAAACGACGAAGACTTCTGAAAACTTCTCTATGAGCGAGAAAAAACATTCTTTTGAACCTAGCAGAGACGGAGAGCGAGCGTTGCGCATGATTTCGAGTAGATTCTCTGGTATATCGTGCATGCCTTGACAGAGTTGCTTGATCAGTGTGGCTATGATCGTGGTAATGTTCGCCAATCGTGTATCACGGTAATTGTAGTAGGCGAAGCAAATGGCAGTTCTTTCTCGTAACCCAGCTTCGGCCGTGATATGTTCTAAGACATGCGAACTATGCGTTTAATCAGCAAACGAATCAACACTCGATGGTGTTGTTACAAACTTACCTGAGCACAGATTTTCCGATACCAGCTACAAAGGATCAGTACGTTCTGATCAGTAAAGGATACACTCCCACTCACGCTTTCCATTGCACCACAATAGAGATGAATGCGAGCTTTGCATCCATTCTTGAAACTTGGGCTCTCGTGTCAGCCAATCGCCTGTTCCTCTATGCTTTTTTGCGTATGTGTTCTGATGCACCTCTTCAAATTCGACGTCTGAGAGCCATGAGAGGAATGCCGTTCTTTCTGTCCCTAAAACGATGGGTTTTTAGAAGCTCCCACCAGCAATAGACAGGGGCCAGACCTACTTTTTGCGGTGATCCGGGCATGACTGAAATGTGTTGCCTGTACAGTATGCTGAAGAACATGAAGATGGTGTTGCATCTGCTGTTTCATAGACATGAATTCGGTCTCAAACGTGTCCCAATGCTGCCGTTTGAACGCCCTAAACGAGGTGAACCTCCTTCGTTTTTCATTGGAATCAACGAAAACAGAACGTGCTTTCCAACCAAACTCGAGCATGTTTATATACACATTGATGACTGCACTTTCTACAAGCTCAATGTCAGCCGCTTGTGAATGTTCAGACAGTGGTCCGAGATAATCTTCGAACTCGCAGATCATATCAGTTAATCTGGTGAAGAACTTTGAGAATTCCAAGCCAATATCAATAATCACCCGGAGTACGCCAACAACAGGGGAGGATATGGCAGGGTCTGCCTGGATGCCTATAGCGACGCCCTTCATAAGCCTGCTGATCAGGTCAAGGCCTTTGGTTAAGCGCTCAGCGTGAGGCCTGAAGGAAGACTCGTTCTTGTGCTCCTCATCGTAAGCCTGTAATTTAGATAGTAGAGATCGTTCATCAAGTGACTTGATCTCTTGCTCGAATGCCGCGCGCCCAGCCTCAGGGAGTTTCTGCAGTTGCAATTCGACAGCCTTCCTAAGCGCTTGATTTTGGGGTTTCACCGGTGCTGGTGGGACTCGACTGGATGCAATTGAATTTGGAGCGGGAGAGGATGGAGGAAGAGGTGATATTGGTTGCGCAGGTGTAGTTGTCGAACTGGGTGAGGCAGGACGGATCCTGGTAGCGCCTGGTGCTAGCAACGCGCGTATACGGTCTCGCCTTCGCATTGTGTGTTTAAAATGATGAATTCAACCTCATTATTTAGGGAGTTGGAAAAAAAGTGAGAACGATTTGGTCACCTTGTGCTTGTTTACAGTTGCGAGAGGAAGGCTGCGGGGTAGCCTGACGGTCAGTTGGCTTCAGCTGCACTGCTGCAGCAGCTTCTGCCTGTGTGGCACAGCCTGCATGATGGATATGCACTGCCCCCAACACATAGCTAATGATCAAGTAAATGACACAAAAAGCTGGATGCAGCTGAACGAATCTAGTGGAATAGACATGAGGCTTAGTTAAATACATATGCAAATACAACGGAACTTAGCACGTGACTAGGCTCGGCCTGGTCGTGCGCCACATCTCTTGCCGTATTGGTGGTCAACCTAAGAGAGTAGCAGCATCGAGTCCAGTGCGATAAAACACAATAGCAGATTAAAATACTGCATGACAATATACTAAAAAAACACTTTGGACCAGGAACAAGCGAGGTAAATAGTCTCTGTTGAAAAAAATGAATTAACAGGCGTGACTTAAATGCATTTGTTGCTTCCTCATGTGATAATGTGAGAAGAAGTGTCCCAACGGGTTTCTATCTAACTATAACAAAATCGCAGCTATATATTTCTCTTAGCTGCTGAAAGCTGGGTATAAATCTGACAAGAAAAAAAAAATGAAAAGACATGGCCTTGGTTCTCTAGTGCAACAGCACTACAATGTACAAATATGGTTAGGCCATGGAACAAGACATTATATTATGTGATTGCGCCTCTCAAGCGCCCTTGTCCTGTTTCTTGAAGAGAAAGCGCATGGCTTTTACACGCTCTTTGATGGTGCGTGACTGGGTGACTTCGTAAAGGGGTTTGTGCTCCTCGAAAATATCGTGCTCGCTCTCGTAATCGACGTGGACGTAGGCGCGCTCGACGTCTGCAAGACCTGTTTGGAAAGTCAGTGATCGTTTCGATGCGGAAATATGGTTGCAATGGCTTACCTTCGAGCTTTCGCTGCAGGGTCTGCGAGACGTCGTGCGTGATCTTGAGGGGTTGGTCCTCGCTCATAACAATGTCGACTTCCACATAGTACTTTTGTCCAGCGTGGTACGCACGGCAGGTATCAACCTTTTGGATGCGCGTGTCGTGCGTGACGACAAGGTAGATGAGCTTGCTGATAAAATCCTTGGGCGCCGACTTTCCGACAAGCAGCCAGACGTGGTCGAAAGCGTTTGCGGCCCACGAGAAGAGGATCAAGAGACCAATAAGAATGGCACCAATAGGGTCGACATACCAGACAACGCGGCTGCCGACAATGGACATGGCGAGACCGAAGGCGTTGACGATGATGTCGTTACGATGGTCGATGAAGAAGACATGGACGGCAGGGTAGCGACGATAGATGAAACAGTAGACGCAGAGGGAGCCTTTGCAGAAAATGGCAGTAGCAACAAAGGCAATGGGAATGATGTGGAGCTCCTCCGAGTCGGTTTCACCACCACCCAGAGCTCTGCCGGATTCGATCTTGTAAAGTGTCAGCAATTGCTTGATCTTGGCATTGGGAGATACCTACAATCAACTGGATGGCCACAGTCGTCATCAAACAACAAAACATGATAATGCCAATTGTTTCAATGCGCGTCCGTCCAACAGGGTACTTGTACACACTAGGCCTTGCTGCCATACGGGATGTGATGAGCATGACAACTGAAGATACCAGGTCCATGAAGGCGTCTGCTGCAGTTGCGAACAGCGAAAGCGAGCCTGTGGAAATGGCCGCATACATTTGGATAACGAATAGACAAAAGTTGACTACGAAGGAGGCGTTTACGGCGAATCGCACCTTGGGGCCATTTTCGACCTGGTCGAGGGCAGCCAAGCGCTCTTCGTCACCGCTTTGGAGGAACTGGTCAATGAGGGCGTTTTGGCGCGTGTAAAACTTCTTCATGTGCCTGGGCTTAGCCAACGGATGTTCCGCCTTCATCTGCTTCTGTGTCACATCTTCTCGGCGATGTCTACTCAGATCAAGCGGGTCGCTGTTGACAGTGACGGCGGCAGTGTGCTTGGCATCGTGGGAGGAGACACTATCTCCAGACGACAGCTCTTCGATGGCATCTGTCCTAGGCTGGGCAATGGCGGGTTGGTCTGCAGGCAAGGCTTGACCAGCATTGGCTGGAACGTTTGTTTGCTCGGTACCTTGGCCCGGGGATGGGCGGTCAGGTGAAGCTGGGACTATCAGACACAGAAGCGCTACTTCAGACGCCTGTTACATACCATGGGACTCAGGAGACATGTCTTCCGGAAATATGGTCTGATGGACGCGTACGTGAGTGTATGAGCGATCGCCAGGATGTATTGCGTGAATGGGCTACGGAAAAGGTATGCAAGCCTCAGAACTGGGCAAGCAGTTGCTGTAATAAACACGACGATAAACGCCACCAGCGGCGTTCCTCCCGCTCGCCTCCGTCTAAATTTTTTTGCACCCAGTCTGGAGTCATTATGACATGGCCGGATTGTTTGGACGGTGCAAGATTGTGCAAAGGTGCAGGTTGGAGGCGCACGTGTGAGCATGTGGACGCGGAGCCTGAAACCCGCTAAGCATTCACAACGCTTACTAGCACGCCTTAGGTCAGCTATAATACCGCATTGGACAAGTATACATCGGCTTGGCCTGATCTTGATACTCCATCACACTTGGCAGTTTACAGGCATGGAAGGTATAGAGAAGGATTGTATAGACATTCCTGTTGGGTCTACAGCGCCCCTCTCACCGGATCATGGTCAGGCAGTCTGGGGTGAATTGCCGAGAACCCAAGCAAGGCTTGGTGGTCTTTAGGTTGAGAAAACCCCCTCTTCTTCCCCCGCATAGATCGCTTTGAAAGAAGTGGAATTTTAATGGAGCTCACCGCGTGGACAAGCTCACAGTGTGGACATCCATCTCATCCTGGCTGGGATGGCTGAAGTTACAAAGTCGCGGCTAAATCCTCCTCCAACGGCCAAACGTGTCTCAAGAGCCGAAAGTGGCTTAGTGCAAAGCAGCGATCGTCGCGGAAGGATCCCATCGGCTACACCAAGTTCCACAAAGGGACCACTTCCAACCTCCAGTATTCTTGTCTACTTCTCCCCCAGGTTTCAAAACTGCAAGGTCACGACATTGCCAAGCGAGTGCCCGAACGGTACTAAACCCACCCGTGCTTGGCTATACGCGTAAACGCTGTCCCAACACGTCTCATTGGCCTGCTAATTTCAGCATCGAGCCTCTTCGAACCCCAACTGCTCCAGAAAATCCCATCCAAGCCTCACCCTGAATGCTTTGCACCTCCACACGCCGCCGCTTGTCCCACTCAGTGGAAACGAGACTTGAGCCGCATCACATCTCCACCCCTCCAAGATCGCCCGGACCTTGCCAAGTCCCCAATAGCATGACAGATGTCTACATGAGCTTCTTGGGCTCGGCGAACCACCAGTCCGATTACAGCCTTGCGGCCTTGTGGAATTGCTAGTGTTTAGTCGGCGCAATGCTGGTCGCTCCTGGCACCGTCTGGACCTCCGCCCTCTGCGCGTAGCACCCGTCACTCAAGCGGCATCTGAGGCACAGGCCAATGTGTCGAGGTTCCACCGTCTTGGTCAATCCTATTCGTTCTAGGACCGTTATGATCAACGTGATGCGGTTAGTGTCTCTCATGCTATGGCAGGTTTAAAGCAATACATAGTCTGCCATGCCGAGCTTTTAAGTTCCATACCTTCAACTTCAGTTCGTTGGCTTTTGGCTTTAGTTTACTCTTTGAGAGAGCGTGTGTCGGATTCCTTTCTTTTCTCCTCTTTTTCACTTCTCACCTTCTCTTCGTCCATCGTCGCCGGCGACGAGACTGCTGGCAAGTCCGGAATTACCGCACTCATTTCTTGTGCTACATTTTTATCCCCTTCGTAATCATTACCATGGCCGACGAAAAGCCCCAGTGCGGCAGCGATGCCGATGCTGCTGTCTATGACTTTCCCCTGCACGTGGCTGCAGTTTGTAAGTGCCCAAATTGCGTCATCCAAGCTCCAGTCTAACACTTAGCCAGTCATTGTCTTCTTTGCTTCCATCTTCGGCGCCGGTTTCCCAGTGGTGGCGAAGAAGATCAAGTGGATGAAGATTCCTCCTCCAGTCTTCTTCTTCTGCAAGCACTTCGGTACCGGTGTTTTGATTGCAACCGCTTTCGTTCATGTCAGTACATGTCACTCACAAAGAAAGTTTAGTCAACCTGACTAACACTGCTTAGCTTTTGCCTACTGCCTTTGCATCACTCAATGACCCATGCTTGCCCGATCTTTTCACCGACGACTACCCTGCCCTGCCAGGTGTAATTATGATGGGCTCGCTCTTTGTTCTCTTTGTTGTTGAGATGTGGCTGCACGAGAAGACAGGTGGTCACAGCCACGGTGGCGCAACGGGCGAGGCTTTCAACGCAGGAGGACATGGCTCTGCCGCCGGAATCCAGGCCAACTTCAACAACCCCATTCGCCGCGTCGAGAGCTATGATTCCCAGAGGACCATGGCCCAGCAAAACGAGAAGCGTGGATGGGCCGAGGAGAACACCTACCCAGTCGACAACTTCCCATTCCCCAAGAATGGCAGTGACGAGCTTGATGCCAAGTCTGAGATGCCACCTTGGTTCATTGTCTTCTACGAGCAATACGTGCGCCAGCGCGACGAGATGCTCGCGACCATCAACCGTGCCATGCCCGCCATGCCCAACTACCAGCAACAACAAGCATCCCAGGCACAGCAGACCAACTCGTACTTTGACGACGACGTCGAGCAAGCTGTTGACCCAATGGTCCTCAAGAAGCAGTCCATGCAGATTACCCTTATTGAAGGTGGTATTCTTTTCCACTCTGTCTTCGTGGGCATGACCATCTCCATCACTGCCGAGGGTTTCATCATCCTGCTCATCGCCATTGTTTTCCACCAAATGTTTGAGGGTCTCGGTCTTGGAACGCGTATTGCCGATGTCCCCTACCCCAAGAACAGCTGGAAGCCATGGGCGCTTGTTGTGGCTTTTGGTACTACCGCCCCCATTGGTCAGGCTATTGGTCTCGTCACTCGAGGATCCTATGACCCCAACTCCGCCTTTGGACTCATCATTGTGGGTGTCTTCAATGCCATCTCCTCGGGTCTTCTCATCTACGCTGCGCTTGTCGATCTGTTGGCAGAGGATTTCTTGTCCGAGGAGGCATCCCACACCATGACTGGAAAGACCAAGACAACAGCTTTCATCTACGTTCTCATGGGAGCAGCTGGTATGTCTATTGTCGGAGCGTTTGCATAAATTCGCTTAAGACATGGGCGTTTCCAACGCTACGGCAATAGTCTCACATCCTGTGACGAAAGTAGCATGAATTGTTACGCTTCATTCGCCACTCGAGACTTCAACTGCTGCCAAGCTGCTGGAAACTGAACTAGCAAACACGTAGCCTCAGTATACTCTGATACTGGAGAGCTCTTTATACATTTCCTTTGTGTTCTCTATCCAAGAGATGCCATTAGCGCCATTGAAGGTGGGCGCTGGTGGCATCTTTTTCTCATGATTATTGTACGAGTATAGAGAGGTATTCTTGACACACGAAACGGCGCAGAACCATCGAACTGAATCTAAAATCTTATAAAATTTGGGCAGCCATTCGTTCTTTACGTGGTCATATGTTCCTAGTGCATAATGTCATCTTAATCCGTTGCCCACTATTACTATGCTTTGATTTCTTATTCTCTTGTTTTCTGTCGATCCATCCATCTATGTACTTGACCTCTGATATAGTAGAAGATGCCAGAAATTACATACTACTCATCAATCTTACAATACATGTGCCAAGGTGCTGGAGACAGCTAGTGTCTCGCTACGTAGTGCCGGAATTACCTTTTATGCCCATTGGGCGACTACAAAATTGAATGCAACGAGCACTCGGTGAATGCTCGAAAAAAAGATTACCAAGGATCTACGTCGTTCGGCCTAGAACGAAAAGCAATAGGTCTCGGGGAAAAAACCGAATAACCCGAAAAGTCAATGGTTTGCGTCTGAACCACAGGAAAAGCAATGAACCAGAGGTTCGCCTTGAAAAAAAGACAATAAGAAGTAACGAGCCAGCGGTCCGCCTCGTCGACAAAGAAAGAAAGAAGGACAAAAAAGGTAGCGAGACAGAGGTTCCTTAGCAAACGGGGCAATCCACCAGAGCTTCGCCGTTTGTCCAGAAAAACAAAGGCGGGCGCTACTCATAGTATATGGAAAGAAAAAAACTGTGCTTCAAAATTGAGGTCGAGCCCGCCTCTTTTATACATGTTCTCCCACATCCTAATACCCAGTTTCTTTCTGCCAATACACAAGGGCAAAACCAAAGGAAAAGGGCACACCCGGACACGTCATGCTCCGCAATGAGTGGCTCCCCAAGGATTGCAATGCCATAACACGATACAAGCAAAGATGAGGAAATGGTGATTGCAAATGCCGATACGCCGTTGCGACCGGATAGCGGCATGTCCGGGGCCCAAAAAGCGGGCTCACAGACTGCTAGGAGACAGCAGAGTGGTAGAGAGAGGCTTTGCGGGAGGCATCTGGGGCTAGCTTGGCTGGGACAAGATGTCGCAGGTTCGAGGTATGCCGAGCGTGTCGCTTTGCTTGGCTTTTTTTTTCTTTGGCCCGGAGTGGGGGGGAAGGGGGAATTACTTGGCGGGACAGCTGGGCGGGGTGGAGCGGTTGAAAGAAAAATCGGGGGTGTGATGGTTTCGAAGGGGGACAGGTGTACCAAGGGCGTTGGCGGTGGGAAGAGGGAAAGGGCTGAAACGGGAGGAAGAAGGGGCTGTGCATGTGTCGCAGGTTTGTGACGCAGAAGGGGGCGGGGCGGATAGAATGATAGAGTTCATGTTAAGTGTCGCTTGGGGATATACAGTTATGATGCTGCTGCTGACGGGAAGTGCTGATATGTGGGAGGTTGTGGTTACAAAAATCTTACATTTGTATCAAAAGTCGTTGATGCGGGATACTGACCATGTCGTCAGCAACACCATATTACAGCATGTATTATTTTGCTAACCCCGACTACGCTTCGCTCTTCATCTCCTCCTGCAGCGCATTCCGAACAATCGCCCCGCACATCTTCGCATACGGATTCGTCCTAACGCTCATCTCGCGCGCAACCTCATCGCCATACCGCGCCGCTTGTGCAAAGTCCTTGCTAGCCAGCTCCTCCAGTTCACTTTTGCTCAGGCCATTAAGCAGCGTCTCCGCCTCCACAGCCTTGAGGTACAGGTACGCGCGGTGCGAGTACGCTGTGCGCAGTATGCGGGCTGCGTACTCAGATACTGGGTCGGCAGGCGACGAGGCGGGTAAGGAGAGGTGAATTGCACGTGAGAGATCGTAGAATAAATCCTCGATATCGTGCGTTGTTGTGGAGAATATGGTTTGGCCTTCTGTTAATGACGCTTCTATGCGCATTCGACGTAACATGGCGCGGTTGACGTGGGCGCTTGCATAGTATGGACAAGCTACTAATGTCTTGTTTAGCTGCGTGATTGCGTCGTCTATTGTTGTCTTGTCCGAGTTGCTGGATACATTGCGGATGATGTCGTTTTGCTGCTTCTCGAGTTCTGAGAGCTGAGATGCTGATATTCTGGGATCTGGGGGCATTGATTTGTCGATTGCTGCGTTGTCTCTTGACTTTGCTACTGATGAAGGTAGGGTCTCTGGGTCGAATAGTGCGTTGAGAATGCGTGCGTCATTAGCCGAGAGGCGGGTGTTTGGCATGTTGGCGGCCATGGTGTGTTGATTGTGGGTTGATGATGCTATGTTGAGCGTCTTACTTGGAGGTTGGTAATGCGGATATTTGTCAATTCGTCAAATGATCAGCTCTGTAATCAGTGTATTACCTTGACATATCGACGTGCAGATGCTGTTCTGATGCCTACTCGGCTTAACGTCTCGACGCGGCTTTTGGCGGCAAAACGCCGCTGCACCACCACACATCACCAATCTCTATCATTCCCAAGTCCTATCCCAAAGCTGAACTATGCGATTTGACCTATTATCAAAGACAGAAAAAGAAAGAATCGGTGTACCGGCTCCTCAGTACGCGATGGACTTCTTTTTTGGCATCGTACATCTACAATCATGCCGGTGCTTCAACAATCCGTCGGATACCAGCGGGCGTTCATTGGCGGACACCGCCGGACAAACTAACATTGCTTCTGACGGCCGCCTCACGTGCGCTCGGCATAACCGCTTGGATGACGCTGTTTGAGACGAACTTGGTAGTTCACTGGCAAAAGCAATCGGGATTCGGTTTGTGAAGGGAAGTAAGTGGACTCTGCGCGGTAGTGGGAAATGATAAAGATCGCACTGCGTTGCATGTCTCAACCGGAATCCTCATCACTGCGCTACTTTTGCATTGAAAGCAACAATTCGAGCATCTAAAACGACTCGACTGCTTGTTGATCAACTCTTGACTTTGCTTTTGTACGACTGTTGTCGGAACTCTGAAGGTTCACATCATATTTCATCATGGCGCCCGCTGCTATCTCTCCGCCCGCATCACCCCGTCCGGATAACGCCACTACCTCAGACATCTCTTCATACCGTGGCTACCACCATGTCCATTGGTATGTGGGTAACGCCAAGCAGGCTGCAGCCTTTTACGTTGCGCGCATGGGCTTTGAGCGTGTGGCATACCGTGGACTAGAGACTGGTTCGCGAGCTACTGCTTCGCACGTGATACGAAACGGCGACGTCACATTCGTCCTGACTTCACCGTTGCGGTGTCTGGAGCAAGGCTCGAGGTTTGGCAAGGAGGATGAGCAGTTGCTCAAGGAAATTCATGCGCACCAGGAGAGACATGGTGATGCTGTCAAGGGTAAGCGTGGCACACCGCACACTTCCGCTATGTTCAACAATCAAAACCAAAATACAATAACTAACACTATCATCTAGATGTCGCGTTCGAAGTCGACAATGTAGACGCCATATACTCTGCGGCCATCTCCGCCGGCGCAGTCTCCATCAAAGAACCCTACACACTCTCAGACGACCAAGGCAGCGTGCGCCTCGCCACCATCCGCACCTACGGCGACACAACGCACACCCTAATCCAAAAGTCCTCCTACAGCGGCATCTTCCTCCCCGGCTACCGCGCCGAGTCTAGCAGCACCAAGGACCCTCTCTCCGCCTTCCTCCCTACCATCAACCTCAGCGCCATCGACCACTGCGTCGGCAACCAAGACTGGGACGAAATGGAAGACGTCTGCGCCTACTACGAAAAAGTCCTCGGCTTCCACCGCTTCTGGAGCGTAGACGACAAGGACATTTGCACAGAGTATTCCGCCCTAAAATCCATCGTCATGAGCTCTCCCAACGACGTCGTCAAAATGCCTATCAACGAGCCTGCTAAGGGTAAGAAACAGAGCCAGATTGAGGAGTATGTGGATTTCTATGGCGGACCGGGCGTTCAGCATATTGCGCTCCGGACTACGGATATTATATCCGCAATTACGAATCTGAAGGCGAGGGGTGTGGAGTTTATCAAGGTTCCCGAAACGTATTATGAGAGTATGAGGTTAAGGTTGAAGAAGGCAGGGATGACGCTGAACGAGGATTTCGAGACGCTGAAGAGCTTGGATATCTTGATTGATTTTGATGAGGGGGGCTACCTGCTGCAGCTTTTTACGAAGCATCTTATGGATCGGCCGACAGTCTTTATTGAGATTATTCAGAGGAATAATTTTGATGGGTTTGGCGCGGGAAACTTTAAGAGTCTGTTTGAGGCGATTGAGAGGGAGCAGGAGCTGAGGGGGAACTTGGTCTAAGAGGGGCTGAGCTGGGATGAGGAGTCGTGATGAATGGTTGACGTTCAAGGCATTTTCCTGGCGTTGGGTCTAGCGTGGACATAGGGTCTGCTGCACATATTGCATGTTGTTATTTCTCAATTCATTATCTATTTCCATATCGTCTTGAGTCACGGCCTTCATCCCCTCTCTCTCTCTCTCTCTCTCTCTCTCTGTCAGTTTCGCCCTTTCGCTCCCTACTCTAAGCATTTTGATAGTGTTTTGTTTCAAACATTACATCAGGGCTATTCAGCCCAACAATTTACATGGGTAGATTCCATATAAAATCCAAAGTCCCGTCATCAAAGCCCTGGAAACTCTGTGGTCCACTATCTAAACCAAATGGTGCCATTGCAGGATCGAAAGGTAGCGCAAGCCAGTCATCATCTGGCATAAGGTTCGTCACGTTTTCTGCAAGCGAAGAAAGATGCGACTGTCCAGCGTTGTGATTGTTCAAAAAGTCCATGCCCGTTGTTGCGCCCTTGAGGTCGACGGATGCCGCACGTGAGGGGAGCCGTGGTGGTCGTGAAGAAACAACAAAGCTTTCCCGGAGACGTGCGACATGCAGGTCAAGTAGTGTAGCATAGCGCGACGCCAGGTGCATATCGTCAAGAGTACCTAAAATGTCAGTAACAATGCATAGTCAAAACGTAGATAACACTCACTTGCACGAAGTGCCCGGATAGCCGCGTCGAGAATGTCTAGACATGATTGTAGCTTTTGATTGCGTGAGCCCAAGCTCAGGCCCTTGATTAGGTATATCGATGATGTTGTGATGCGCAGGAATATCCTCACTGGCGAGTAGCGCAGTGCTCCTGTTTCTGACAATTGACAGACCTTTTGCAGAATCTGGCAGCTTCCATCAACCACCTCCTGGATGAAATCGTAGTCTCTTGGCTCGAGATTAAAGGGAAGGTTGTCTTCTTGAGGAACGTCTGGATCGGTTTCGGCCAGTGTGCGCTCAACTACTGCTTGCATGCCTAGCGAATTGGTGTAGATGCGAACATATTGATACTCTATGTGAAGCATGTCGTGCAATCCTACTTTGAGCTCTGCAAAGTATCAGCATTGGGTTTTTTGCATGCTTAACGGTGTAAAACGACTTACTACAGGGATCGAGATACTTCTTCCTCCACGAGGTCAGTAAAGGCTGGAAGTGTTCCAGAAGGCCTATATATCGACCCGTGCGCAACAGACTCCTCGTAGTAGTCGTGTTGGGATATATCGTGTCAGAGATCGAACGTGCAAGCTTTGTAAGCTCCACCCAAGCACTCATGAAAGACTGCCATTGCTCTACAGCACCTGTCGCTGAATCGACCGGGATCTTTTCCATCAAAGCATGGTTGAGACTTTGCGGGATCATCGAAGTGCAACCCAGGCGCCACGAGAGCTGTTCAAGCAACACGTATAGTAGCTTCCGAGCTCGGATCCTTCGTAGGATCAGATATTCAGTCGAGAATTTTGGGTAAGATACCCGGTCTTTGTCGATCCTTGCATTGTCTTCAAAGAGGCCCAGCTCTTGAGCCAAGGACAAGGCACAGCCCATCAACATCCAAGACATGCGATCAGAGCGCTTTGCAGGTTCTATGACATCCTCAAACCATCTGCTTGAGGTCACATCTCCTTCTAAGAGCTTTGCACCCTCCTCAGTGGTATTGTTGGCGCCAATCATGAGCTCGCAGTCCCAGCCATCTGCGGCAGTTGGGAAGTGAAGGGCGCGAGGATGCCACTCGGACAATAGCAGCAGTGCTTCAATGGATCCGATAGTCCTACTTTGTGCTTTGGAGGGCTTCACCTGACCCAGCATAATTTTCATGATGAAACGTTGACATTGCTCCCAGAGTCTGTCGTGGACAAAATAGCCTCGCGACGCGCCACCTACTCCAGGGAGGAGATTGTATCGAGACGAAATCATCAAGATAGTGGTACAGAGAAACGGATCCAATGCAATCAGTGTGTAGTGGTTTTCATGATGCGAATAAAACTCTCCTAGTATAGGCGACAAGGGCGAACAATTCTTGAAGAATAGATCAACGTACGTAACGGCTTCATGCGCGGAGAACCAGCCCATTTGCACAAATCGACATGAAGTCCATATCTTCAGAGTTTCAGGCGACGGAGTTGACATTTGAACCGGCTGCGCTCTAAATGTGTGAAATGGTGATGATGGCCCGCCATTGTCGTAGCCAGATGGCCCTGACCTGGGCGTCTCGTATGCCTGAGACCCTGACTGCTCTTGGTTGTCAATGGCGTCGCGATGATTTGCGGCCTCAAACAGCAGATTCAACGCATCGCTGCCGCTGGAGACCACTGTCCTCATCACGGAATGAGCTAGATCTGGTTGAGACGACGAAACGCGACGAAGATGGCTGTGTGGAGACTGAAATTCCGGGCGATGGTGGCCGCCGTTAACATGTGGGCTACCTCCCGGGGTGAACCCATGTGTCGAAATGGACGATCTGTGGCCACGGGGCGAGGGATGAAGGACGGGTTGTGGATTTGACTGGGGCTGGGCAGGCTCCTCGTCTTCATTCTCTCTCGCCTCTCCCGGCTTGCGTCTCTTGACCCATGAGCGCTCCGACCGGAAGACGCATTCGCGCATCTCTCGCTTGCATCTTTGGCAGGGAGGCTTTAGCTCTCCACCATCAGGGCCGGTTCCCAGGATACATTTGGCCTTGCGTTGCCGGCAATTGATGCAGGCTTTGTAGGCGCGCTTGAAGTCTTCCGGGTGGGTCCGCTTCTTGCTTGATGCTGAGTTTGCGTCCTGTTGGCCAGTGCCGGTTATGGAATCATCCGCTGTGGACATCCTGCGTCGCGTAGTAAGGTGATACGGCGGATGGAGAAGGAGTTGCGCTGTATTAACGGACCCGCGGGTACCGGCGACAATGACTGGATGACGGTGGAAAAATCTCGCCCCGCCTCGGCTATCCGCGGGTACAAGGCCGTTACATCCGCCCCATACGTGCAGCACGGCCTTTACTCAGAGAATGTTACTAACTAGTTAATGTCCCTGTTCTCTGTAAGCAATATTCACATGGCTCAAGAGATGGGTCGAAAGAAAAATCGTATGCATTCCATCGGCGTTTGTCTTCTATATGGACCTGCTGTGGGATACAAAATTACTGGTGGACACCAAAGCGGCAATGGCAAGGATCGAGAAGTGTAGTAGAAGACATTGTTTCGTTAGCTTATAACTGATCAACCCGATAATAACATAAGATGGGGGATCCTCGATTGTACGCATGGTATTACTTCTACAAGACATTTGCCCTACCCAAGCAAGCTTGTTGCTGCTCGCTACTGAAGCTACGAAGGCGACCTTTAGAATGGCTGCTAGGATTACGGACCACGGACCAAGGGTTGTCCGGATCAAGGAGATAAGCAGGAATATAACCATTCCTTTACAAAAAAACGCTGCAGAACAGTCGCCAGGTGGTATAATCGCTCAAAAGATATACATGATGCTCGCTTTTCTTGTCTCGTTCTAACAGAGGCTAGATGCCCAAATGGTATCAACTTTCCGTGCAAGACTTTTGTTGCCCCAAACGCCGGCATCGCATAACAAACTTGGAGACGTGGCCGTTTCGTGGCATATTAAAGCGGGAAACGTGTCTACCAGTCCTTTTGCACTGAGCCTACCAACGGCACTGAGGCTATCAACGGCACTGAGGCCACAGTGTCAGTCGCATCCGACAAGGGGGCCTGTGACACTGGGACGTTAGCTTTAGCTACTGCAGCTGCTGCAGCATGGGCTAGCTTCTTCTTTTTTTTCTTACTGAGCGTAGGAGCAGAAGCCTTGGCAGTCATTTCACCACCACCCGCAATACTGTCAGGCCACTCAAACGTCCATTGACCACCTTCCACAAACGGGACTTTTCTGATGAATTTGGAGACATCCGACTGCTTCCTCAGCACTTCCAAATAACCAGCTATCTCGCGCAGTACGTCGCCCTGCATCTGTTCAGGCGTAGCTGAGAATTCTGGAATTTCGAGGAGGTTATATGGCTGGGCGCTAGCCTTGATGGAACTGTCGTCAATGAGAACCGTGTTGTGCTGACCAAAGCGACCTCCAGCCTCATAGTCCGGGTGGTACGACTGGATTTGACTACGGCTCCATACTAGTTTCAAGTTCTTGTACACTTGGACATTTTGCTGATAGTTTGCCGGGGATAGACCGAAGCTGTCGCGCGCCCATTGAGCTACGAGCTTTGAGCGCAGATCGTTGTCCAGAGCTTGATTAACGAGCGACTTGACATTGTCAGGTCTGGCGCTTGACCAAACCATGACCTTGAAGTTCTCGAACAGGTAGCGTAGAAAGGGCTTCAAGAACGGACGCTCGATCATAGTCTTCGCATTACGGTTGGGCCGGTACAGGACTGTACCGTTGAGGTCCAAAATGACCAACATCGGGCCGGGGGTCTCGGTTTCAGACGGTTCTCCAGCAGACTGCTCCATGTACTCCTCTGTGGGCTGTGGCGCAGGAAGCATGATCTTCTCGTCACCATAACGTCCCTTCTTTTCAGTAGCAAGAGTTTGCTTGGGTCCTTTGGATACACTATGATATTTGTTAATCCGGTGCCAGTCGGCTTCGCGAGAAGCAACGTGATGGAGTGTGCCATACTCTTTCTGCTTGGCTTGGCCATTGGCAGCATTCACAGACTTTGACTTCTTGCCTGGGTAGTTTGGCGCCCTGTGAATATTAGCATTGCGATTCTTGAACTTTGCGCCCTGGAACAAGGCATCGATAGCATACTGTATGTCCTCGTTCCTCGCACCTGGGGGAAAGTTTGCCTGAGTGTGCATTGCGTGATGCTGCGCCCGATTTCCAAACATCTGTCGTTGCTGATGATGCATGAATGGCGGAGGGCCATGGTGGAACGGAGGCCCAAACGGCGGTGGCTGTCCAAATGGTGGTGGTCCATGTTGCTGCATATGCGGAGGCGGATGTCCTGCCAAAGCATCTGGACCTGGTGGATAGTTTAGTGGGGGAGGAGGCGGAGGTGGAGGGGCATGATATCCATGACCATTGTGCATCATCCACTGATGGTAGGCCTGCGCGTGGAGGTGGGCTCCATAGTCGCCGTATGCTTGTGGGTTGTTGAACATGTGCGGAGATACAGGGGGCGGCATCAGCGGAGGTGGCATGGGAAAGTTGTTATTCCACAGGGCTCCTGGCGATCCATATGGGCCCGGGGGTCCTTGAGGGGCCTGAGGAGGGTGAGGGGGAGGAAGCTGGTTCTCAAAAGCGCCCAAATCCTGCTCTCGACGGCCAAAGCCACCAGGCTGGAAAGGCAGCGCATTCGGGTTCCATGAATCGTTCATGCTGGAGCCTGGGGCGGTGCAGGCGAGCGGGTGCTCTGGAAAAGGACTATGTCGACCTGTGGTGGTCTTGGAGTTGGCGATGTTAGTGGAAGAAGTTGCGACTGGAGCGCAGTGGGGGATGCTGTACCGAGCTGACGCGATGGCGGCCATTGAGCACGTGCGCCGGCGGTGAGGACGGCTTGGAGACCAGAGATGAGTGAGGAGTGAAGAGCAGGGCGAAGTGACGATGCAGTGCCCGAAGCATGAGCCCAGCTGATGACGCCTCTGTATAGGAATATGGGCGCGCAACTGCCTGCCCGTCAGCCCTATCGGCGAATCGAAACCCCGACGACCATGTGGGGTCCACCGAAAAGTCGGGTAGCGCAATCTGGGGTGTTTTCGCGACGCTCCACTCCAATCCAAGGTTTGTCTCTCACAACCTGGTGGTTTTCCAGCGGCGACTTGATATACATGCTCGCGATGGTGCTTGCAAACAAGCTCGACCGCAACCTGCGCGCGGTAGAAGAGAGTTCAGATGGCGAAGACTACTACGAGGTTACGGACCGGTCTTCTTCTGCCTCTGTAATCGAGGCAGATGAAGGCGGAAACGTCATCAGCTCCGGTGGCGAAGAGGATGCGGGGTCTGAAGACAGGGTAAGCATTATACAGAACAATTCGCAAATGGGCCATGCTAACATAGACAAGTCAGATGTTGAAAACGACGACGACCAAGTAAAGGCGCAAATGAGCAGAGTCTCATTCGGCGCATTAGCCAAGGCCCAGGATGTACTCTCGAAATCGTCTGACCGAAAACGCAAGCGAGGCGACGACACATCAAAATCACAAGAAGACAAGCTGGAGGCGTTGAGAGAGCGATTACGGCAGATCAAGGCCGAGAAGCTTGCAAGTGGTGCACAGCCTAGCAAAAAAGCAAAGACATCGAGCAAGTCCAAGGCGAAGCCCGTTCAGAGTGATAGTGGCGACGACGACGCCAGTGACAGCGAAGGCTCTGATTCAGACGCCGCGCCCCATGCGCGCTCGAGCAAACACGCCCCAGCCGTCCAGTCGAGCAAGCGCATGGTGTCGCGTAAACGCCAGGTGGTTGAGGTGAAGAAGCCCGTCTTCCGAGACCCACGATTTGATAACGTATCCGGGCCCCGGCCAGACGAGTACGTGGTCGACAAGCGCTATTCCTTCCTCAATGACTACCGGGCGTCTGAAATCTCAGAATTGCGTAACACCATCAAAAAGACAAAGAACGAAGATGAAAAAGAGCGGCTCAAGAAGAAGCTTTTGTCCATGGAGTCCCAGCAGAAGGCAAGAGAAAACAAGGAGAAGCTCAAGGAGGTCTCACGCGAGCACAAGAAGAAGGAAAAGGAATTGGTTAAGGAGGGCAAGAAGCCATTCTTCTTGAAGAAGTGTATGTCCATGATCGTGCCTCCACTTAACGGTCACGTGCTAACCGTACATTCTAGCCGAGCAAAAGAAGATTGCGTTGGTCGACCGGTTCCAGAACATGAAATCGAAGCAGCGCGACAAGGTCATCGAACGCCGGCGCAAGAAAGTCACTGCCAAAGAAAGGAGGAACATGCCCGATACGCGGCGCACTGCTTAACTCCTTTCGCCTGTGGCGCATTCACACATGCAAAAGCATTAGGATCAATTCCATATACCCAACCATCAATGCAGCGTTTTTGCGTATTGTCGAATTTTGTTCTCTCACATATACCTTTGGCCCTGTGCTGTTAAGAACGGATGTCGCCCATAGTCTCTTGCGATCAATCGATTAGCCACAAGTTGCACTCAAAAGTATGGTAGATTCACGCTCAGACCAAAAGGCCCGAGGACTGGGAATCTAGATCTATTTAGCTCTTCTCCAGCCTCGTGCTTGGCAGGGACACCCGAATTTAGCTCCTCGCACTATCCATTCGATACGCTACAGAACGCCTTCTCCCACGGAGCGGATCTACCGAACATTTCCTTGGCCAGCGGGTGGCGCGATCCCAACCTCGCTATACCAGAATTGGTTGTAAAAAGCCCACCTGCACACCTTGACTCTTGCCCCAACCCGTTGTCCTTTCGGGAGTTCGGGTACCATCTCATTTCGCTTCAAGCATTTTTGTGTCCTCTGTTAGTAGGGGGAAAGCGAGCAGAATCTCGGAGGCGCCGGTCCACCTGACTAGGCATCCTCTCTGTTTTGGAATGCTCGGCTTGTATGTAGCGTCACCAGAATAACCCTGAATCGAGAAGCATTCTGTGCCACGTATATATGCTGGTTATCATGCCTGAATGAGACTGCACTGGATAATATTATTCCATTCAGCAGGTACATTTCCAGCAGCTGGTCATAGACCATTCCACTCATTCAAGATGCGCTCGTTTACCGCTTCACTCCTTTTGTCTTTGGCGACAGCCACCTCCGCTACTGAACAAGCCCAGTGCGACTTAATTACCGACGTTGTTAATGTTTTACACGCCGTTCCGTATGCACCGGAACTGTGCTCGTCATTGCTCCAGATTTCCACTTCAACTGTCACCTCCACGGTTGTGAACACCGTGACGGATACCATACCCACAGAGGTCACAGAGACACTCACCGCAACGGAGACGTTTACCCACACAGAGACGCTCACTACCGGTACCATCACTAGTAATACTGATGCTGTCTCAGTGGCCGTCACTGAGTAAGTCTGCTTGTCAGGAATCCAAATTGCGGCTGCTGATTTCTTTAGAACCACCACGGTCCCAGCATGCCCCACAATCACTACCATCCTCAAACGAGGTGATGTTCTCGAGACTGCTTCCACCAGCACGACTTGTACCGGAGAGAAGTCTACAAACAGTGCAGGTGTTTATCCTACCTATCCCATCAGCGCTGCCCAGGCCTCTCCAACAAGCACCAGCTCTACTACGTGCTCCAGTTCTACCTCTACAAAGTCTTCTTCGTCCAAGTGCTCAGAAAGCTTGAAGCCGACTCATGATGGATCCTACAATACGGAGGATTCTTATCCCACCGGTTCCTCGAGCACTCTGAAGCAGGCTTACGCTGATCCCTACAACACCAAGGAGTCTTATCCTACTGGTTCCTCCAGCGTTGACGGATCCTATTACGCAGCTAGCTCGAGCAATGTTCACCCACATTATGCTGTTAGCTCGAGCGTCGTTCAGCAATACCCTGCTGCCTCGAGCATCATTCAGCAATACCCTGCTGTCAACTCGAGCATTTACCAACCATATCCTGTTGTTAACTATACCATTTCGACAACACCCTCGGTAACACCCGCGGAAACACCCTCGGAAACACCAGTCACACCCACTCCTACTCCTACTCCCACTCCAATCGTGTTGTGTGCAGAGGCACCAGAAGAGCTACAGCAATTCGAGTGTGAAAAGATTACCGCGGGCTGCGGATGCCTTGGCCTGCAAGCGCCTACAACGACCGAGGCCATCACCGAGATGACTTCTGTCACTGAATACGCAACAGCCACGGCTACACTTCAGGTCACCACAGTTCAGGAAGAAACACTTACGTTATCCGTAAGTCTAGTACGCTCTCTCGTAAGGCTATAATCTAATTTGTCCATGTAGGTTGATGCAACTGAATACATTACCCCGACAGTAACTGTTGTCACGAAGGCCACTGAGACAGCGGCTCCACCTGATTTCAACAATGACTCCAACAACTGCGGTTCATGCGGCAATGTGGTAAGTCCCCAATGTTTTATCAATCACAGCTCACAAGCAACTAACAATGCCCCAGTGCCCCAGCGGCAGCAGCTGCTCCAACGGCAAGTGCGAGGGCCCGAACCCCAACCCCCAATGCGCCGGCGCCACATGCCGCAACTACATCTATTGTGGTAGCGGCTGCCTCTGCGGCTCCGTCGTTGGCGGTGGTGGTCTCTGTATTTCCGGTAGCACATCCTGCAGCAGTCCTGCGTGCAAAGCAAACTCGGACTGCGGCGCTAACCAGTTGTGCGTCATCAACACGTGCTGCAGAGGTGGCGCCGGCATGTGCGTCTCCGTTGAAACTACGTGTGCGAACAATGCTCGCCCGAGGATGTTGTTTATGCGAAGGCCCAGTGAGGGGACTGTCTCTGGATAGAGTTTGGAAATCTTACTATAGAAGCATAACTCAAGCTTACGGAGCCTTGGTTTAATACAAACCGTTGAGCTATGTACTAAACTCTTCGAGTAGCTTGAATACTAGAATATTTTTTTCTGTCATGTCTTTTAGAAAACTATATCTTACGGGTGAGGCATTTCGCAGATAGGTACAAGGTATGTTTGTTAGGAATGAGTTGACACGAATTCTTCAGGAGAAATTTATAATTCATATGAGATCATATACGTATGTGCTGTGACACTTCTAGCATCAGTGGAGCCCAACACGTCCCCAAGAGTTGCCCTTCCTAGATCTGAGTTCAAAGTATGGTGACAAGAATCATCTAACAATCGCATAGACTACCACGTTCAGACATCTCTCTATCTCTCTCTCTCTCTAACCTAATAGATCGCGACTAGATAAGTATAGCCCAACCCCTGGCGAAAAAAAGACCCCTTACTTTCAATCATGCTCAACCTGGAAATACCGAGTACCATCAAGACGTGGCAGATGCACACATTCAATTGTCGAACCGACCCTAACGACACTGTTGTCACGTGTCTGCGCAGGCACCGTCACTCTAACCTGCGCTCTCGGCTGAGTACTTGCCCTCGTGTCCTGATAATTGGCAAGAATGATGGTGTTGGGCCTGGAGCTGCGGTTTGTGACTGAGATGCTGATATTTTGAGTGATTCTGACATCTATCGGGACGGTCATATGGACGTCGATGAAGTTGTTGGGTGCCCACGAGGCGATTGCTGGCTCGTGGGTGCGCGTCGGCTCGTCGATGGCCGTGCCTTTTCAAGATTATGTATATATGCTTGTAGAAATTACCTGAGAACATAGCAAAGAGGACAGATGCAAACAATAAATTTTATCATAATATTGAAGTAATGCTACAAAGCTCTGGTGTTCCTAACTTTCCCGCGCGTTGTTGATCTTGGTACTAGTAGGGTGGCTCTCACGGAACGGAAGTGGCCGGACTCCATAGGCAAACGAGAAGGCTATGTTCTTATCATTTTACCGCTTTTAGTAGTTATTTGGTGGTGTTCGGCTATTTCAGTTTCGCGAGAGGGTGGTTCTTAGTCGATCAGTAAAACCGGGAAACTCAGACCAAGCGGAGTATTCTACCAAAGCGAGTTACCTTTACTGCAACACATCAGCATTACTACAACGTCATTTTATTAAAAATTGATAAGATCAATATGCGAACTGTGGATTTACTATAATGAAGTGCACATTGAGTAAAATACTAATAGTAGTGTTGTATCAGCAACAATAATGGCTTGAGGCGGGCTTCATACCGTCGATGCTACGCTATTTTATTCCCATTTCACCAATTAGCCGAGCGAGTGGCTTGTTTGGAGTCCGGGTATTCCGGTTCACCGAGAGAAGGGTAGCAAAGGTACCGAAAGTTTAATAGATTTAGGCTTACGGTAGCCCATGCCAGATTCGCATTAACCTCTGTATGTAGGCAGATCTCCTGCTCATCATACTATCATTTACAGCTAAAAGATAGCATATTCGTATACCCCGATTAGTTATTACCAGTAATGTGGGGCAGATGTGGTGCCCTTGGTGACGGTACCAGATACTTAGGCTTGGATAGGACTACGACAAGAGGTGAAACTAAACCTACCGAAGTGGTAAGCTGCTTTTTTTTTAAAAAAAAAACCTAGCTACGACTTCACTCGGCACTAATCAGGAGCTTTGTATCTACATACTTAGTAATACCGAACATTCTAGGTATAACAGAGCCATCTCGCAGACTAATAGAGCAAAAGCTGGATAGCTGGTCGACATTCAAAACTTCTGACCAAGCTGTATATCTACTCTTAGCTATCCTGACCCAGGGAAGGATGATCGATGAGTCCTCACGGCGTTGCCCTCAGCTCAGATTATCGTGATTGCTGCGTCTACATTCAGCGGTGCTTTAGTTCGCTTTCAGGCCTAGTATTCTTTAACATCATGATGACAACCTCAAAACAGCACTCAAGAAAGATGCAATCTGAGTTCTATATCACTCTACTATCTATCCACTACCATAATTATTCACTCTGGCTGCTGTGGTTGCATACTGATCTCGCTCCTCCTGCTACCTACTATTCTAGCTCCTCTAACCAGCTATCCACTGCTATAAGCCAAATACCTAGTAGTCGAGATCCCAGTCCATACTCTCCTACCCATCCCACAACCACCCACCATCCGCAGACACATATCCCCAACATCCCACTACACCTACTATACCCAAAAACACTAAGCCATTCCAACGGCCAATCACATCGCCCCTCTTCCATGCGCTCACCCACCCCAACCCTGTCTTAGGAACCCGATTATAACATGCAGCTAAAGCCGCAAAATGATGTACGCCAAGTCCTGCACTACAACGACATAACCACAACTGCAACGGTACTTGTGCTTGCATGTAACTCAACCGCTCAATGCTCACCTCCCCCACACAAACGTCGCTCCCCCGCTCCCCCGCCCGCGGATTAATGCTCGAAAGGGCAGGTACGTTTGGTGGGGGGAAGCACGACATACCTGCATCCTCCCTCTACTTGTTTTTTTGTCAATCCAGTAAAAAAAAGAAGGATGATGATGTTGAAGCGGGGTTAACGCAGCAAGGAACGGACGAAAAGGAAGATAATAAGATAGATAGATAGATAGATAGATACGTATAAAACCTTATACTCCCCAAGCTTTCAATGCGAAAGATACTGTGCATTTCCCATCCATTAACCTCTATTCTCGTCAATTGGTGATTTTGGAACTACACAATGGAGTCCTGGATACTCTCTCTCATCCCCCTCCTCATCCTCCTCTTCCTCACACCACCAACCCTCGCCTGCCAACGCGACTGGTCCCTCCTCCACGCCCGCATCAGCCGCCACTCCCACTCCCCCAGCAAGCACAGCATCCGCGACACACCCACCTACCCACCCCCCCTCACCCCCACCGAATCCCTCCTCCTCAACTCCTTCGACGCCGTAGCCCTGCGCACATGGTCCTCGTACTACACGCACGGCGACCACCTGGGCACGCACAACCGGTCCATGGCGGAGTGGACGGCGGAAAAGTGGCGGAGCGCGGGGTTCACCGAGGTGAATGTAGTTGAGTTTCCGATTTGGTATACGTATCCTGAGCGGTCGGCGCTGCGGCTGGAGGGTGTAGGGGGAGAGGTGTTGCATGAGGCGAGGCTTGTGGAGGATGTGTTAGTTGAGGATGAGACGAGTGGGTATCCAAATGTGATTCCGGCGTATCATGCGATGAGTGCTAGTGGGGATGTTAGGGGGGAGTATGTGTATGTTGGGTGAGTTCTCCTCCTTCTCTTTCTCTCTTTTGGTACCGATGGAGTGGATGGAGAAGGCTGATGCGATTGTGTTTGGGGAGATTAGACGCGGCACACGAGCGGATTTCCAGGTCCTGAAAGATGCGGGGATTGAGTTGAAGGGCAAGATTGCGCTTGCGAATTATGGGGGGATATATCGTGGGACGAAGGTGAAGAATGCACAGGATAATGGGATGGCGGGGTGTGTGCTTTTTACGGATCCGTTGGATGATGGGGAGGTTACGGTTGAGAATGGGTATAAGGCGTATCCTGGTTTGACGCCCTCTTGTTACGATTTTGTCTGAGTGAGTACTGACGAAAGATAGATGGACCTGCGAGGAATCCTTCTTCGATTCAGAGAGGTAGCGTACGCTTCTCTTCACTGTACTCTGGCGATCCTACGACGGTCGGTTGGGCTTCCTCGTGGGACTCCCCCCGTGGGAATATCTCTTTGTACACACCCTCCATCCCATCCATCCCCATCAGCATGAAAGATTCTCTTCCGCTTCTTGAGGCCCTCAAAGGCCACGGTGTATCTGCCAAGGAAGCAAACCGTAGTGGGTGGACTGGTGGGTTCAGTAACATAACTTATGACAGCGGTCCTGCACCCGGTGCGCTCCTACATATAGATCATCTCATGAATGGATGGGTAGCCCCCGTGTGGGACGTCATTGGTGTCATCAACGGAACTACCGACGAAGTCGTGGTGATTGGAAACCATCGAGATGCATGGGTTATTGGCGGTGCTGCGGATCCAAATTCAGGCAGTGCTGTTTTGATTGAGCTGGCGAATGCGTTTGGAAAGTTGGTGGCAAAGGGCTGGAAGCCAAGGAGAACAATGTATGTCAAGTCCGCGTCAGAATCCACATTGATTAATACAGAACAGCATCCTTGGATCCTGGGACGCTGAGGAATTCGGCCTCCAGGGTTCCACTGAATGGGTTGAATCGCATTTGCCCTGGCTCACAACAAGTGTAGTCGCCTATCTCAACCTCGACATTGCAGTGTCTGGTCCGAGGACCTCGTTCTCCGGCAGCGGAGAGCTACACACCATGGTCGTAGAACAGATGAAGAAAGTCTTGTTCCCCGAAGGCTGGGGCGATTTCCCCACGCTCTACGACATGTGGCACAACACTACCCAGGGAGAAATCCCACCGCTGGGCAGTGGCTCCGACTATGCCAGTTTCTACCAAAACGGCATCGCATGTGTACGTTGCCACATATCTTCACCTACTTGTTGACCATTAACACATCCACTAGATCGACATTGGCTCCGACGGCGGTAAAACCGACCCCATCTACCACTACCACTCCAACTATGACTCGTACGCGTGGATGTCGCGCTTCGGTGACCCAGACTTCAAGCTCCACAAGGCAATCGGCCAGTGGCTCACCCTCATCGCCTACCACATTGCCGACGACGCCCTCATCCCCTGGGACCTCCCCAACGCCGCTTCAGTCCTGCAATCCTACCTCTCCGAGCTTAACGAAACAATCACAGACTCTGAATTGTCCAAGGACTTGGATCTCGCGCCGCTGGGCGATGCGATTGCCGAGTTTGAGGCTCAGGCTGCGAATATTGCACGGGTTGCTGAGACGGCCGTGGGATTTCAGGATCCAGTGATGCTGGGGGTTGTAAATGCGAAATTCCGTGATTTCTCGCGTGGCTTTGCGTCGTCGGGTGGATTACCTGGGCGCGAGACGTTCAAGAATGTGATCAGTGCGCCGGGCATTGATAACGGGTATGGCGCTGATGTGTTTCCGGCAGTCACGGACAGCGTAAATAAAGGGGATACGGGTGCGGCGCAGGAGTGGGTTGAGAAGAGTGCGAAGGCGGTGTTGAGGGCTGCGGAGATTTTACGGGTGGGGAATTGAGTTAAGGGTGATGCATATGACTGTGCGTGTGGGCTGACAGAAATAACACAGTTAGGTATCTAATCATTTTGCAAAAGAGAGTATTATCGCATTGTGAAACGTGTATGTGGACAGGTCGATGAGATGATGTTGGATGATTGAATGTGAAGTATGTAGACGAATTAGAACATTGGACCCATAGAACAGCGGTTCATCACCAATCTCGCTTGTCAGTAGTGCAATGACTTTACCGTCGACGTCACTCTTACAGCCATCCCTGCATCTTCTTCTAAGTATGTAACACAGCATGATGCAATAACCACCGGCCCAACCAGCACCGCACTTGAGACACGGGGGGTTAGGGAAGGAAAAGCAAAGTCAAAGACATACACACATGTGCATTTTCATGCATACAATGAAAAGACAGGGCGACAGACCTCAAATCCCCTATATGCGCATATCGCCAGTAGAAGCTGCGATTCTTTCTTCCGTCGCACGTACGCAAACCCAAGCGACCCCGTCATACGATGGGGAAGGGGTTGCAAGCGCAAGGATACTTCTTCCAAGGCAGGCGACGCGCGTGAGTGGCGTTGGGGCGCGCAAGTCCAGCCCACCCGGCATGTCACACGCAAACTACGTCATTGTGCTTTTCAAGCTGAGGAGAAAGGCAAGAAAAGCAGGAGGCTTGCACCCATATGCACATACTCTTAGCTTTCGCATACCGCTTCTCCCCCTCTCACTGCCCCTTTTTCTCTCTTTTTTACCTGACAGAAAAGGAGAGGTAGATTGTTTAAAAAGAGCGAGGACGAACAAGGTCAATTGTATCTATCCTGTTACGAGGTGCCGCCACGACCGCCAAAAAAAGGGAGAGACGAAAGAAAGAGAGATATTCTAGGAAAAGAAGAAAGGATAAAATCGCACAAGCTACCATGTCTAATGTCCAAGACAAGCCGCTCAATGAGTACGTTATTTGAAAATCACACGCAGCGCAGTAGACCAATGTCGTTTCTAACAGGATGAAACTCTAGGCTCCTCTCGCGCTCAATGGTAGACATCTACGTCGGACCAGAGAACACGCACTGGATCCTCCACGAAAAACTGCTATGTCACCACTCACCTTTTTTCCGCAAAATCTTCTACTCAAAGTCCTCGACGTCATCACGCACGCAGTCCTTCGGACTCCCAGATGAAGAAGACCTCCCTTTCAAGACCTTTGTCGGCTGGCTCTACTCCTCCAGCCTGCCCGTTCCCCGCGAGGAAGCCGATCTTGGCACAGCCTTCGACCTGTACTTGATGGCCGAGAAATTCGAGATCCCTGCGCTAGTCGCCGATGTCCTGCAGGTAGTGCGCGAGTGGTACAAGTACAGCGATTCGTACCCGGGCCTGCGCCGCGTGCAGTACATCTACGCCAACACTGAGGAGTCGAGCCCAATGCGACATATGCTCGTGCACGCAGTCGCGCGCATGATGGTGGTGGCGAGCACGGGTATCCCGCCGCACTGGGACAAGGCGCTGCGCAAGAACGGGCAGCTGGCTGTCGACATCATCCGCGCGATCCAGGACTGGCGGCTCGACGAGGAGACGGTCCCCGATGCGCGTGAGGAACCGGCCGAGGGCGAGGAGCTCGTCGATGTCGAGGGAGAGACGAGTAAGTTGGATGAGCAGGCGGAAAAGGAAATCGATTCTAAGCTCGCGGGGAGAGAAGATCCGCCCGCGTCATCGTCTTCCGTGTCTGCGGACGAGAGTGCAGAGGACTCCGAGGACACGGTTGTCGAGTCTCTCGTTGAAGAGGCCAAGGGAAAGAAGGAAGATGTCAAGGCTAAGACGCCGGTTCTTGAGAAAGAGTTTGGCAAGTTTAGCTTGAACGAGCGGGGGAACGCTGATTACGGTACTCTCAAGGCGTAAGAAGTTGCACGCCGTCTATCTTTTTTTTTTGGCTGGCTGGCTGGTTGAAGAAATGAAAGAAAAAGGGATGAGTGCGTGGTGGTGGATCTTCACACATTCTAGCATTCCCTTCTCTGTCTACGAGGCTTGGAAAAAAAGAGAACGAAAAGGAGGTCTTTTAGGTGGTTGAAGGGGGACTTGGCGAAAAGAAAAAGGGAGAATGGGAAGCACCAGTGTCACATGGGTTTCTCCTTCCCTCTCCACTGGACATTTTTAAAGTTTATTTTTTTTCCTTTCTCTTCTCTCGGGGAGACTCTCAATTGGGTATAAGCATATGTAATAGCTTTCCTCTTTTCCTCCCTATTCTTCTCCTTTTGTTTCTTTCTTTCTTACCTACGGGTTCAAGATTGCAAAGCTGTTTGTAGCCATATTGTTTTTTTGTCTGTCTGTCTGTTTGTTTGTCTTAGTTGGGTTTCTACCACTTTGTCTTATTAGCATGGTATGGGGGGTAAAACGCATGAATGAGTTAAAAACATTTGCAACTTGGATTTCGTCCTTGAATTTTGATCGATTGCTCAAGTGATACAAAGACATTTGCATATACTTCTTTCTCATGTCGAGTGATTGCAAATGTGAAGAGCATTCCAAATGCATGAGGAAGGGTGAAATTTGAGTTTAATGCTTGCAAGAGGCTATGGATCACAACATTTATTTTACTTCCTGGTATAACAAATCAATGCATTAAACTTTGTTCGGTTGCTTCCTTTTTTTTATTTTAAAAAAGACAAACAACAAGGGTTATTTTTATCGCATTGCAAGGGCGGGGGAGGCAAAGGCTCAATGTCAATGCACCATGGGGTGGAAAGAAACCCCCTGAATCAGGCAATCCATGACGAGTCATCTTACCCCCAGGACCATATTCAGTCGGGATGTTCATAGTAATGTCGGCTTGCCCGACGATCAGTGTATACCTACATTGACGATAACAATAAGATACCTTGCGATAGCAGTACTTTTGTCGGAATAGCGACTGGCGCAGTCGTCTTACCAAGATAGAGTTTCCGGGGTAATGCAGAAAGCTAATCACCGAGGGGCGGCGGAAAGGGCATAGTCTGTTTGTTTGGGGTATCGTGGTGGCCGAGAATGGATGCGGAGCTCCGGATTGAGAGGGGAATAGTGGTTGGCAGTGACGAGGGTGTGAATGGAGTAGCAGAGAAGCATCTTGTCGTCATGGACGGCATGGCGCGATGGCATGAACTATCAATGTGTTGAGAGAGTGGCCAATTTTATTTTGTTGTAGTAGGTTTTTGTTTATTGTCCGCTCGGATTTGGCAAGACAAGAGCTGGCGATGCTGTAGGCAGTCTGCTGTGCATCGTGGACCATGGCCAGCTCAGGGTCTCGGTGACACGGCATGGGTAATGCGGCCATGCAACGGTGTTTTTGAAACGGTCCTAGGCGAGATGCAAAGAGGCCAGTAATGAAAGCTTGTAGCATCAAGAAGGTACTTGGTTATAGAAGATCTACACAGGTTAAAGTTGTTTTTGCGGATGAAGGAGCTGGCTGGAGCTAATGACGATCAGTGGAAACATGCATGGGGGGCTTTTTGCGGAAGGCATCCGCAAACTTTGCGTAGTCGTTGGAGTGGAGCCCAAAAGGGACTGTGGCGCATGGCAGATTACAGCTCTGTGAGACTGAACACAAGGGCAGAGTATTGGTGCAACGGTAGCAAAGAATTTGGGACGGCAGACGTGGGCGGAGTGAGTACCGAGTGAAGAAGGTGGGACAGGCTTGGGAAGTGGGAATGGTAGGACGGAACCGGTTGTTGTCTAGAGGCGGCAGGAGGCGTTGTTTGGGTCGTGTGAGTTGAAGAAAAAGGCTATGGAGTGCTTCATGTTGAGAGGGTCTAAGGAGCCGGACCGAGATCCGGGACGGGCTGAGAGCGTTTGGGCGGGCGCCAAGGACGTCAAGGTGAGACTTTGAGCGAGTTTGCAGTAACAGGCAAAGACGAGGTACTGGCAGGGGCGTGATTGGTCATTGGCAGTCGCAATAAGCCGAGGGCCCAAAGGGGAAGGCCAGACGATCTTTTGCCGGAGTGGCAGCTAGTGGTGACACAGCCTTATCTTATCCCAGCGCGTGGGTTGGATGCAGGCAGAGATGGAGAGACAGGCAGACCCACTGGTTCCAGGCGGAGGAAGTAGTTTTCAAGCCGGACCCGGTAAGTTGTTGCGACGCGATGCAGCAGGCGGGCGGAAGCGAGAGTAAGGGAGGGCGATATAGGCAGACGGAGGGGGTGCTAAGCGTTGGGATGGGCGGTGGACGTGGATGTGGAGGTGAGATGAGTGGTTTGTCAATGCAAGAGCTGGAAGGGGCAGTCGCCAACGGCGAGTGCAGGGGAAGGAGGGGAGGGGAGGGGAGGGGACAAATATGGCAGGCACCAGGTGGATGTTTGTAGATGGTTGCTTACTGTGGTAGATACATTACAATACATACGTACGTACGTACGTACATACCTAGATAGTTACTTGGATGGCGACGTCAGTGAGCATGGTGGATACAGACAAGCAAGCCAAAGAGGGGCGAGCACGGGCTAGGGCAAAGTATGTTGCGTGTAAGTGAGAATGGACATTTGTTGGAGGCGTTGTACTATTCGACAGGCGGAAAAAAAAGGGTCCAGCAGGCGGCGGCGTGGCAGGCGCGATGGACAGCGGTCAGTCGGGGTGTCGTGGCGAGAAAAAAAAAGAGGGTTGGATGTTTCAGGATAGGTTTCGCTGGCAGGTCTCGTGACGGCGGTTGATGAGGGATGGGATGGGATAGGGATAGGGATAGGGATAGGGATAGGGATAGGAATGGGATGAGTCACAGTAGGTAGGGAATGTATCCTGGACATGGCATGTGTGTATGTAGGTGAATAGTAGTAGGTGAGTATATGTACATGGACAGGTGTGGTAATCACAATGTCGATAGGGAAGGCGCAATCTCCCTGGCGCGAACACATTGAAGGTCAGAAAATAGTACAGTATAGTTAGTAAGTGGTAGTATAGTCTGAAGATAGCTCTCACATGGACACACGGACATGGACATGGACATGGACATGGACACAGACGCAGACGCAGACAGACGGACAGACAGCGCGACAAGGACAAGGACAAGCGCAGACACACACAGGCACACAGGCACACAGCGGGCAGAATTGACAGCCACGTGTGAGTTGGGGTTTGGACAAGGGTGCTGGCAAATATGGTGATGTCCAAGGTCTGCACTCGCTACTTGCAAGGGCCATGGTGAAACGCGCGCCCCATGAACCATGTGCCTGGCCAATTCGCGCGGGGCCTTTTGCTGGCCTCGCCCGCAACCCTCGCGCTCCACCGTCGGCCGGTTCGGGCGTGGTCAAACGGGGGCATGGGCGGGCGTGAAACACGGGAGGCCTCAGCAGGCAGCGGTGGTGGTGATTGGCGGCCGGCCAAGTATTGGCAATGGGGCCTGTAACGCAGCGCTGAGTGGTGCTGACTGTCGTCGACGAGCTGCCCTCACAGTCGACGTGCCTATGCGAAACAGCGGTTGGCCGCCACATCTGCTCGCCCTAGGCCCCAATACTCGCGCCCATGCCTGGCGTCTCGAGGCTGCCCTAGAGTAAGACGGCTAGCCCACATGTGCGTGTCTGTGTGCGCATCCCATCCCATCCCATCCCATCCCATCCTGTCCCATCCTGTCCTATCCACCCATTCCATCCATCCTGGTCCTGTCGTCCGCTGGCCTGCCTAGCTCTCCTAGCAGCAACACACTCCAAGAGCTGCCCGGCATCCGTGCCCCCCATTTTTATCTGCCCTCGACGCCCACGCCCACACCACGCCTGCGCCCACGCCCTCTCGCTTTCGCCGGCTCTTTTTTTTGTTTTGTTTTACTCTCCTCTCACCTTTTCCCTCTCCCTCTCCACTTGCTTGCACGCCACCTGTCTACCTGCTTGCTTGCTTGCTCGCTCGCTGGCTTGCTGGCTCGTAGCACTCGTCGCCTGCCCCGCTTCGCTAGCCCACCCTCCTCCCTGCCATCCTCCACCCCCCCCGGCGCCCGTGTTGCACCAGCCTCTAATCTGCCCCGGCTGCGCACATCCCTCGACACTTGGTGTAGCGGACTTCCTACAAGACCCTGCCACACTCACCCTCCTACAATCAACCTGTCCCGACCCATTGCTTTCTCACACCGGCGCCCACACGCGACCATGACCACCGTTGTCGCCAATCCCCCGGCCCCTGCCCAGCATGCGGCACCAGCGCCCGTCGACGGCGTAGGCTCCTCGAGGACATATGCTCCCATTGCGCCCTCGACTTCCTCTCCCCACCAACTGACGCCTACCTCTCGCACAAACAAACTGCCCCCCCACGACAATGCTTCACCTACCTCCTCCAGTCCAGGTGCACAGCACAGAGCAGAGGCAAAGCGCTCCCCTCTTTCGTACGTCGTTTAGTCTTTCCTCCCGATCTTCTACCTCTTCTTCTTCTTCTTCTTCTTCCTCCTCTACCTCACACTCTCCCTCGTGCCGTCCAATGTCGGCCTCGTCACCCACCTCCACCTCAATGTCCCCTCCGCATAGAGACATCATGTCCCTCATGTCTAACCGTCCCTCGTCGCGCAGATCCCGCGGCCCGGCCCCCAAGATAGTCGTCAAGAAGGAGCCCTCCTCGCCAGACATGCCCACCACCACCCGACACCGACCCCAGCGTCTCAACCTCTCCAACCACAACATTGTCCACTCGTCCGGTGCCCTTACAGCTCGCCCTTCTGGTCAGCCCTCTGCAAACCTGCTCGATGTAGGCCTTGCTTGCCTGTCACCTGGCTTCCACACTCAGGACCCCACCATGCGCGAGCAACTCCAACGCAGTCTCGATGTAAGAGAGCGCCAGAGACAGATTATCGAGGCTCGCCAGAAGCACGGCAAGGGCGGCCCATCAGACGCAGACGAGCCCCGTCCAGGCACAGAGATTGGTGCTTTCGGCCGCACAATAAAGACTCCCCAGACCTCACGCCGAAAGGGCCCTCCTCCAGCCCTCTCTATTGCGCCCCCTTCACACCAGTCGTTTGCAAACGACCGTGTCATCCAGTCGGCGCCCCTCAATCAAACTTTTACTGGCCTGCGCAGCAACGTACCCTCATCAAGGCACACCAACGCGCCATCAAACCTGTCACAGTCCTCGCACATTCACCATGTCCCGGCCCAGCAGACCAGCAACCGGTTACCACCCATCTCGGACGTCTTTCCTGAGCCTCTTGGAACGGCACGCAACGCCTATCACAACGGCAGCCCTGGACACTCTTCGCACTCCAACGTACAGCCCCCGATGCAATCACCAAGCTTCCCACCCCCACAGTTCACTCAGCCCCCGCCAACATCAAGGCCCCGCGAGTACAAGTCTGCTGAGGAGGCAGTCCAGCAAATGTCAGGTGGCCGAGAAGATCTGCTCCCCCGATTGGTCCATTACGGTGGCCACCAGCCCCCAACGCCCCCATCGCCAATGCCCAATAAGAACGCTTCATCAACACACCTTGTCCGCCCAGAGTCGCAGCGCAGCACTAGCTCTCGGAGACGTGGCCGCGACGAGTATGAGCAAGACAATGGCACCCCTCCACTCGGCCGCCAACAGCCTCGTCTGGGCCCATTCGGCGCTGGCCGCGACTCGCCAGAGACGCAGCTTAGAAAGAAGGAGGAATTCATTGGCCTTTGCGCAAGAGCCTGGGATCTATTCCACTCGTAATGTTTTTGCAACTACCGTCAATGCTCTTTTGTCTACTGTAATTTCTCTTATCGTCATTTTCCATCACACACCCATGGCGCATGTCGGAGTTCATCATGTCCGTAGTGCACCACTCTCGCTTCTTCTTCTCCATCATCATCATACCTGGTTCTATTTTCAACACGCCCTCGCGCGATGTTCATTATTACCCTTTCGACTCGGCATTTATTTGGGGAAATCTGCGCCACCAATTTTTTCATACGTTTAGTGACAGCATCTAGCCGTCCATTGGCAACGCACGGTTATACCCCCCCACACCACTCCACACGCAACCTTTTTATTTATTTCCCATGTCCAGATTTCCTTGAATCCTGGGTTACCCGATTTGGTCTCCAAATGTCCTTTTTGTTTTCCTTTTCGAATTATGGTTTCCACGAGTTATTCTGAACGAGAGAGGGTAGACAAAGCAAGGGGGGGCCGACTTTTGTTTGTTCGTGGCTGAAGCGGGACATCCCTCGTCTTGAAACACGACATGTCTCATGACACGAACAACTCCTCTCTTCGCACCCTCTTTTTTCTTCTAGCCCCTCTTTTCTGAAGAGTCGGCTGGCGGGACTTCCGGTTTCCGCCTTTTTATTCATTTTCTCATTTGCATTTACTACGGTCATGGGGTCTTGTTGGGAATGTGATACCTTGTTTTTCGGAAATGGCAGGCGGAGGAGGAAATGGATGGGAAGGAGAAGGAGAAAAATTCCGAGCTGGTTAATTCAAAGTGGAGGAGGAGGAAGCGCTGGTAAAGAAAGTGTGTATGGTTTTTCTTCGCAAAAAGACAAGAACGAGTCTTTTTTTGATCTACTATATCAAGACTCCGAAAGGTTTTTTTACTTCAAGCTACCTAACAAAAATGGGAAATCCGTGTGCATTATTCAATTTTTTTGTGCTTTTGTCTTTCTATTGCAATTGAAATGCTGATGGCGATGGTGATGTCATTACTAGTATTTGGCTTTGCTCGTTATCTTTCTTTCGTTGAAACAAAATCCATCGGGATCCCGCGTTTTTCTTCCTTGTATTCTTGATCTAAACTCCTCCCGCAGATAGATTAAAGAAAAATCCACAAAACACCAGCAGAGAGAGAGGAAACAACTAGTTTCAATCACACTATCTTACTTTCTTACCAGGTTCAACCTCCCCATTTTCTAACCTGCCAACCCGCTTTATTTTATTTTATTTTGCTTTCGCAATCGTTTATCAATGTAGCTAGAATACGCGCTTGACATACTTCCGTCCGACCGATGCTTTCATTCCCACCGGGTTAAATTGAAGTGGAAGAGAAGGTAAAAAAATCCCGTGCTTACTTTTCTTTTCTTTTCTTCGTTTGGTATGCCGGAGCATGTGAAAGATGCGGGTAGATGATACGATAGTTGACTGTATACAAAAAAAAAATGTGGACAGGAAGGTGGAGGTGGAGCGTGTTGTTTTTTTTTTCGCACCAATCACCTCCTCTCTCTCTCTCTTTCTCTACGTCTTTTGCGAGACTCTCCACCTTACGTGCCCCCCCCTCCCCCCCTCTCCATCTCGCGCCTACTTCCCCATACAATCTCGCACTACTTACACTCGCGCAAATCTCCTTTTTTTTCTTTTTTCTTTTCTCCGCTCCCACGCACCTATCTAAACCCACAAAAAGAATGCTGGATTGCAGATATTCCGATTGATATCCCCGAGAAATCCCCACTTGTTTCATCACGCCAAACGCATCGATCGCGGGTTGGAGCGAGCGTTTCGCTGGTGTGAAACGCGAGCCGTGCGTGCGTGCGTGTGTGCGTGCGTGGGCTGCCTGCCTGTTTTGACAGACCAGGGTAAGGATCAGGGAAGAAAGAGAAAGAGAGAAAGAGAGAGGGTAGGCATACGGACGTAAGGAGGGTATTAGTCAGATGGGTATGGGTATGGGTATGGGTTTGGCGGAGGAGAGCGGAGGGGCGGAGGGGGCAGCGGAGATGCGAAGATGTCGGATGCGCTAGATGCGCCAGATGCGAAAGATGTGGGTAGTGCGGGTATCGCGTGTATACACACATGTGCGTGTTGATGGTCTAGATGGATGTATGCACATACATGGGATGAGGAGACGGTGCAGTACATGAACAAAGGCAATTTCTGCACGTGAGTCTACGACTAGACATGGTAGATTCCGGATTATCAAAAGTACGTCCCTAGGCCTTGTAGGGCCAGAAAACGCCAAGGCTCTGTTTTTTGCTAACAATTTTACTTTTTTTTTAAACCTGGGAGTTGGTTCTTTGGAAGTAAGCAAGATGGATGGTGTGAGTCGGGCCGTTAGACAAGGGTTAGTTTTCTTGATCCTGTGGTTTTTTAGTGACTTGGAGGGTATGCGGATTATCTTTTTTTTCGTAGTAGAGGGGGGGTTTGCTTTCTAAGGATACAGGATGGAATATGCCAATGTATGCCTTGTCAAAGTAGTTCGTAGGGGTAGTATAAATTTGAATGTATGTATGTATGTATGTACGTACATACATACAATCGCCACATCTCGAACCCTTGCAACCCACCTACCTTACTCGCGCAACCTAGTGCACAAACACTCCCCCCCTCTATCCCTCTCTCTCTTGATCGACAGTCCGTGGTTGCCCTGCATGCCATGTGCCAAAATGTGCAATCCTGCACATTCCCCTTTTCTGTAATCGCCCGATTGCTCCCATTCGGCACTATTACGCAAGGCGATTCCCCTTTTCGGGGCCTGAGTCTGCGACCGAATAGGACAGTGCGGGGTGTGTGATGGACGGATGTGGGTAGTGAGGCGCAAAGAAAAGGGAGTTTGCGGGCGCTTGTGTATGTAAGATCTACTTAGGGGGGGTTAGTGGCTTATCTTTGTGGTTGCTTGGGGGGAGGGATTGGGTATAGGGGGATGTGATGGGCAGGTTTTTTTTATGATCGGATTTTTCAGCGGGTGGATTGTGAGTGGCTGGGTGGGTATTCCGAGGGGAGAGATGCCGCATGGAGGGATGGTAGGTGTGGAGTTGTGAAGGCTGATACTGTGGTGGGATAGAGGTGGACTATTTTATACGAGCGTATGCTGTGCACTGACTTTAGCGTATCTTTCTGCTTGGACTTGCTTTCGGGCTGAATATAGCATGTCGCCTGTCGAGCATGGAGGACTCTAGGTTGACCTTGGTCAAATTACCCTCGTATTTAAAACGAGTAAAGAATTGTAGTCTTGATTCTAATTGAACAGCACTCGGGCTCGTTACAACACCTGCCAAGCTCATATTGATTATAAGTAATGCCTATCTCGAGTCACAATCTATCCTTCTCCTTCTCCTTGACCGTAACAATACGATGAATGGACATGAAATGGGAGTATGCTCCCTTAACCTTGGTAGTATCACGCACATACGCTATTCACTGGAGTGTTCACCAATCCTTTCAATATCAAGAGCACTCTCCTGTGTTCATACCCTTGAGAACGCGCAAAGAGTGGGAAATGGTCACACAAAGACTTTTTAGGCTACAGGAGGGAAAAAAGTGTAGGAAAGTTTGTATCTCGTATCTCGTCCTGAGCAGTCTCTTGTGTCTGGGCACATGTAAGCGATCTATGGATTTGGCTTACACCATGAATTCAGCGTTTGATAGTGCCGATATCGGACCACACTAATGATGCGGAGTGGTTGTTCTTGTTAAGACGTTGATTCTATGCCGTCTTGTATCTCACATCTGTAATAGTTGCAAGACACTAGGACTAACTAGTTAACTAACGTGTTCTATCAGTAAGCTGGCCGTATCAGTAAGCTGGCCGCCCCACCAAAATTGACGCGACGCTCTACACCACCACCACAATGCCGCGACAACAACGCTCTATACAGACTTCTCGTGAAGGCAGACTAAGCCTTGCTATCGCATCCTATCATAATAATCCAAAAAGTTCTATCTACTCTCTTGCGAAAGCGTATGACGTGCCAAAATCAACACTCCAGACGCGTCTCCGCGGTGTCCAGCCACGGTCAGAGATTGCGTCTACTAGGCGCAAGCTATCACTTATTGAAGAGCAGTCTCTTGTTCAGTGGATTCTAGAGCTTGACCGACGTGGATTTCCACCACATATCATTGACGTGCGACGAATGGCAGACACTCTACTCGCCGCGCGTGGCCAGAATCCACCACCACCACCTATAGGCAAATGCTGGGTGCCGCGCTTTATCTAGAGCCAGCCAGAGCTTCAGACAAAGT